TATGTGCCAAAACGCCGGCAATGCTGCCATTATAAAGAGGGCATGGTCAAAAGGAGGAACCTTGTCTCTTTTCTTGGTTCAGATATCGATAACAGCTTAGTTGTTTGAATATTGGCTTTTACCGGTTCATTGAGGCCAGCTGTCAAATTATCTACCACTCCTTTCAACCAACCAGCATGGAAGATCAGCAGAATTGGGCGATCCAGACGGATACCCACCTTCCGTCGCCCAGTAACCTAACCGATGAAACCCAAAACTCTCACGGTAGTTGAGTCAGCTGGTTGGTGCTGTACTGTGCTGTTTATGTTCACATTGCGACCCCTGAAAAAAACACGCCAGGTAAAACAGAAGATTCACTTTGTGGACAGGCAAATGCCTCAATCCAGAATCGGTACTACTATACATCTAGGATTCTTCAGCGGTTGTCGTTTTGAATGGGTGTCTGCTACCCCTAAAGAGTTGGCCCCTGCGCGGCGGCTGATGCCTATTATGCAAGGTCGATTTGCAAGACGCGGTGGCGTTAATCTCGATTGTGGACGAGCAGTGCTTGTGCTCTCAACATCACATCTTCACCAAGATTAGACCTTTTTCAACACCAGGACCCAGAACAGGACTCGGAACAGAATCTGGAAGGACATCTGGTCGAGAAGTAACGCCGAGTCAACATGGTGAGCCCTCTCACTTTGGTGCAAGCACAGCAGTGACCGTGTGCACTGATACAGCGCTTGCCTTCCGAGTCGGATGTGATATCCGATCCTAGGGAGTCGATCTTGAGACTGGTCACAACCGTGGAATTTGCTGATAGGCCCATAACGTTGATGGTATAACGGAGACAAAGTGAACATGGTCTGCGCAAACGTCGGACGGTATCCGGAGAGATTCAATTTTCCAATAATATCTCACCCCCTAGATTGAAAGAGATATGGCTCCACACACCACACTGATTAGGTATTTATCTGTATAAAACCTAATAGTAAACTGGAGGTACACTTATTAAACTAAATAAAATACATTAGAGGGAAAATGGGCGAAGCACCGATGACATCAAGATACAGTCGGGAAATAACTGGTAATGGAATGTTTTATGCTTTTTGGAACAGAACAAGTCAACTAGAACGAAAGATGTTTTTATTAATGCCCCCCAGGTACCGCTTTTACAGGGTACCTGGGACCGTGACTTTTGACAGACAGTGTCTCGCTCTTATGAATAAAAAAAGGAAGTGGCCGTCTACCGGTTCAGTCCCAAGATACAGGTTAGTCTGAAGTGGGTCCGATTGGTTCTTGCTGGAAATGGAATGCTTTTGGTGAACAGCGGTACTGTCACGAAGGGCAGGTGGGACAGGGTGCAAGAAGGACGGGCTTAAGAGGTGGATCGGACTAGGTAGATAGTTTATTGCAGACTGAGGTTCCATAGCCGTCGGGTGCCGGAAATGTCTTTCATTCTCTTCCTTCTCTTGTCTGACCATTCCCTCGCACAAATCCCATGCGCGAAACTGGGTCAGAAAAGAAGCAGAGGCTCGCGCATAGCGCTAGAACGAAGAATTTTGGTGTGCCCCTGTGGAGGAGAAACAATCTCTTTTCCTGAGATCTGGAAGATGGGCGAGAGAAGAAAGAGGTCCATGCTTGCTTTCAATACATCACAGGCCAAAGCAAACAAATACATCAGCGGCCAGCCTACTGCCGTTCTGATTTTGATGAATACAGGGCTTACAATCTTGATACTACTCCATGTTAATGCTCTAAAACGCGATGACTCACAAACAGGTTTTCTATAAAAAACGACCCCCGGAACACATAGTCATCGTCTTGAGTGATGTATTGCGTACTGATGTATAGTTGACTGTCCGGATGAGTGAGGAGAGGGGAGGCTGTAGCCAAAGAAAATAAAGAGAGGTCGCTTGTTTTGGTGCAAAGCAAAACTTAACACTACACTTTTCTGTCAGCTCTATCCTCTTGTTCTACGTGCTTCAATCTTTGTGATTGTATTGAGGTAGATCAACTCCAGATCAATTGTCATATCATCTTTCCGTCTCTTTTAAACGCGAATTCATATATTTACATTATCTGCTCTTGCTCCAAGCCTATTTACACCCTCTCATTCCATCTACATCTCCGCCTATTGTTACACTCTCAATTAAGGTAAGTAGATTTCTTCGTCTTCCCCTGGTACGAGCGTTGCAGAAAGTCGCATCAACACTCAGCTGAACAACGTCCCGCTCCTGTCCAATTTCCTCATACGCGGCTGAAAAAATGCAATTGGCCCTTGTTGTCAAGTCATGCATCGCAGTTTGTGCATGCGTGGATGTGCTAACACGTCCCACGATAACCTTATCGCCATCAAAGGTCATAACAGATACAGCCCTTGCCTGGATTCTGTCATGCTCGGATGATACACTGGATAACGCGTGCTACCGCGATTGTAGCCGCTCAAAACTCGGTGGCAAGTTGTTGTGCCCCAGATATCTTCCTGCTGATGGAAGAAAGTAAACATTGATCGCTCCTTTGTCAAGCACAAGTTTCTACAAAGTTCAGATTGTGTCCGTGTGTCATGTGTCTGTGAGAACGTTGCTGGATGCGGTCCTCCACGCAATCTATGCTAGTGTACCCGCACGACGTTGACCGTAGGGATTGGTTTCAGTCGCACCAAAATGAATAAAGGAAATGAACGGCAAGGCTTGCTCGAACGCAGTGAAGGATCGAGTATAATAAGCAGACGCACGAGCTTGCGTTCTTAGGAGGCGTGGGATGGGTGTTAAAGCTAGTAGATTAGGAACGGGAGTGTGAAGGACAGAGCGGACAACAGGGAGCAGCGGGGTGGAGAGGAGAGCGAGCAGAGGACAGAATAAAATATATTGCAGACTGGGTTATGGAGGCTACCACTAGCCCTCGACGAGAGCGAATGCGTTTTTTACTATGTTTTACCACTGAAGCAGCGTGAGATATTTTTGGACAAGAAGGGGTATGACAAATCGAGCAATTAAGGAAGTAATAGCAGAGAATAATCGCACGTCTACACATGGCAGGCAGGGGCCGGCAAAGGGACAATCTATTTGACAACCCGGGTTGTTACTCTTATTTGGCAACCCCTGTACAAATCCCATGTAAAACAAGACTCGTATCTTTTGCGAATTTCAAGTCGAAACAACGCGGCGAGAGGTTGAGAACCATTCCTTCCTCCACCTGGCGCCCCATGCAACCTTTTGCGACCTTGGGAGAAGCCTTCTTCATGACGGAAAACAGGATTTTATCGATGATGGACTCAGTGATGACGAAATGGGAAATCAGTTACATTGTGGAGTCCTTTAAGAGACAGATGACGATCTAGCTTAAAGAGCCGGGGCCAGGTACCATAAGGACTACTGGCATAATCGACATTTAAAAAATGGTGGCCTTACATGGAGTTAGTCAACCCGGGTTGTCAAATAGATTGTCCCGCCGGCAAATAAGCATTTTCAACCGCCAAAAAGCAAAGCGGATCCTAGGAAGGAAACCGGACTAGGGCAAAATGCTCATTGCAGGGATCGAACCTGCGGCCTTCGCGTTATTAGCACGACGCTCTACCGACTAAGCTAAACGAGCTTATCCAATTGTTAATTGGAACTTGTTGAGAATCTGAATTCTTTTATATATATTCATAAATTTCCTACATTCTATAAGTGCAAGATGGGTATTTGCGCCTATTTATTCCGTAAGTGCAAGGCTTCAAGGCCTTTGCGGACATGCCCCCATAAAATAACCAATAAACCCTGGCAAAGATTGTCCACTGGAAAAAAAAAAAAAAAAAAAAAAAAAAAAAAGGCCTTTGCGGACATGCGTCTCGTGCTCATGGGGATTTATGTTAATAAAAAAAAAAAAAAAAAAAAGTGCAATGCAGCAACAGCTAGACGGCTGGCAGGAAGCAACTGAGAAGGTCAATATGGATGGATAAAGAGCATAGAACAAAGAGCGCAAGCTTTGGGAGACGAGGCAAAAGCAAGCCAAGGATCGAGGACAAGCCGCGAGAGGACAGGGACGAAGCTTCACACAGATGACAGACAAGACCATTTGGACAGCACTCAAGAACAAGATCAAGGGCGCTTCGGCGATTCGGCAAGCAGGCAACACACCTGGCCGTGTGGAGGACGAGACAAGGGACAACGATCAAGGGGCCTGGACGGTTCAAGATTTGTACCACGGACTGACACCGGCGGCTCTCACCAAGGACTGGGAGAGCCTTTTCGAGACGACCACCTCGATCGCGAGGTACATGGTCGGCCGATTTGTCAAGGCCATCGAGGGATTCGGACGGACAGAAATCTGGAACGAAAGGTGCAAAGTCACCGTCGACTGGGAAAGGGAAAATGGGATCACTACCATGAACAAACGCGCCTGGGGACGCAACTGTGTTGGAGAGCACAGACGTAGTGGTAGTGGTTTCGTTAGGTCCTCCAGGAGACAACGACGCGCATTGGATGTGAAAGAGATCGAGGAACGAGCGGACAAGCGAGTGCTGCAAAGTTGCATGCAGCAGGTGGAGCTAAACGTGATGGAACGCACCGGCAACTGTAAATTTTTGATGATTGAGGAACGCGGCTAAAAGATGACCTTTGCGCACAACAGGCCAAGTAGGGAGTAGGGCTTAGTCACCGACCCCAGGCGGGGTCGAGTTACCACTCATGCTGACGGGGATTGTGAAGGGGATTGGAGCTGCGAGTGACTAGCAGCGGTGCGGTAAAAGCCGCTTATTAGAATATTGAGCACCCTTTACTATGCCTCTAGCAATAGGGATCCCTAGTCTAGAGTCCCTCACTATAAATCCGTGGGTTCTAGTTATCAAAAAAAAAAAATAATCCATAAGTGCATGTTTCACAATATGCATGTGTCTGCCTTGAAAATAAAAAGAGCAGAACGTTTCACGTCTTTTTTCTCACCACACTTTTTACACCAGCCTGCTTTATTCACTCACCACGACCATGACTTCACGACTCTCTCAAATTGCCTCCCATCTTATTCCTGACTCGATGCATCACCACCAGCATCAACAAACGAACGGGACCAAGATCGGAATCAAATCCGAGGACGATGTTATCATATCCTGCGCTGTACGCACACCGATCACCCGTGGGTTCAAAGGAGGATTCAAAGACACGGTGCCGTAAGCTGCTCGTTATTTTATTTTGCGGACCAAAAGACGGATAGGATATAGTATACGTAGGATGCTTATAAAGTGTTCATCCTCTCGACAACCCCTCCCCCCCAAAAAAGTGAAGACCTTTTAGCACAAGTTCTGATCGCCGTTAAGGAGCGCACAAAGATCGACCCTGCTCTTGTTGAGGATATCTGTGTAGGAAACGTCCTCCAGCCCAGTGGAGGTGCCACTACCTCCAGAATGGCAGCTCTCTATGCCGGCTATCCCATCGGGACGACTGTTTACACCGTCAATCGACAATGTGCTTCGGGTCTTCAAGCTGTAATCAATATCGTGGATGCTATTCAGACGGGTCGCATCGAGATCGGTATCGGTGCAGGAGTCGAGTCCATGACGATGGGCTATGGCTCTTCGGCCATGGCGGCCAAGTCCTCGGAAAAGATCCCAAAGGCATCACAGGAGGCTGCTGATTGTCAGCTCTCCATGGGGTATGCGGTGCTCATGAGAAATGTGTGCTGAAAAAGGGGTCATTGTTGCGTCACATACTGATGTCAAAGCGCCGCGCTTTTTTTGCTGTGCGTATGCGTGCATTTTTTTACGCGCTTCGCAAATTAGAATCACGTCCGAGAATGTGGCGCACGACTTTGGCATCAGTCGTAAGGCACAGGACGAATATGCAGCGCTCTCATTCCAACGTGCCTCGCTCGCCCAGAAGGAGGACCGGTTCAAGGACGAGATCGTGCCCGTGCAAACCTTCATCAAAGAAAACACGACCGCCACCACATCCGGCACCGCCGGTAAAGACAACGCGGGCGATAACGATGGTCAGATGAAGGCGGTCGTCATCAGTCAAGACGACGGCATCCGTGAGGGTGTCACATTCGACTTGCTCAGCAAGATTCGCCCCGCGTTTTCGCAGGAAGGGACCACGACTGCAGGTAATGCCTCTCAGATCTCCGATGGCGCTGCAGCTGTGCTGCTGATGAAACGAAAGACTGCCCAACGACTCGGCTTGCCCATCCTCGGAAAATTCATCACCTCTGCGGTCAAGGGTGTGCCGCCTCGTATCATGGGAATCGGTCCAGTCGCCGCGATTCCGGCAGTCTGTCAGCACGCAGGTATCTCGGTCCAGGATGTCGATGTGATCGAGCTAAACGAGGCCTTTGCGAGCCAGACATTGTATACGATTGAGAAGTGTGGGCTGGACGTTCACAGGGTCAACCCGAACGGTGGCGCCATCGCGCTAGGACATCCCCTTGGTACGACAAACACGGCACATCGATGCTTATCAATTTGCTGGGCTCATTTTGTGTGCATGTGAGACTTACTGCTCATTATATGTATATTGTTGTTTATAGGTTGCACAGGCGCACGCCAGATTGCGACGTTGTTGAACGAACTCAAACGGCGCAAGGCACGACTGGGAATGATCACCATGTGTATGGCTACAGGTATGGGAGCCGCCGCTCTCTTCGAGAACGAGTCCTAAGCTCGTGAAGATGAACGAAATGCAGCTAGTCAAGCCCTCCAGGAACATGCATTCTTTACCTGGTAAAGGCTGAGCTTTATCGCGCACAAAGCAAACAGGGACCGAGCTATTTTATGGTTCAAATGTACCTCGTGAAAATAAAACAATAAATGAAAGTTTGAAAAAGCCAATCGAGCTTTTACAACGTCAACCAGGGTGTTTATGCGATAAATTAAGTGGTAGTAGATTGTGCGTCTAGTCTATAGTAAGAGACATTGTGCATATGGCCCCGGAGCGGGAGGCGAGGATGGACATACGGCCCCCCTCAACAAAATGGTCACATTGAGCTGGGCGAAAGAAGGGGGGTCAATGAGCAGCCCTAACTTTAGAACATGGCGTAGCCGACAACAGCAACCAAGCCCATGGCCCAAGCACCAGCCTTGACAATTCCAGCAGCGCTGTCGATGTTCTTGTTCGAGGTGATGGTGGGGCTAGAAGTCGCAGGGCCAGAACCGCTGGCAGTGGTAGCGGTGCTAGCGGGGGCAGCAGGGCTAGTGGTAGCGCCGCCAGGAGCAGAGGTGGGGACAACAGCGCCAGGGGCGGTGCTGGCGGAGGGAACAACGGGCACAGTGGTCGGGGGAACGGTGGATCCGCCGAGGTAGGCGGGCTTGCCAACGCACTCCTCCATGGTGACGAACCTGTAGCCCTTGGCGAGGATAGCGTCAATGACACGGTCGGCCAAGAGATCAACCGAGAACTTGTGGATCTCATGCTGGAGAAGGATGAAGGAATCGGTAGCAGGATTGGAATCCTGGATGATGACCTTGTTGAGCTCGACCATGGACTTATCAGTGGCCTCCTGGGCAGACAGGGCCTTGAAGCGCCAGTCGTTGGTGTCGACGTTCCAGTGAGAGATGACCAAGCCCATCTCGGTCATCGTCTTGGTGCACAGCCCAGCGCAGCGGCCCTCAGGCGCACGCATGTACGCAGGGCGGACGCCCGAGTTCAGGAACATGATCTCGGCGGTGTCGGTAATCTCCTTCTTCATCTGGTCCACAGTCATGAGGTCCATGTTGCTATGGCTGTATGTGTGCGATGCCAACTGATGGCCAGCAGCGAGAACCTTCTTGAGAGCGCCAGCCTGGCCAGCGTCCTGGGCAATCATGCTGCCGCTGTTTGTGAAATAATTCAGGGGAGGGAAACATGTGGATGGGGTGAGTACAACTGGACGCGTTTTGCTGTTGTTGCAAATGAAGCAGATCAAGGGAGGTTTTCCCCCTGGGATGGACCGTTGCAGATCGAGTGGCAACAGCAGTGGTGGTAACAGAGGCTTACAGGACAAAGAATGTGGCCTTGACGTTCTTCTTGGCCAAGATAGCCAAGAGGGCGTCGTTGTACGAGCCAGGACCATCATCAAAGGTCAATGCAACAACACCAGGCATGGTGCAGGTGTCGATCTTGTTGGGATCGTCGGGCATGGCGGCAGTGGCGACGGAGGCCAAGAAGATGGCAGAGAAGGAGAGGATGGTGTTGATCTTCATGGTTGTATATGGTATGTAGATGGTAGGATGTAGAGGAGAGTGAGAGGTAGGGTATGCGTTTCGGGAGAAGGGAGGTGTAGTGGCAGGGTTTCTTATGTGTTGGAAGGGGACGTGGTCTTTTTTCTTGGACAGAAAAAGGTGTGTGTACTGTTACAGAGGTGGGGGAGAAGGAGGGTATTTATGCAGTCAAGTTCAGAGATAAAAAAGTGAGGAGGAGGATGGGGTTGAGGTCGAGAGCAGCTCATTTTATGGTTTCTGTAAACAAAGTGTTTATCTCTGAAGAGCATTGCACCCCTGCCTGGGGAATCCCCGGTAACGAAGACCAAGGTGTGGGCGATGACTGGTCCAGCGCGCAGAAAAGATGGGCGTAAAGAACTCAATTTAGAATTAAATGCAACGTCTTTTCGTTTTTAATTGCAAGATGGGATAATCGAACAATCCGCCGCGACCGGCAGTTGGCCCCATGCCCTGCTCAGCAAACCCAGACACAAAAATAAGTCAGAGGTAAATATAGCTGGACTGAATCTCAAGCAAATGCCTGCAACCAAACGACAATGCGACAATGCGGATGGCACCAGTTCCCAAAACAAACAGAGTAGTCTACTGTCCATATACACCCTTTAAAATAGATTCACTTTGTGCTGAACTTTCTCTTGGGAGTGTCGCTATTATCAGCCGTGCGCCTATTTTCAGTTTTTTTTTCCTTCCTTCTTTGTTTGCCTGTGCTTTCTGCGCGTGCTCTACCAGACAAGTTTGATCAACTTTGTTCCTTTACACCCAATAAGGAATACACCAACGTCCAATAACAGTGAAAAAAACGAGGCACAGCCTTCTTTTTCTTTATTTCCATGGCTAGGGATAAGGGTTGCCTGCTTGGCGCGATTTTATCACCAAACTCGAATGGCGCTGCCTTCTATGTACACCGCCAACGTTCAAGGGGACAAGTCCTCGACAAAAATAAAGCTTGACTGTACTGACATCCAGCGTATGAAGGTACATGTGAGACCTAACCCGTAGGCAGTTCACCTTGAATCGCCGTGAATATCTAATATAATTGACCTATGGCTGTTGCCCTGCCCCAGGCACTAATGTCATCATAGCCCAACACCGCCCCTGTTCAAATTTTATAATGTGAGTTGTTTCATTCATTTGCACTGCTTGAAGAAACCTTGCTGAGACCTTCAATTCGAATTTCATACGATATGTATTATGCGCTGCTTGAAAACCTCTTCGGTGCCTACAATAAACTTTAAGAAAAAAAATTGTCGAGAAAGTCTTTGTCGATCCGAAAGTTGGCGTCAAAATGTATGTGGGATGAAAATGTGGGTGGGCCAATCGATCATCTCGGAGTTTTCGTTGGGCCTCTTTAGAATAAAATCTTAAGGCTCAAATCCCGATCTCGATCTTCAGCAAGAGTCGTGGCATGTCTTTGTGGTTCTTAGTTATTCAGCGGAAAGTTTCATGCTACTACGAACAGGTCCCTCTACCTGAGCTGGCATAAAGAGACGCTGTCGCGTGAACTATTGAGGATTAAAAAAAAACCTCCTCAACCCCAGATGACTAGGATCTTTTTGGTTTTGCGCCGCCGAAACTCGAAGTTCGAACTTGCAACATCACAAGAGATATGAGCATGTTCTCCAAGGAATACCTTAGTCGTAGTACCTTTCGTTCAATCAGGCCTATTGCATTGCTCCCTCTTTGTGCTCCAGCAAAGAGCGATTGGCTGCATGCATGGCCCTGGATACGACAGACTTAGACGGTACGAGAACAAAGACAGGGAAAAGAAATTATGGCTGACAATTATATCCTGGACTCAGGCAAGCTCTTAATCTCCGTTGTGGATGAGGAAGAAGAGGAAGAGGAGGAGGCTAATTTAATGCTTGTTATTGACTCACTCATCTGTCAGGGTTTGTACATTGCAGCAATCGTTCTGCTTTGTCAAAGATTAGCCTGCCATGTTTTGCAAGAATGCTATTTTGCTTCGGCATAACCATGGCAAGTCAAGTAGCACTCCGTAAAATAGAGATATAGGGGGAACTGTCTCGCGTGAATGGGACAAGTGAGAAAGCAGACAACTGCGAAGAGCCTACTTTGAATAGCGATACTATAAAGCCGCTGCGCCTCTTTGCAACGCGAGTGGAGAACACAAGATGCGATGACTATAATATATGAGATAGTAATGTGATGTTTGAATGGAAGAAAAGGGGGAAGAAATAGCAAGGCAAATGATGGCTGTGGACTTCACCTGGTCGTTCAAGGGCATTTTTGACAGACCAACGGGCATGTGGCGATTGCACGGAGCAGCGTGGCGGGGTTAGAATATGCAGAGAGCAAAGGGCGTAAGGCCAAGTCAGAAAAAAAAAGATCAGCAGTCAGCCAGTCAGTCATTCTGTACTGTACGACAGCACGGACATGAGTGGGCGAATGATGTTGTTGCATGTCTGCAGTAGGTTGTTGTTTTGTCTTGCAGAAATGTGCTTGGGCGTAGTGTGTGGACGGACGGTCAGACAGAAGAAATAACAAAGGAGAGGCGTGGAGAAATCATGTACATATACCTGAGCATCAACAGGAGCAGCTACAGGGGTAATTGTAACTGCAGACTGCAAAGCATACAAGGGTGGGTCTACAGGAAGAGGTTTTCGATCGCTCAATTAGTTGCAGCGCGTAACGAACTGCAACATGTGCACATACGGTAATGAACATTAAGATGCAGGAGGTTTGCCACGAGTTCACGCCTATCACAACTTCTGCTAGAAGACACCTAAAAAAACTCTCCGCGAGAATGATTTAGAACTTTTATCCTCTCGGTTTTTGCTGTTCTTCCTGCTGCTGCTCACTTCATAATTCATACGTTTGCGCGCGCGGAACACGAATGACATCAAAGGTGCAAGCCCAACCTTTTCATTTCCGAGCCTTTGGCCACGATCGTCCCATCTGCAATTGCAGCAAGCTGTTTACTTTTCCACCAACAAAAAACACAGATTAGACTAAGGCATCTACATATCTACATCTCCATCTCTGCTATCCCTTGCCTTCACACAGGCACACTCAGCAGTGGCAGGGCTCTCAATCCAAACAAAATAATAATAATTCATAGCTTGATTCTGCATCCGCATCACTCGATACTCCAAGTCTACCGGGCCATTTACGACTGATGGATAAGTGAGCTCGTAGCGGGCAAAATTTTTCAACACTTCCCCACACTTTATTCTTGGTTAAAACCAACTGCAGGCCTGCAGACACTATCTTGCCTTTTCCTCCCGCAGTCGGGTTGCTTAGATCCTGACTTGGATATGCCTACCGAACGACGTTGTTTATATTTCAGACGTGCATCTATCAGTGTACCATTCGAACTTTCGTGCAATGGCCCTGGCAATCGTTTTCTTTTAGTACCCCATAAAAACAAAAGGGCGTCCAGTACGCTATTTCGCTTGATCTTTTGCCGCGCAGGCTTTTACCTTCTCCGCGGATGTATCGACGAATTGCGCTGAGAATTGCAACCTGGGTGGCTAGATTCGACTTCATTGAGGGGGTGTTTGGTGTAAAATAAAAGTTAGCACGCGGTCTTCTCGTCCCAATCAACGTGATGAAGGAAGCATCTTTGACGTACAGGGAGGATGAGTGATGAATACGCACTTATTCAATTGGGATCCGGTTCCCGACCGAGGATCGGCCTAGGGACGCATCCATCCATATTTCCATTGTCTGCTGTAGGCGAGTATAGGAACACTGAGAAGCACGTTATTGTAGACGCGATAGCCAGTATCTGTGTTTTTCCATGTTTTTTTAGGTTTTTTTTCCGGCCTAACTTGTAGGCTATATACTCTTCCCTACACTACGCCGCGGTCATCTCTAAACTCTTCCTCGCCAAGCAGTTGTGCTCTCTTGGTCACTCGCACACAGCCTTTTAATCTTGCACATTATGATAGTCCTTAGGCTGCTTATTTTTACTTTTCTACTTCTTGGTCGTGTGCTGAAAGGCAGGCAGGCAGGCAGGCAGTCGGACGGGCAGACATGTTTTTCCATCTTTCATTAATTTGACGGGTTGATGCCACTGCATGTCCCCATTGAGCTATCAAGCAGACTAAGGCGATAATTCATCCATCGCATCCTCTTTCATGCAACTCAATAGCATGCTACATCTGTGATTGTGTCTTTGTGTTTTGTGTTTTGTCCACCAGAGTCGAGAGTTGATGTTGTTTGTGTGTGCGCATTTGTGTTGCCAGTTGGCCCATCTGACTCTTTCATTACATTTGGTTCTGTACTCATTCAAATAGAAAAATGAAGGGTTTCTTTCCCCCCCCCACAGACTTTAAACGTTTTTTCTTTTTTACACACGCACCCCCAAACGCACGTTGTCTTCTGTCTTCGTTTCTTGTGTTGATTCATCCCATTCATCTCTTGTCTGTTCATCCTTCATTCTCACATTCGACATCGTGTCCAACTTCTCGTCCAAACCAGTCCTCCTGAATTGCAGTTCAGGGCAATATCCGTACTTCGTTATCGCGCTAGCCCTGTCCCTCTCATTTTACCCCACACTTTCGCCCAGCACACTCCCACACCCCACTCTTTCACATTTCCACACCTCCACGCTCTCACACACTCACACATCCCTTTGCCCACAGCCATGGGAAATGTCTCCAGCGCAGACCATGACAAGGTCAGCGAGTTGCTGACTCGGAGGGCCAAAAAGAAGATCATTGACCGGAACAGGAAGCTGCAACAGCAACAGCAGCTTCGAAATTCAGGGGGCAATACGAACGGAGTCTATCTCAACGGCGGCAATAACAACAGCAACGGGACCCGTCTCCCTGGCCTGCCCATGCAGCGCCAAAAGTCCTCCTCTCGCGCTCAGCAGCTACCCCATCCTCTTGACCAAAACGAGTTTTACAGCGCCGTCTATCTGAGCAGTAGCAACACCAGCAGCACTACTCGGGTATCCGAACTTCCGCTCCACAGTCCCTCCTCACCGTCCTTCTCCATCCCGTCCTCGGCTACAACCCCAACCTCGAGCAACTACCAGAGCGACCTGCCTTATTCTTCCAGATACGATGAGCGCCTTGCAGATGCAATCTCCGCTTCTGTATTGCCCACTTCTCCACAGCAGCAATGTACCCCACAACGACCTCCACACGCAACGCCCTCGATGGGGCAATACTATTCCACTCCGATTGTTATCACCCAGCATCGGCATGGTCACACAAGTGCCGTGAGCGTCGATGACAGCCAGCTCGGAAAGGGCCCCGCGATGTCGGGATATACGCCACCAAGGCGCGGCTCAGAGCATACTCTGCAGCTACTGCAGCAACAGCAACAGCAACAGCAACACCACTCTGCGGATATTACCCTGCTGGGGACATCGCCCGAGGCCAAGGACTGGCTGAAGCAGAAGCCGACCCGTTCCTCGACTCATTTGATCCACCAGTACAACTTTCACCCCCATCAGTACTACCAGCAACCCGGATCCATCTCGATCAAGGTTGTCAACAACACCTGCCGCAACATGAGTGACTATGCCAACGTACCTACGCTCTCAAGTCTTGGTGTACGATCCTTCGGTGCTAATGCAGGTCAAAGTCCGACTATGTCACTTAACGGCAGCAGGAGCACGCCGACTACTAATGGCAAGAACGGCGCCCCTAGTTTCAACTCAATCTCGACTACAACTCAAAACAATGGCGATAGCTGCACTCTCCATGGCAGCCGGACAAACTCGTCCGCCCCAATTCCCAACACGCGAGCCAGAGGAATGAGCCAGCCAGAGACGGGTGTTCACGCACATGATCACTATGGACAGAGTGTCCATCTTGACGCACCACCCCAGAAGCAGCCTTTAGCTAGCAAATTGGTGATGTCTCGCTCCAAGCTGGCTTCACCATTGGCCACTTCGGTCCTTTCGTCCACGAATACCAGCTCCTCGCCCCCGCTCGGTTCACCAGTGGAGACGTCAACGACCAATGGGTATGCATCCTCAGAAATGGACGGCTACAGTCCAGCCAACCCCTCGGGGCCACGCCATCATCGGCCTAGTTCAACCCTATCCTCACTTCGATCCTTATTGGGCAATCATCCCCAGGGACTGTCCCTGATTGAGTCTCTGGAGGAGGACGACGACGACGATTTGGAATCACTGTCCGACACCGAGACTGGCGACTCTGAAGCAGATCTTATTCAGCGCACACAATCCCTTACGACCGCGGATGTCCCTGCTACTGCTGATCCAGCTAGCGGTGACTGCGCAGCAGCGGCAACCGGTCAGGAAAAGCGGCAGGTGCGAAAGCGACCTCCACCCCAATTCGATTGGATGGCGGCAAGGAGGCGGTTCAGTGCCTCTAGTCTCTCTACTATCAGTCGGGATATCCAAGACAGGTAAATAGTCGCCAGAGCACAATTCGTATTGCTCCCATGGGATGTTGTGTTTTTTTTTTTCCTGCAATTCATTTCTGACTTTGGAGATACAAGAAAGCAACTGCTGACTAAAGTTTTATCTGAATATTGCATCCCGCCCATGTTTGCAGTCAAAAGGGACAGCATGCACTTTGGAAATATATCGGCGGAGGCAATTCACATGCGCCCCTTCGGTACGATATCGATAAAATTCTGGATTCTGGCTGTGGCCTGGGAGAGTGGACGATGGTAAGTTGCCCAAACAGCAGAGTGCATGAAAAATCAGATGCCTGTCAACACCGGATGCAAGGGGTCCTCTCCTCCACATGTATCCCGCATCAGCACGTGGCTGTGGAAGCATCTTTTCCGCTCCACAACCAAAACATTGCGATTCCAAATATGTTATTGACGATTTATTTTTATTCATTCCGCATAGGAAATGGCCAAGGAGTTCCCCAACGCAACAGTCTATGGTATCGACATCAATCCCGAGCTGTTCCCCAGTGCTCATCAACCTGTTCCCAGCAACTGTCTGTTCACGCAGTCAAACCTGTTGACTCGACTCTCATTTCCGAACCAATATTTTGATTTCATCTACCAGCGCTTCCTCTATCTCGGTCTCACGGTGGATGACTGGCCAGTAGCGCTCAAGGAGCTCAAACGTGTGATGAAGCCTGGAGGATGGATTGAGCTATTTGAACCCTGCATGCGAGTCCATCGAGCGGGTGCGCGCACGAGGGAGGTGATGCGATGGTGCTCACGCCTGTTGCAGGAGGAGCGTGGACTGGATTTTGATTTCGCAGGTGAAAAGATGAAGCTGCTGTGCGAATCAGACGAGATTGGGTTCCGGAATGTCAAACTGGAGCGACTGTCGATCCCCGTGGGTTCATGGGGCGGACGGGTCGGACAGGCGATGGCAGAGAACATGGTGCTGATCTTTCAGAATTTGCAGTCAGCACTTATCCCCGATGACACGACTACGCCGAATGGGCCTGCTCAGAAGGCCTTTGATGTGATGGTCCAGAGTTGGATCCGTGAGTGTGAGGAGAATAAGTCTTACATTGACTATTTCATCCTCATTGGTCAGCGGCCGCTGGAGTAATAGAGGTAATAGATGTGGATGGGAGGCGGCAAGAGACCCTATACCAGAGATGGGGGGCGTGTATGGACAGGCAGCGATTCTTGGAGGGGAGAGAGAGAGAGAGAGAGTAACTGGGGTTGGCATGTTTGCTTGATCTCATCATTGTACATGTATCTAGTTTTGTATATATACACTACTATCAAAAAGTCTCTTGGGGACCAACAAGAAAAAGTGTCCGACCAAGGTCTTGTTCATCATCATCAAAATGTAAAATGTGAAATGCACTGGCCATCCGAATTATCCTGTAGAAAGTTGTCAGAAGCGGTGAAGCGAACGTATTTTTTTTTTTTTTTTTTTGGCAAATATTATATTCTTGTGTCTCGATAAGCGAACCAAGGTTGTGCTCAGAAGCACACACCCACGCTTCTGGATATTGGTTGTAACACGAAGGGCTCCTCGATAAGACGAGCTTGCATTATCAGTATTTCCTGCAAGCATTACGATGTTAACGCTCGCTTATTCTTGTGCACTGTTATCTGAACAAACAGTGCTTTCACTCCAAACGAATATCGGCGATGGGTACAATCACCCAAACCGACTGCAGAATAAAAAAGATCGATAACCGGTGGCGCAGGGGTGTCAATTGAGGAAGATGCAAAATAATGGAAACATAGCGTCAGAGCAGTGGTGGGTAGTACTGAAATGCATCGATTAAAGAGGTCATGGTCAACGATCCAAGACTTAGGCGACATTTCGATGAACTATGCCGATGGTATTGCGGAAGACACGCCGCTGTCCGCGTGCCATTTTCACTTTGAATCGCTATTACCTATTTTCTTCTTGGCCCTTTTGCTCTGTTTCCATTCTTTTCACTTGTAATGTTTACAGTGGAGACCAGGTGTTGTGGGCGTGGCAATGCAGACTATCTGTGCCTGGAATTGCTTTTTAGCTTGAGAGTGGTATGAAGGAAAAAAAGATCTTATCAGTAGTGTATCTCCTCTTGTGTACCGCTCCACAATGTACACGTTACAGGTACATACATACACATGCCTGCTTCCTCGAAGTAGAAACCGAAGAGGGGTTCGTCGAGAGAACGAGAGAGAGAGAGAGAGAGAGAGAGAGAGGGGATGATGTAGCTCAGAAAAAAAAACACAACAAATAAACAAATGAGTTTTGCCCAACCGGATGCCTACTTGTCATCCGCATATTGTTTGTTAGCTGGTTCTGTTCCTGTTTTTGCTCTTACTCTTCTTTGTTAACGCAGCTTTGCGTATTGACCTGACTATTATATAGTTGATATAAACGTTGTCGTGGGGGCTCTTGGCCAGTTTATTTTTGTTTTACATTGGGTATCCGAGATGAAAGAGAGGAAGGGTGTTCAAGAGAGCGTGAGACTACAATGAAGTTATCAGTTGCTGTAGAAGGATAAAGTTGAGACCAACATGGGGTGCCAGCCAATAAGGGACAGCCCGCAGACGGGCTCTGGCTGAGATTCGTCTGATTTTTGATAAGATGTGTTATCTCTTGCCACTCAGACGCCCGCATTCCCCTCATCCTCTTGATATTTTTTTTTCTTATTTATCCCCCGACACAGTTCCCTCTCCTCCCTTTCTCTTTCTTCTCCTTTCTTCTCCTTTCTCTTCTTTTCTCTCTCTCTTTTACCCCACACTCTCTTCCGCCACCAATCTTCCCCTCCCTCTTCCCTCTCCCTTTCCCCCCTCTCCGCCCCCTCTCACTCCGCCCCGTCTCCTTCATTACCTCCCTCCACTCAACCCTCACTCCTTTAAAACACCATGCAATACCCAGTTGCCCTCCAGACAACAACATCCTTAAGCGGCTCTTCCCCTGCCTCTCCAGAGCCCCACACTCCCATCCCCGAGAATGAACCCAAGGTGATCAAGATCACCAACTGCAAGATCCTGCGCGAGCACAAGATCGTTGAGAATGACGCCATCTGGATCCAGGGTGGCAAAATCATCGACCCCCACAAGTTCTTCTGGTACCAGAAGCGTCTTCCCGACACCGTCCTCGATGCTGGCGGACTCCTCGTCGTCCCAGGTTTCATCGAGGCTCAAATCAACGGTAAGCAGCGCTGTAAATCCATCGGAACACTGTCATCCTCGCCACAGGTGCTTTATGTTCATTGTTCATAACAAAGCATGGGGACAGAAAAAGTTATCGTTCTTGTTGTTTGTGAAGGGATATTCAAGCATGACATGTTGTGCTTTTTATTCTATTCTTTTTTTTTTATTTTATTATTTTTACCACGCCCTTCATTACACAGCCTTTTCCCTACCCTCACTCGTGCATGTGTACATCCTCCTCCTCCTTGTCCTCCCACCAGGACCTCAGCGAACTCTCCTTTTGGTGGCCCAGATACCTGGCATCGAGGCACAAGAGCCATTTTTTTTGTTGTTCATTTTGATTCAGAGCGATGTGATTCGATTTGTTTGTGTGTGATGTCAGTCATCATCTTTTTTGTTTGTTGGCAATTCTCTCGACAAAAAAGAGGGTTTATGTCCCGCAATTGGCACAAAAGTAGAGGGCACGCCCACACCATGGCCTCGCCTTTGGCTTATCGAATAGCCGGCCAATACAGGACCATCAACAAGGAACAAAATGGCCGTTAGGCTAATCAGCAAACCTGTCGATAAAAAACATATGAACATCCTGTTTGCATGTCCGTGTCCCTGACCTCTGTTCGTTTTTTTTTGTTGTCTCACATAGGTGCATTTGGAGTAGACTTTTCTGTCCCATCTGACCATGATACTTACGAGAAAGATCTGTTGAAGGTCAACCGTGGTCTGCTCAAATACGGAACCACCTCCTACTGCCCCACCATCGTCTCATCCTCAGCCTCAGTATACCATCAGGTGAGCAATCGACTACCAACCTACAAATGTCTGCAATTTGCAAACCCTTCAAGTGCTCGTGGTTCTCGAATCTCCTTTACTGACTGAATGTATGTGATGATGAATAGGTCCTGTCCCACTTGAAGCCACGAGCTGGATCTGTTAAGACTGGTGCCACCATCCTCGGTGCCCACGTCGAGGGACCCTTCATTAACGAAGCCCGTATCGGTGCCCACGAACTGAAAGTCCTGCAGCCCTCTGCAAAGAACGGTTACGCCGACTTTAAGGACGTGTATGGTTTCGAGGGCGACACCCCCGAGGCACAGAACAAGCTGTCGGAGGAGCATCAAAACTCGGTCAAGATCATCACATGCGCCCCAGAACTTGAGGGTATCATGGATACCATTCCCGATCTTGTCAAGGCTGGAATCACAGTTTCTGTCGGTATGTTGTGCTTTAATACATTTTTTTTTAGGTTATCCGTTTGACAGTGTGACAAATGAAAGGATGTCCAAACCCTTTGAGGTCCTCGATTTCTTTGTCTGCTGACATTAATTCTCGTTTACTTTCCCACACACGCATAGGTCACTCCATGGCCAATGTCTCCCAGGCAGAGGAGGCTGTCAAGAAGGGCGCAACGTTCATCACTCACTTGTTCAATGCCATGCCACAGTTTCACCACCGCGACCCCGGTGTGATCGGTCTCTTGGGCTCCCGCTTCGATCTGCCCCGCCCATACTACGGTTTGATCTGCGACGGTATCCATGTGCACCCCAATTCGGTCAAGATCGCATACGACTCCCACCCAGAAGGTGTCGTCCTGGTCACGGATGCCATGTCCGCCATGGGTCTCGCACCTGGAAACTATCAGCTCGGGAACATGAACGTCACGAAGGAAGAGGACCGCGTCTACATCGAGGGCACAGATACGCTTGCCGGAAGTGTCATCACCCTGGACGCCTGCATCCGAAACTTTATCCATTATACATCCTGCACGTTGATTGAGGCCCTTGAGGCCGTGACGCTGCATCCTGCAGTACTGTTGGGCATCCAGGAGACCAAGGGTGTAATCAAGACCGGTGCGGATGCCGACCTAGTCTTCTTGAGCGATGACCTCTATGTGAAGCGCGTCTTTGTCGCAGGCGAGGAGGTCGATTTGGATGCCATTGATGTCCAGATCACAGAGAAGTTCTAAACTGGTGGTCGGAGGTGGAGGTGGAGGTGGAGCCTTGCCTCGTCGTACATAATATAGAGAAAATAAAAATGTAAAAAGCATAGGGAGTTTTCCTAAATCCGGGCGCGTTTAGTCGTCAAAATCCGTCATCCAAAAAGACATCTGCCCTCCGGGTGGTGCGTTTCAAATCCTCCCTACAAATCCGACTATAAGCGATCTGAAGAGATAGATCACTCTTCTGTCTACAGGCCCCGCTTCAGCGCAACAAAAGTCAGTCCAGAGAGCACTTTTCCTATGATCTCGAGAGGGAATGGTAGGAGGGAATTTTCATTGACATGGGGAGATATCGAAAAGTGAAGCCATTTGCCACATGGTCTTTTTCAGATCCGCCAAAAGAAATCAAAACCTCCCTGTAATGACTGACACTCATTGAACAAAGCATGCTAGACTATTAATAAAGAGACCAAAGAGCATCATATATTTTGCAATCAGAAAAGGATTTATTTTAAAGGCAGTTTCATATTGGTTCGTTCATCTTCCTAAGAAGAAAAAACATACAATTGCGGTCGAGCTGGTCGAGTTTGGTGTAGGAAATGGGTATAGAGAATTAATGGTGAGAGGGACAAAGAAAGAAAGAAAAGAAAGAGAAAAAAAAAAAGCAAAAATGGATGTCGACCGGCGAATGTTCGATTGATGATGGTGATTTGTTGTTTCATTATACAAGCTGTTATGGACACGGCTGCATCCACAACAACGGCTCTTTTCCGTTCGACTCTCGACGGTTTGCTTTAGTTGCTGCCGTAGAGGGCCTTGATCTGAGAGACGTAGGCCTGGTTAATCTCCTTGCGCTTCAGCTTCTGAGCAGCCGTCAACTGGCCAGCCTGGGCGGTCCATTCCTCAGATTCCAAGTAAACGCCCTGAAGCATCTCGGCGGGCTTGAGTCCAGCGCGCTTGGCGGTGGCGAGGCAGGCATCGAGGACAGCCTTGACGATGACCTTGTCATGGCAGAGCACACCAAAGTCCTTGCTCTCAATACCCTTAGCCTTGGCCAACTCGAGGATACGGGGCTCGCTGGCGACAATCAGAGCGACGGGCTTGGACTGCATCGAGTCTGCGTAGACGCAGATGTTGTTGCAGTAGGCTGTGCTCTTGTAAACAGACTCCAACTTCTCCAAGGCGATGTACTCTCCGTGCGACAACTTGACCAAGTTCTTCTTGCGATCGATAATCGAAATAGTACCATCGGGGTGCCATTCTCCAATATCACCAGTCTTGAGCCAGCGGTCAACAGTCAAGGTAGCAGAGGTTTCCTCGGGGTTCTTGAAGTATCCAGCTGTGATGGAAGGTCCACGAATGCAAACCTCTCCACGGGGGTTAGGGGAGTCGGTAGAGAAGTATCCCGCATCAGGCACATCAACCAGCTTGACTTCTGTGCATGGGACAGGAGATCCGACGCGGCCGTAGTTGAAGACTTCAGGCGTCAGGATGGCGCACATACCGCACGATTCAGTCATACCGTAACCCTGGAGAATGGGGCACAAGGCTGTGGACAGGAAGCGCTGGGTCTCATGAGAAATGGGAGCACCTCCCGAAAGAGCGAAGCGAAGACGTCCTCCAGTCTGCTGCTTGACCTTATTGAAAACGACGGCATCAAAGACTCCAGTCAAGGCTCCCAACTTGCGTTCCAGGCACCAGGCCTTGGCGTTCAATGCAGCATGGAAGATCTTCTGGACAAGAGGAGAGCCCTGACCAACCTGGGCCAAGACTCCCTTGCGGATGGTCTCCCAAACAGCGGGGACACCGGTCATCAAGGTGGGACGCAACTCCTTGATGTCACCCTGGCACTCGCGGACGGAGGCATCGGTCAAGGTGCGGACGGTACCGTAGCCGAGAGTGACACCCCAGAACAAGCAGACGTTCTCGACCAAGAACTCGAGGACGTGAGCGAGAGGCAAGTAGGCGAGCAAGACATCTCCTTCGTGGACGTACTTGGTCAACATCTTGTTCACACCGCCAACTATTAGTTGCAGCCAAGAAGGTTCAGGGTTAAACACATTTTCCATGAATTAGTTGCCAGTTTAAAAGAAACCTGGTTGTGGAGCGAAAATCAAAATAGAATTCACAAAGCAGTACGTACTGGCAGCGACCAAGTTTCCGTGGGTGAGCAAAACTCCCTTGGGGTTGCCGGTTGATCCAGAGGTGTACATGATACAACAGTAGTCCTTGGCAGCGGGAGGAGTGGGCTCGATAGGGTTGTCGACACCGAGCTGCTTCAACTCCTCGAGGGTAATGAGCTCGAGGTGGGGGTGAGCCTCCTGAAGAGCAATGACATCGGCGGGCTTGGCCTCGCCGTCGTAGATGACCTTCTTCAATGTGGGGCATTTGCCGGCGACGTTCTTAAGAGTGTTGAGCAAGTCTGCGTTAGTGTAGGCGGTGCTGACCTCGGCCTCGTTCATCGAGTGCAAAAGACCATCCTCGCCAAGGGTGTCGTAGGCAGTGACGATGGTGATGGACTGGGTGAAGGCACCATGGGCGACCAAGAGCCAGTTGGCACTATTCACAGCAACAGAAAGATTCAGAAATTAGTGAGTAATTGTTGACCTCAGAGAAAGATACCCGTTGATGGATGCCGTCAATCGCTTCCCCACCCGCAAGTGTATGAGATGTGAGCGCCACTAGTTTCAAGGGCCGCCTCGGTTCCCAATCCAAATGCATGCAGGCAAGCGTTTCCGCGCTCCTGACCCCTCTCCCTCCCCACAACCCCATCTCACTTTCCCTCTTTTTATTTAGCCAGCGCTGTTTACACGTTCAACCCATCCAGCCGCAACTGCGCCAGGAGGAGATCATGCATCTTATCCGTCGTTCATGCAAGAAATTGGAAATCTCCGGCAGTCCCTTTCCTTTTTTCTTCGCGTTCATTGCGTCGTCGCCTTTTCCTCTATCGTAATCTCGTCCTTCCAGTTCCAATGACGTTACCTTGTAGAGCCAAAGACGGTAATCTTGTCCTTGGGCTGGAGTCCGAACTTGCGCAGACCGCAACCGATGCTGTCAACGACCTGTTTGGCGTCCTTGTAGGTCAACCAGTGGTAGCCAGACATCTTGAAGAATTTCCAGGTCTTCTTCTCCTTGACTTCCTCGCCACCGACGATCTTTGTAATCTCCTTTTCCTCCTCGATAATCTTAACAACCTTGCGGTAGCCGATCGCATTGAGGTTAGGACGGACCTTGACGGAGTAGTTTAAGACGTCGTACAGGGTCTTGACATCGTCCGTAGGTGAGGACATGAGACGCTTAGCAGAGAGGACCGAGCGGCGGATACGGGTCTCGCCCTCGACGTCCGAGGGGCCGACTTCGACAGTGAGGCACTTTGTCATGATGGGGTGTGAGTGTGTATATGTGAGTGAGAAGAACGAGGTTAGGAGGGTGTGTTATGCAAGAACGATAACACTGGGGAGAGGTGGTGGAAGAGGGTGAGGGATGAAATGAGGAACGGGAGGAATGAGTTTGATGAGACAGGGAAGAGAGAGGATCTAGTCGAGTGAGCAAGAAGAAGGGAAAAGGAAAAAGGAAAAAAAAAAAGGAAACGAAGGGAGGGTCAGTCTGCACGCTTTTATATAGGTGGAGTTGTTCAATTGGATAGAGGGAGGGCACCAGCTAGGGACGGTGGTGATGGTGCCAACGGTCGTGTTGTTTGTTGTTGGTGTTGTTTCTGCGGCCTGTTTCTATTTCATTTGCTGAACTGAATGAGGCACCAGAATCAGTTAGAGTTGGAGCATGTGCTTCCCCCTTCCTTCTTAGCAGAATCAAGTAATTTTTTATTTTTCACAAGGTACCACCATGCTGGTACCCTTCTACCTGAGTGCATTGGCATATTGTTTACACTAGCCCACTGGAGAAAAATGCGCGAGTCGTGGTTGGCCGATGAATGCAAATGAATACGAACGGACTTGGCTGAGAAGAAGTGGAGAGAGCAGCAACCTTGTCAGGCAAAAGTGGAGGCAGATGGTGGATGCATCTGAGAGCACTGAGCAAGCACAAAAAAGCAAGAACACGCAAGCTGGCATGCAACAAAGCAAGCCCACTGAACAGTTATTAACACCATTTGCAAGCACAAACACAACACAGGAGCACAAAAGACAAACAACGCCAGCAAGCACCAAGAACAAGAACGCCATCAAACACCACAACAGGATCAAGAGCACCTTGGACCATTGGGAGTGCATTTCTGTCTGTCTAGTCTAGTCTAACCAACACAAGCACAACCCAAACACAAACAACCCACAGCAACTGTCGCCATCATTCCAGCATTGGAAAGCACAGTACAGGCAACCAAGCGCAGCACTATGCCCTCTCCCGCTCCTGGTTGAATTTCATCCGCATGCAATAAACTGGCGTCTCGAGGAATTAGACATGCCTTTAAAATGTCGTTGTCCTGTGATTATCAAGAGGCAGTTTTTTTAAGCGCGTTGGTGGGGTGGACCATATTTCCGGCTGGACTAAATTATCCGTCAGATAGAGGGAATCGACGGTCTTGACAGTTGTTGAACGAGGATGGAGCATGCTATTGTACTCCTTGGGTAAGATTTCTACGGATATAGCATGGCGATACGGAGCCGACCGACATAGGGTGCAAGTGGAGAGGGGATTTTTGGTGTTGGCACCCTTTCAAATGTCAAATGTCAATGAGAGCCCCCTACATAGACGTTCTTCGAACTTTTTCTCTATTTATCGGCTCCTCTCGGGATCCATTTCTTGGATTATTATGCAGTTATAGTTGATAGCAATTGTAACCAAGAAGCTTAAGCAAAAAGGATCGCTGCCGACGACAAATACCCGTTTTCTGGTGAGTAGACTAGCAGGACGCCTCTGTCCCTCGAGCTGTTTGTCATATTTTATTCTGGTTCCTGATTTTTAACTATACTCAGTCAAGTTTCGCCAGTCAAGTTTCACGTGAGGCGTACAGCTCTTTCATAATTCAGAAGTGGGTTGTGGAGCTGTCGGTCGTTTGTTGACGCGCGCAGTAAGGGCTGTTCTACAAGAAGCTGACCTCGTTTTTTACTAAGCACGTATCATCAATGAACATTCCGAATATTTCAATTCTCTCTCACGCTCGCACGGTTCATCGCATCATTATTCATGGTTCGAAAGACGCCGGACAGTAACTTCATCAACAAACAACAACAGGTCATTTTAATTGATTGACCAATCGTTAGTATCCCGGCCCATGTGTCCACCCGCCTTTGTCACCAGAGTTGTTGACAGGTATATGGTTAGCTCGGTGCCAATCGTCAGCTATAGCACATGATAGTGAAGCGATGGCGAAAAGGTAATCTGCTAAGACGACAAGAACTAAAAAAAAAAGAGGACGGAGTAAGCGCAAAAGAATCTACTGTGATCGGCTCCTTGAGGTCGATCGATGGTCAAAGAGTTGTGCACATGTGCAGTAATTTTGTGCCAATTGACTATCTAATAATATCCGTTTATAAGAAAATCACAGGACGCTCTCCCTCCGGGGTAAGAAGAATACTTTCGTTCCTGTGCGCAAATGTATCTTGGGGCGGGGAGGCCTGACCGTGTAAGCAATTTCAAAGTAAAAAGCCAGCGAATCGGTGTCCGCTGCGTTGATAGGTGAGCGGTGTTTAAGATAAGCGTGAGGCTCCAATGCTTCAAGACATGTGTTAGGACGGCAGTGGAGAATCCTGGTTCCCATTGAAACATCTTCATATGGCAGATAGGTTTACAGATACCCCCATTGACTCTAAAACACTTTCGCTCTTCCCCAACTGTGGAGCAGAACGCACAAGTACGCTTATTTGGGTCATTCACGGCACATATACTCTGCCTTGATTCCCGAGCACACTGCCTTGTAGGCCACTTGGGGTCAACTCCACGAGTCTGTGGAACTGAGACCATTTCTTGATCCGTTCCTGAACATCCAATTGTGCTCGCCTGGGTGGCAGGAGCCAGGATCCCAAGAAGTGAGAATGAAATTTAATGTGGCACGATCGAACTTTCTTGAGAGGGAGGATATTAGGAGCCAAGGATGCGGAGGCGCGCTAGAGAAATGGATGTCGCGTACTCCCTTTGGAGCCATAATGGTCTGGAGAGTCGCCATTCTCAAGCGATGTTGATCAATCAATGAAACGATATCCAGCCTCAGCTTCCCATGGTGGACACATGAACAGCGTTGAGGCGTCTGGGGTTTCTTGGAATAAGGTGTGAGCACCGAGCTGAGGATGGGAGAAACGAACACGAAAGAAGATTCCGACAAAATAGTGGATGCTAATAACGGGGCCGGCAAATCTCTCTATCCTGTGCAAGAGATTGGTTAAATGCTTCGCCAGCACGCGACACAATCAACGGGCAGCGACAACAACAGCAGGGATAACCTCAGTGGTGAGAGATCCACCTCCACATTTTCTTCTGGCATCCCAGGGCTATTCTGCAAACAAGGGAAAATACTTACGGCATGCCAAACAAGTCGTCCTCATGGTGCTTATCTGAAACCAATAGAGAGGAGAAACATGTCGTGAACGATGTCAGAGACCCAATGCATGTTTATTTGATGGCTACATGGTTATTTGTATCTCTGGTTGATGTCTGTCAGAATGCGTATGAAGCAAAAGACGATAAAATACATTCGAACAAGGGTGTGTTCAGCGGCATGTTCGGACAGCATGAAATGAAATGAAATGAAATGAAATGAATACGGGATTTATTATGCGAAGAGTAACTTTGGACTGCTTGCTAACCGTCTGTTGGCATGGAGAGGGACAGCAGAGTATAAAAGGCGCGTCCCTGGCCCAGTTTAAAACCGCCCGAACAAACGAGGGCCAGCAATCTGCTTGATACTTTGTGCTTTAGTAGACTACCCGTCCGTGCCTTGAAGGTATACCAAGCAGATAATACAAATTCAGACATAATTCTTCTCTCCAGCATAGACAAGTAGACCTCGGTTTGAAGGGTCAATTGAATCAATTGGATATGTAGACATGGGGTCAGTCTATAGGACAGGATGCGACAGGAGGTTAGCAATTGACGGCAGTAGAATAGACGCGTTCACCAGGAGGATAAAAAGAAGATGGAGAAGAGCAAGAAGAAGAAGCAGAAGAAGCAGAAGAAGAAGCAGAAGCAGCCAAACACGGACGCAAAAAAGCGCATCATCATGCGGAAAGCAAAGGAGGGAGACCGTTGCTGACGTGACGGTGTCTTGACCTGGACGGTTTCGTGGCGAAGGGAGGAGGACAGGGAAGGAGGACGCCTTCCATTGAATCCATCGAATCCTTTCCTCGTGGACGACAGACATTCTTTTTTTCTTTTCTTTCGAAGACATCCTTCCTTCTAGTCTTCTTATCTTCGCTCATCAATCCACCAAACAATACATCAATACATCTTAATCTTTTTCTTTTCTTTTTTTCCCTCGCCAACATACCCCTCCCCTCCCTCCCCCGCGCTCATCACACACTTCTAACCTTCATTACACCATGGGAAAATCGCAATCCAAGCTGAGCACAGAGGAACTCAAGGACCTCCAACGTTGCACCCGCTGTAAGTCATCTGCTGTTACTCTTGACTTTGCTCTTTGTTTCTTGCTCCAAGGAACGCTGCCGCTAACTCGTATGCCTTTTATTGCTTCATCCCTTGGCGATTCCAGTCGACAAGAAGGAGCTCCAGCAATGGTAATGGCAGTGCACTAATCTCGCTAAAGGCGCCTGGTGGTGGAGCTACTGCGGTAGATAAAGAAATGCCCCCACACTTGGGCGACCACGTCCACATGAACAACCAGAGAAAGGAATTCAACTCGGCCCAGACGACCAGTGTCAGCAAAGCCTCGTTTCGGCCAGCTATCTCAACTGAACTTGCCCAATACCGACCTTCCTGGAGAAAGCTGGTTGGAGACACCGCCTCTCTTTGGAAAGGAGGGATAAAAGGCAATGCTTTCCGGGATGTTTATGGCAGCAGCGACAGGATTATGCACCGGATGATTCACATTTAGGCGAGCAATAATCCAGATGATGAACGACATTACTGCAATACTGGTTATGATGAAACGTCCCATCTTTGCCCTCAGCGAACCTCGGAGCCAAACAGGACCAACATTGGGGCAATTGTCGCTGCTCTTAATGCCTGTTGTGCCGACGTCTCGCATCGCTTAACCACTGGTGCTTTTTTATTGGCATTGATTAGGTACAAGGGATTTATCAAGGATTGCCCTAGCGGAGAGCTCGACAAACCAGAGTTTCAAAAAATCTACAAACAATTCTTCCCCTTTGGAGATCCATCGATGTTTGCAGACTACGTCTTCAACGTCTTTGATTCGAACAAGAATGGAAAAATCGAGTTCAAGGAGTTCATCGTCGCCTTGTCTGTGACATCCCGCGGAGACCTGGAGGACAAACTGCAATGTAAGAGGCATTTATATCTGTCGTCATCTTCTACGCGGTGTGGTCAGTTGTAACAGCAGTATCAGGAACGCTTGCAGGACATCATTTTCATATTTGGCCAGCCTCCAGGCTCAACACTTTCACTATGCACAGGGATGAAAAAAACAGGAAACTAACTCGACTTTTCAGGAGCACTAAACCTCTGGATGATGAGCGAAACATTGAGCTTAGCTGTGTTACCATACCAAGCCAGGCCACTGAAGGCTAGGCTGAGGTTGTGTGTGTAACTTAGGGTCATATCACTTTTCTTTTGGTCTCTTTCTCATCGTTCTTTTTATGCTTGCTGTTATTGTACTAGGGGCCTTCCAATTGTATGATATTGACAACGACCAGACAATCACATACGACGAGATGCTGAGTATTGTGGACGCCATTTACAAGATGGTCGGAACAATGGTCAAACTTCCTCCTGATGAGGATACGCCGGAGAAACGCGTGTCAAAGATCTTTTCGATGATGGATAAGGACAAGGACGGCAGATTGACATTCGATGAGTTCAAGGAGGGATCCATGAAGGATCCCACTATTGTCCAGGCTCTCAGCTTGTACGACGGTCTTGTCTAAAAAATGTACAAATTCCCTACCTTCATTACCTCACAGAATTACCCTCCTCGCACGTATTACCCTTCATTTTACGTTATTAGCAAGGGTGCAAAAAAGGGTCGGAGATCTTCATTCCTCTCATGCTATCTCTTCGAATGAGGATGCCTTTTTAAACCAGGCATCGACCTTCCTTTTGTCCTTTCCATTTCTCAACACAGCGCTATTACCAAAGTTGCAGAATATAACGTATTTGAACAATGTGTGCCTGAATGTTATCATCACGTGTGAACCGCAATGTTTTCCGCCTGAAGGCTGTGTGTGGCCAATGCGCGCAGCGACGTTCCCGCCACTTGCCGTGCTTCATGTGCAGAATAGGGCAAATAAATTTCTTTGGTACACAGCGCTTGACTCCACTCCACTCCAGCTACCTTTGTACATGCCCCTTCGTGATGCTCTGCAAAGTACCGTGCTGTACGTTATCCCCATTGTTTTGTTAAAACTTCGTATACTGACTACATACGATCATACGGGGGCTGCACCTCTCATTTTTCCAATGGTCCATCCTCCGAAATTTCTCTCTCTCTTCTTGTCCTTTTCTTCTTTCTCTCCTTCCCCTCCTTCCTTTCGCTCTTCCTCGCCTCCTCTCACTTACATTTTTCTCTGCTATCCCCCCAACTCGTCTTCGGCTCGACTTGTCTCGGTCCTGCTTGGCGGTAAGAGAACATACTCACCCACCTCACTCTCTCCACATGAATAAAGCACCATTCTTGTTTCTCTGAACTTCCTCGATGTGTCGAGCCTGTGCCTTTCTTCATCCAATGCAGCATTTTGCCACCAATCCACTTGCTTTCTCGGTCTGTTTTCGCCTTCTCCCCACATCCATCCTGCATTCTCACCCCGCTCGACATTTTCCTGCCTCTTGCTCTATCACTCTCTGTTTTCTTGACCATACCGTACCCATACGCCACCACTTTTTGAGACCTGTGCCTAATTGTCTTTTGGAAACAGATCGTGTCGCTTTTCTTTGTCCCCACGCTCCAGTCTCCCCCTCCAGCAGCATGGATGCTACGATACTTCATAAAGCATCCACTGTGTTTTATCCTGTTCTTAACCGCCACTTTTCTCCTATACCCAACTTTTGTGGTTCTCAAATAAATCGCCGTCTAATCGATCCGAAAAAGTACACGAGCTGGCAACTGTGAGTCGATGAGGGATCATGTGGGAGGGCGCATTCAACTCAGTCGAAAAAAGGCGCGGTTCATTTGTCTTTCTTGGTTGCAAGGTTCCCATTATCGGGAGGGGCCTCTCTTCCAATCAGGAAGCAGCATTATCCACTTTCCCAGCGCTAACCCCTTTGTATTTGCATTAATCTTATGCTGCCTTCCCAGTCCCGTGGCATCGCAGATCCCATTTATGCTTGGTGTGAACGTATTTGCCATTTGCCACCGCAGTCCATGAAGAGCCCAGCCTCCTTTCCTCTGTGTCACTACCCCACTTCCAATTTTCACCTTTATCACACGTATCTCATGTATCTATTTGACTTCGAACTCGAACTCACACTTTTACAATATTCAACCAACTACCTCACAAGGACTTAGGTCGTCCTTATCCCTGAAAACTTTGGTTATATGTCTGTACCAAAGGTCAACCATCGAGTGCTGATATTGTTGGACAACTACTTCCCAAAGTAATCCAGGTACGGCACACACCTATTGACATTACTAGAAGCAATTCCTGCTCTTCCTACTCGTTCTTCGTATGCATTAGAGTACTAAAAAGCATCTTCTGATGTATTAAGAATTACTCTGTGTCATCACCAACTTGCATTAGGTCGTCATCTGTTTTCGTTTAGCGACTTTACGCGCGCAGCGTTTTGCCTGCCCCTCGTCTCCTTCCTTGGCTTTGAGCGGCATCTCACGTCAGTTTTACTTCGGTGATATTGACGCTTTCGGTAAAGCATCCAGTTACCCTATCAGTCGGCTTTCTTGTCTCTCCCTTGTGGCGCGACATTTCCCATTCATTTTCCGCTGCCGCTCTCTTCTTCCGTCGTTTGACCGCTACCAACCAGTATTATAAACCGGTCTCTTATTTGTCATATAAAAGAGTGTCTCTTGTGACGCATTGCTCTCTGGGTGCGGGTCCTTGGATTCTCACAAGGAGCCTCACCGCTTTGACTGCCTATAAAGCGGAGGCACTTTTGGGCAGCCTTGAAAATCTTATTACATTAATACGTTCCTTGTTCCTTGCCCATCTCTACGTTTCTTTCGCCTGTTAGCGTTGTTGAGCACTGTAGCGTTCTTGTTACCCTTACTTTAATTCTCATCTCCAAACAAGTTCCTTACTTCATACTCACGACGGCAATGACACTGGGTGACCAGGAGCTCGACTCAGTCGTACTAAAATATATGATGCAAGACTTCAGCCAACTTTCATTGCGCAAGGTGGCCAGTTCAGCAATGAGCCCTCAAGCAGACAACGAAGCCTCAGGCAGTCCATCAGCATCGACAAAGACTCGACCTGTTCTGGAACTAAGGAGGCCCAGTCAGGGAGCCGAAAGTTTATTCTTTACAGTAGGTAGCAATGTCCTTGGATATTGTAACTTTGGGTCGCGAAGGGGTTTTCATTAGTCCTCGTTTTCTTCTTTTTCTTTAGGATTATGAGAAGTATGATTGGCTAGGATATGGTAACCGCCACCGTTTGTCGAGGGGCCAAGAGCAAGCTAACACCAAGGACTTGGCGGTTTCTAACGAGAAGCCTTATAAGTCATTTTCGCTGTTCGAAGAAGCCATGCCCGCGACGCCACGTCTCGATCTTGATCTCGGTCTCAATCTCAACAGAGATGAAAAATGCTTGCCTCCGGATAGTAACTACAGCCCGGAGGATTTGGATATCGTCGGCAAAGAAAACATTGACCCGAACCCTACCTCTAAGGTGGGCATTCCTACAGGAGATCAAAAGGCTGTGCCTCGACCTACCGCAAAACGCGCGGTATTATCCTCGCCTTTCGAACCTAATCAGACCAACGCCACTTCAAGAGGCCTATCTTCTGCCGAATATGAACCCACAAAAACATCTCACGCATCGGGGGTTCAGTGTTCAGTCCAACGCTCTTCTTCGAAGCTGTTCTCACCCTGGGAGACTTCGACGGAAGCTCCGCAGCAAGCTGTGGGAGCAGCTGAACAAACGCTGAAGCACGGTTTCGCACCTTTACCTCATGGGCCGTTTTTCGAGTTGGATCGTAGCGACTATGGTCCTGGACTATTGCTGCACTCGAGCGCCCTAGGGGATCGGCGCCTTGACCTGTTTCCAGAGAGAACCGCTGGAGCCTCTACACGCCATTTGAAGATCTCTAACGTCTCACGAGACTTGTCCATATGGGCAGCACGCGATGCACTCAAGGTAGATGCTACTTACTGGATATTGGTGCGCGGTTATCTTTGAGTTATCTGCAAGGTTCGGTGCCGAGTATACTATTTTTTTTTCTTTTCCATCGCGCCATTAGAAATACGGCGATCTTAAAGGAATATTCACAGCGTATCTGGAGAGAGATGGCGTTATCTTTATCGATTTCTTTGACATCCGACACGCAATGATTGCCTCCAGATTACTTTACTCGAACGCGACCTTTAATTCCTCCGCAATCAGCGTCCAGTTTGTTTCGAAGGCAGCCATGGCCCAGGTCAGTGATAGTTTTGCTTTTCTCAGCAGCCATACTAATATATTCATATTAGCCTGCTAACATCAATGCATGCTGAATTAGGTTTCTCTGGATGTCGCGAAGAACGACAATGCGGGCATTCTGCTTGTATCTATGGCAGCCCCGAAGTTGGGCGACAATGATCTCTTGGTACACGTTTGATGGTTCGTCTCTTGATATAAGCATCGGATCCTAGCTATCATCGCCTAACAACTCTATTTATCTATCGTCAAATAGCGCCTCCTGGGTTCATACGGTGATATCAAGTCGTTCCAGGCGAAGTTGAACGGATGGCCTCAGCTTGTTCTCGCGGAGTATTACGACACCCGACGAGCCGCCGTTGCCAAAGAAATCCTTGAAACACTTCATAGAAAGGCAAGTATGACAACCTTACTTCGCCGCGTCATGTTTTATCGCAAAACATATTTTGCTTATAACCTTCTTTTTGGCCATTGCAGAAGCAGATCTATTGCCAGGCGTCTTTCTACCGTGATGACAAAGCAACAGCAGCAAGTGGTGCACAGTATTACGAGCAACCTTCGCGCAACCACAGGGACAGTGCAGTAGTCAATCCACCCTCATCCCTGGAGAGACTTATGACGGCCTCAGGATGGCTTATGTCCCCCAGCACACATCATCAAGCGGACTCTGCTATTGCATCCTCTCCCGCAGACCCCACGCTCGCAGAGTTTGTGCCACAGCGTCGCGGATCGCCACCATTGTTTCCTCCCTTGTCGGATCCAGGCCTGCTTCAGCAGCCAGAATCACCTCGCGGTAGCCCCGGATGCAGACACTCAGACGAAGTACTCCCGTCAATCGCCAGCATTCCGTCACCCCCTTCTGCCATTGTGGCGCGAGACAATGTACTAGGACGTGTCTTTACTCCAGAGACTCGACCAAACAGCCCTCGGGCTTTAAGTTATGCTGGCGCGGCCATGTTCGGCGCAAATATCCAGTCAATCAGCCTCGCAACCCTTTCTCGTAAGTCATCCTGAATAACAGCGCTCAAGTTTGCGACATATTTTATACTGAGCTTTATGGTTTAATCAGAATAATGTTACCTTTTGTAGCCGACGACAAGCGAACCACGTTTATGATCCGCAATATCCCTAACAAGTACACCCAAGTATGTTCATGATTGATGCAGTTGCGGCTGGTCGTGCGAGCTGAAAAAAGCATGGTTAACTTACATTATATGTATTTTTCTGTTCTTTTTAAATACAGCCCATGCTCCTGGAGTGCATCAATGAGACCCACTTTGGCAAATTCGATTTTTTATATCTCAGAATGGACTTCAGAAACAAATGCAACGTCGGTTATGCCTTTATCAACTTTGTCAACACAGAGTACGTCGCCGCTCCTACAGTATCATTCTATGTTTTACAATTGGGATTGAGAGTGACAAAGCGACTATGCAATGGTGTCTGATCTCAAGTCCATTCGTTGTACATTTAGTGTCGTGGAATCGTTTATCAAGGCGCACATTGGCAAGAAGTGGTATCGATTCAATTCGGACAAAATCTGCAGCCTGTCTTACGCGACCGTCCAGGGAAGAAATGCCTTGATTGAAAAGTTTCGAAACTCTAGGTAGGTGCAGCACTGGCGCACTACATCCTTTTCCATTTCGTCATGTACTCGGAGTTGCAGGAGACTGACATATGTTATTTTACCCTTCAAATTGATTGTCGATAGTGTTATGGAAGAGGATCCGAGCTACCGCCCCAAGATTTTTTACACGAGCGGATCAGACATTGGGCAGGAGGAACCGTTTCCCGGGCCAACTGTGGCGAAGGACAAAGGCCATACAATGATGCGACGTCGAGGTCAGCATGGACGTCCAAGCGACTAGCGATCGGAAGACATTTGATCCCTTGAATCAATTGCGCAGTTCGAACTGACGCTTGGGACGATGCAAGGCACTTGCTTCTTTAACGGGTCCATCCACAATATCTTTTGCTAGTATTATGTTTAACGCCAACGCATATTTATTTGATGACATGAGAGTCACTCGTTCAATAATGGCCGTGGTGTTCTCGCTCTTCAGTGTTACTTAATTGATGACATCTTGCGGTTTTGCTACCTCGAATAAAGCGATATTTATGATCGGCCCTATGAATACAGCCCAGCACAGTATGTATGAAGCTTCCGACATTTGTCAGCACAGATGGGCTGTTGGAGATCTCCTTCATAGACTTGGCAGCATGGCAAGAGCGCCAAGAAAAATGAAGAACTGGCGAGTCTTGATGAGTGCTATAGACACTTTGGACTTGGCCTGTATACGCCCGGCACTTTATCTTGTGGGGAAAATTCTCGCACAGGCATCTCAATCGCTGGGCGAAGCTCGTTTTATTTTGCCCGTTCTCAATTGTATAAAAGAAGAGGGATCGCCGAGTCTTGTGTACACACAGAGCTTTCGTTAATTCCATCCGTAAACAACTAGCAGTATTCCCCCGCCTTCTCCACGTACCGAAAATATCTAAACCATGGGAAGTTGTTGCAGCTCACCAAGACGTGAGGATTTGTACCTGGACGAACAAACCAGACGGCAGTAAGTCCATTCCATACTCCCTACTAAGCGAAATTACTACGACTATGTGTATTCGTAAGATAAAGACGCTATAGAAAAAAAAAGCCAACAAAGCAAAATAATCTGTCAATACTTGCATCCATATGAACTTTTTCTTAGTTACGAGAATGAGATGAGGCGACGCGAGACGAAGACCAAGAAGAGGAGACAAGACCTGACAACGACAGACGTCGTTACCGACACAGTCTCTGCCTCAAGTTGTTAAAAGTCCGAGCGACACCAGAATGCACAGCTCTGAGGAGGCCCATGCTCCAATTGACCCAATCGGCCACACGCATCCTCAAGGTTGCTCCCTACGAGCCATGATTGTCTCCCGTCACCGTTCAATAAACTTAAATATCGTCTTGTTTTCCTTTATTGTTTATTTCGTAATTAATGTATACAAAAATACGTCAAGTGACTCGACGGCTGCATCGTGATAAGATACAAGCAAAAGACTTGCATCGCAACGGCGCGAAGCCCTCAATACAAGAAAACGGTCGCCACATGACCATTAAACATCGTCTCGAAAACCACCCCATCCGTGCCATACAGCGTCGTGTACTTGAACGGATTCTGCGTGCTCGACCCCCGATTCAGGATCAGCCCCTGCTTATTAGGGACCCCCGCACCACTGGCGAGCGAGCCCGTTGGATCCAACAACGCCATAATCATCTGTATCTTCATATCGGGCGTGATACCCTTCTCCGGGGAAACCGCGGTCAGACCGCCTAGCATCGCATTGTAATTCGTTGGTGACGCCTGCACCTGTTGCTGCTGTTGCTGTTGCTGTTGGTGCTGGGATCCCACAAACTCCTGGTCGGAACTCGGGTTTGGCGAAGTTCCAAGCAGATCCGGTGATCCACGCGCGCTATCTGACGAATAAAACGACGGCTGGTTGTTCTCGGACCCCTCCTGAATGGCCGCGGCAGCAGAATTCCGGTTCTTCTTCCTCCCTGTCTTCATGGTCTCTGTGACGGGTGCTGGCAAAGGAGGGATCGGTGGGAGCCTGGCGGCCTCGGTGTCCGAGGGCGTCGAGGGTGAAGGCAGGTGCAGAATAAACGGACATCTCTTGTAGCTCTGGAAATCGAAATGTCCAGGTATGTTGGTATGCATGACGATCTTCTTGCACCGATGCGTGCTTCCGTCAAAGAGGACGTCAATGCCCAAATGAAAGTAGTTGTAAAAGTAGTCGTTCGGCTGCTGTGATCCTATTTCGCCATGACATTCGTACGAAAAAAAAAAAAAAAAAAAAAAAAAAGACACTCTGGGTGTTAAATTGATGACTCTTCACGAGTACAGCACAAATAATTCGACTAAGGAACAACCACTTTGCTCAGGACATGATGTACCTTGTGCTGGACGGTTTGCTCGATCGTATCCAATATCTTCCATTTCACCCAGTATACCATCATCCTCTGTTTGGATCGGCGTGACACCCTCAGTATCAGAATGAATTTGCATTTTGTCGTCCTCCTTGTAGTAAATGCTGCCCGGTGATCCCAGATCTGCCAATAAATCCTGCGGTGTCGTGACATGGAGCTGAATAACGCATTTCTGGGGTTGTGTTGCCCCTGCAAACTGAAGCAATGCGCCATAGTTGATCTACGCCAAACAAAAACATAAAGACAAATAGAAAGAGGTTAAGGAAAAAGGCATCGGAATGCAAGTTAAAGGACAATCCACAATAGTTTCCTAAAATGCCATGCGCACCTTTGCCACGACCCTTTCCAGCTCTGCTCTGCCCTCTCCGGTCCGCCCACTATGATGGCCTGAGCTGCTGCTGTCCTGGATGTTGCGTGCAAGGGTCGCTACAGAGACCGGTGTGGCATTCATCCAGTCCGCACCGTGGTATATGTACATGTGCGTGCAGACCGGTGTACTCCCATCAGGAAACTCCATAGGCACCTCTACAAAACGCCAAGTGGAGATCAACATTGGTCAGCAAGAAATATAGAATGATCCGCTCAAGCTACAAATATCCCATCATCTCTTTGCTTTCATACCTGCGGACTGTTGATATAGGAGTATATGCTTCTCAGGAATTGGAAACACAAAGGATAATCCCTAAGGCCAACATGCATCATGCGTTATCAGATCAAGGATCATACTCAAGTTCAAGACCAGAGGATACGGATGCAAATGACTGATATTGAGACGAGCAGCATACCGGATAGCTAAGTGTGTACAGATTCCTCGAACTATCAAACTCTCCCGGAAACGGTGGCCTATGTTTTTTTTTGTTTCAACAGAGACAATAGAGATCATACAGAGCACCGTCAGATCCTAACTCCTCTTCCTTCATTGCTTCCTTTTTCAATGACTTCCATTTCCTCACTGTGCCTTTTTTTTCATACCCAATTAGCTTGTTGACGAGCGCACAAGTCGGCACGACTTTGGGCGACGAAAACTCGGATCCCGAATACGTTAGCCGCAGTGATTTCATAAAGTCATAAACTGTGATCAGCTTTAGGCGTTGAGAATATGGCTCGAACCGTAACTCGATCCCGTTCGAAGGAAGTTTCAGGACAATATCCGCAGCAAAAGGGTCCTAATTGGTACACGCAACGCATGGCAAAAAAAAGTAAAATCCTAGTTAGATCACACTGCCGCCCTTCAAGGCGGAAAGAAAAGAAAAAGATGTTGATCACGACCGATATCGCGTTTCCTGCTATGAGTACCTCTTCGCTATATTTGAGCTCAACCACGGAAACCAATGCAGCCTGCTCGCGGAGTAGACGGATAACATCCCAGAGGGACATACCTATAGAGTTAAACCCCATTCCGCGTCAGCCTTGGTGCTGTATCACTGCAGGAGGTCTCGAAGGTCTGGAGGAAAACAAATGAACAACTAAACTCTCCTACCGAGTCTGAACCAGCCAAGGTGCTTTCCGGGTGCGATAGCGAGGTCAAGTCGTTGGGTCATGTTGTTCTTTCCTAGATAGGTAGTGGTTTCAAATTGAAGCGAGTCGAGTTCCTTGTAGCCAGTTGTTGCTGTGTTGGTCACAGGGCGATGAAGAGTTCAGTTGTATAGTCCTGAATGGAGTGTTATTTATTTCAGACGAAAAATGCAGGCAGAGTAATAGAGAGTAAAGAACGGAAAAGCTGGTCTTTTAACAAAAAGTTCATGAGACACCACCATGGCGGCACTCAGGCTGCATGTCTTCGTTTCAGTGCTCTCTCAGGCTCAGGGTCACAGGGACGGGCACGTGATTTATTGATGAGTGCGGTGTGGTCCTCATGCAAGATAATTGTATATCGTCCTATTGAAAAAAAAAGGAGAATGTATGTAAACCTTATCAGCATACGTCAAAGGAGATATCATATTATGATATCTCGCCAGAAAAAAAAAGTACTATACCTGTCGCCAGGAGCTCGCTCGAGGTATTCGCGCTCGATCAATGCCTCAATACGCTTCTTGATCATGGACGGTGCTGGATTAAAGCGTCCCTGAAGCTGGCCGATAACCTCGGCGACGAGGTTGTTGTGGTCCAGTGATTTACGATTCTTCATCACACGCACAATCGCTGCCTCGGCCATGTGCTTCCGTGCATCATCCACCTTCTCCTTTGTCTCCCTGAGCTCGACGGCATTCTCCACCTTCGAAGCGACCGTCTGGATCTTGATGCGTGACAGCTTCTCTGAAAATGCCGCATTGAACTTAAACGTATCTGTGTCTGCAATATCCCTCGACTTTGGTTCCTTGATCAATATCTTGAACTTTCCACAGGCAACAGACTGTAACGTTCGCTTCAAGTTCTCTGCGGGAAGTCCTGTCTCCTGCTCAATTGCCATGTACGACAATGGTTCGCCGTCGGGTACGTTGTTGAAGAGAAGCAATACCACAGCGGCCATGGTCGACACATTTAGTTCGTGCTTCCTGGCGTTAAATGTCGCACGCAGATCCACATTACCCTAAACATATTTTTATTCATTTGTTCCGTTCGTTAGTTGGTGATAGAGACCTGACATACCTTGAAGCGCGAAAAGAACAGTGCCTTACCATGGTGGTATGCCAGGTGAGTTTCCTGCCATTGTGTCTTGAGGTGTGGAATCTTTCAAAAATCTTGGTTGCGGCGAGAAAGTCCATCGGGAGATTGCACGGCACAGGGACGGAGGGAACTGGCCAGTAGGTGGATGTCAATACGGTCACGCTCAGCTCGAATGGAGGAGTGTCAACGGCGTTTTCCAGAAACTCCTTGAACGATGTCATCGTATCCGTCGACAGACGCATGTCTGTAAACATTCCCTCGAGCTTTGAGGTGAACTGGTATCCACACTCGATCTTCAATTTAGAGATCATGCCTCGTTCCGCTTCATCGCTAAGGCTCTTTCCAAGGAGCAGCCGGTTAGAGAGATGTTGCTTGTAATATCTCTCAAATACATCCTTGTCCGAAAGGAACCTGAAGAGTGTCGTTGTTTTGCTCAATATAGAATCGACTTCATCATCGGATTTCTATTACACGCAGTAAGTGTTAGAATGCAAACTATGCTCAAGTTATCCATTCAATTTCAAGTGTACAATATCACTTACTCCTTTGAAATCCTTCTTCAGCTTGTTGTCGATAAACAAAGACATGAACTCTGGGGCCTTAGGGTTCAGGTTAATGAAGGTCTCAAATGCGTAATTAATTGCCTTCTCAAACGCCTTGTCCTTTGCAAATGCCGAGGTCAAAATGGCATCGAACTTCTCCTTCAAATCAAGAACCTCCTGGACCCATCTCAAAGCCAAAGTCACCCCAAGCGGCACTGCCTTGTCCGTATTCTCTGCCTGGGATTCGCGCACGTTTGCGTTGATTTCTTTGCCACTCTCCTTAATGTAGGCCGAAACGCCCGTTTGCAGCTCCTTTGATCCGTCAGCGACCCTCGAGAACAATCTGTACATGCGCTCCAAATCTATCAAACATATCAATCAGCGTTAGATATGTTAAGCATTGTAATGCATGATTCACAAAATAGGCCTAATCGAAGCAAAGCGTATTCCGTTCAGTCATACCATCCCGGCGGTTGTTGTTCAAGAGCTGTTTTAGACCCCCGTTTTCCATCTCCATGACGGTCTTCAAGTGCTTCGCGATCATCTCTTGCTCAACAATGGCGCGAATCTTTGGTTCCGTTTTCTCAGTCAAATAGTATGAGCAGCGCTGCTGTTCCTCATCCAGCCTATTCTCCACCTAGAGCATTGTTTGAGAAAGGCCGATTTTCAACAATCCTGTAATTTCCAAAGGTTACCAGGAAATTACCAGCACGCATCGTCAGCCCTTACCTTGCGCATGTACTCTGAAGGATCGAATAGTCTGACCAAATCGTCGCTCTCAATCTTGTAAAACTCGCGGCTTGTCTCCACAAGGAGGACCTCAAAATCAGTATTATATACAGAGTCCATACCGTTGTTCTCCTTCATCGCCAGCAGCATTTCGGTGCACGACTTGACTGCTCCTCGGTCGATCACATCACCCTTTCGTTCCATGGTAATTTGGTTGAGCAGGACCATCTGCAAATGCGATTGAATCGGGTACTTTGGCGATCGAATGACAGTATCCCGGAAGAGATAGAGGCCCATGTCGTAAGTCCGTGGCAGCCTACTCTGCGGTACATAATTCTTGTCCTGCAGCGTGATATGAAAAAGAGGTTTTGTGAGCATCGTTGCCATTTCCCTTGGGTAGCGTGCTAATCTGCCATGCTTACCATATGGACAAGGATGTCGGTGATCATCAGTAGACAAACCACATGGTGCTCCCACAGCTTCTGAATCGCCTTCAAGAGCTGCACTCCCTCCGAGGGCGAAGCATCTGCGATGCCGAGGACTGGGACAATCTTGCTTTCTGCCTCTGATTCTAGTTGCTTCTCGATCAAATCCTTGACGCCATTGTAGAGTCTTTCACCACACTTGTGGATGACCAAATTGTATGCGGACCTATACACAACCTCGTACGATAACGTATAGGCCTTTTGCTCATGAATCGTGATGATAGCATTGGCGAGTGTCGGCCAGGTGGTGTCAAAGAGAGATTCTGTCGTGGTCTTTTCACCGTAGAATAGTTGAAGACAGAGATGTTGGTGAGATACACTCCGCCTTGAAACTTGCCACAGCGTGAATAACAATTGCATCTTGCCAAGACGAGAGGACAATAAACGTACCCTTCGCTGCGGGGGTCTTATTTTGCCCCTGACAGGTCGCCTTCCTTGCAAGGATGCCATGAGCGAAGAATGTATGCGGGGAGAGTGTGACTGAATGAGCGGTTGGAATAAAGAATGTAATGGGAGGTGGATGCAGGGAAACGGCCCGAGGCTCAATCAGGAGATATGGCGAAGCGGATAAAAGGGAGGTGGAGGCGAGGTAGTGTCAAGGAAAGAGGTCGAGCTGGATAGGAAAAAAAAAAAAAAAAAGAAGAGGAGCCATTGAGCAAGGGCCTTCTGCAGACAGTCACGAGCCAGGTGGCGAGGTAGGGGGCAAACAGATTGGTGGCACTGGATGTCAACGGCAACAGCGGTCCTGGCGCGTTTGGCGGCTACACTCATTTCCTTGACCGCCACTTTCATTCGTCCTTTCTTTCGCAGCAGGTCCGAATATTAACAGTAGAAACATCAACCCAAGCAGAGCCTATAGGACAACCATGCATCCAACCTTCATTCTGCCTCCATCTCTCGGGACACAGCGGCAGTCCCCAAAGAAAAAAAACCCATCCCGGAAAAAACAAGCGACCTTTCTCAGGAAACCGGAGCCGGCTCTTTTCAAGTCTGCTGCTCTACAGCCAGTCCCACCGCCCAATGCGCTTCATCTGCCCCACTCTCCAACTGTTAACACTGCTGCGAATATATCTGGTCATAATGGGGCTCAGGAGCGTCAGCAATTGAAACGCAAGGCGGTATGTTGCCCCGTATATTGCTCGATTCAACATTCAGTTAAACAGTAACAGCACGCTTAACGAGGTCCATTTGATTTTGTCCGCATGAATAGGATGATCTCTCAACTGCCGAACACCAACCTAATACCCACAAGTTCTTGGACAGGCCTGCCGCAAGCGTACAACAACTCCATTCAACTCAGCAGCATGTTGCATCTCAATCGCGCCCTCAACTTTTGTTAGAAGAGGATTGTGCTGTGCCTACTCCAAGTGTGGCATCTCAGCGTCTGGACATATCTAACCCCGCAAGGAATCATACAGTACTTGGACCGCCATTGACACTTCCAGATCGAAAAAAGGTCGCGGTTTCTCAGCTTGCGAGACGCCTCGTCTTTGCACCGAGCATTGTGTCAACCATACAGGGTTCTCAACGACCGAGCCAAGTTTCTAGCCGCCCTACACCCGCGGACACTATTCCCAATCAACTCCATTTGTTGCAGAAACCGGATCCGTCAAAGAGCAGAAAGTCGTCTGATGTTGCAAGGAGCATCATTCTTCCAAAAACTGGCATCAGCACTGCCAATTCAAGGAACAGGAAGAAGACAAAGTTCGTACCACCGCTTGTCAGGTAAGGACGCGATGTATGTGGAGTGCCTTCGTCAAATATTCTGGGCCACACCGCTCTGACCTATCTACTTCGATTGATATCTAGGGGCGGCTATGCGGAGAGATTGGCGGACTTGATGACTTACCACAAATCTGAATACACGATGTGGGCGAACGCGACACTAAGAAAGGGTATGAAGTGCGAGGGTGCCAGACGCATCAAAATACCATAAGACCGTGAAGGCTCTAATATGCCCTCTACAATTTATTATAGACAAATTGTTTGGATCAACAGAACCCCTTGCGACTGTGGAAGTGAAACAGATATCCATGCATCACAACTTGCAGTGGACACATTGCAGTGTCATTTTCGACGAGAAAAACAAACCGCCATTCGATATGGATTATGCAAAGGATCAGCAACCATGCGATCAACATCCGAGCACCCCCGTATCCGCCCTATTGGATTTTAAAGCCTCATCCGCTGTACCCAACGAGATGGAGATAGAAATCGTCAAGTGCACCCCATCGCAGGATCTTGAAGCAACAGTGGGCAACGTCTCCTTTGCATCTCAAAGCCAGGACGAGGATTCTATTGATGGTCTGCATACAGACATGCGTCAATTGGGCGTTTTGTCCAGTCCCCAGGGCTCTGTGTTTGAAGACAGCATTGGCGATTTCATCTGGAGCCAGCGACGGCTGAATACGCGTGAGGAACCCGTATTGACTATCATCGATGAAACCGAGGAAGAGAACAGCTCAGGCAATTCGCTGTGGTTCGTGAAGAGTTCTCAGGATTCAGAAATAGACTTTGAGGAACAAAACGAGTTTCTCGGTCGACGTGAGGGTATCAATCATCCGAGACGAGTCAGTCCTCAGGCAAACGATACACTTGATCTGACCTGCACCAAGAATGCAATCTCACACGATAATAACATTGCCTACGAAGTGATCGAAGGTGAAGAGGACACAGTGCTGAATTCAGATGAGAATGTGCAACGGACAACAAGCACTGTCAGCACCATTGATGACAGGTCATCCGACTCTGAACGCGAGCAATTGACGACGGGTGGGTCACCAAGAGAAGTATCCGTCCCAGCTCACATAATCCAAACGAGTGTTGAGGCAACGCCGGATTTCATTATCGTCTTTTCGAACCTCTTCAACTGGTCCACACTGAAGGTTTCTGACAAAGTGGAGATTCACGAGCCATGTCGAAGGATTGCGATGCCTGAATTTGGCCCGACTGAATATGGTGCCGCCGCTTGGATTGTGGAGCGTTACAAGGTCGTTTCGTCGTAGAAAAACGATTATTACTCCATCTGTTTACAAATACAGGATTTCACTTCATTCTATCTTGGGCTGTAATGCTCTATGCTTCGCTTTCTGTAGAACCGACTTGAAGGCTCTTTATTTTTTGAAATGATGAAGACGGTGAATGGCAATTTGGCAATTTGGTGGCAACTAAATTTGGTACGCGTGCCTGAAACCCAAGACTAGGCTACAAAAGTTACTCGCCTGCTTCTCACGCCACTTTAGCCTAAATCACTTCTCTTCTTTCTCCATCGCCGAACTCAACTCACCATGACTACTAAGGAATCCGCCCAAGAACTTCTCGAATTTCACAAGGGCCTTGTGTCGATCTCCTGCATCACCGAGAACGAGTCTCCTTGCACCGAGTTCCTGCATAAGCACCTCACCCAGCTCGGTTATACCGTCGAGTTACAAAAAATCGCGCCCGGTCGTGAGAACGTTCTCGCGTACCTTGGTAAGGGTCGCAACCCGACGATTCTCTTCAACACCCATATTGATGTCGTCCCTCCCTATATTGAGTATCGTGAGGATGAGGAGAATGTTTATGGACGCGGGTCCAGTGATGCCAAGGGATCCATGGCTGCACAGGTCCAGGCGGTCGAGGAATTGAGGAAGGAGGGGAAGGTCAAGGAAGGGGACATTGGGTTCTTGTTTGTCGTAGGCGAAGAAGTTGATCATATAGGCATGGTCGTAAGTTTCAATCGCTTCGTGTGTAGGATTCTTGATTGTATCTGGTCTGACTATAGCATCTGGAATGGATTATAATGGCCTTTTTTTTTTTTTTTTTTCTCACTGCAGAAAGCCAATGATTTGGGATTGACCCCGGAGTATCTCATTGTTGGAGAACCCACAGAGTCCAGACTGGCCCTGGGTCACAAGGGAGTCTTGCGTCTCAACATTAGCATCGAGGGCAAAGCAGGTACATATGATCTCCTCACTATGGAGACTATGACGCACACTGTACAAATTGGCAGTAACGGAGCTTGATGGGACATTGCAATTGATCCGATACAACAAACTTTAATCTCCTTGTCATTGGTATTAGCGCACAGCGGGTACCCTGAGCTTGGAATCAGTGCCAACGACAAGCTAATCGATTTGCTCTACAAGCTGAAGAACTTGGTAATCATAACATCGCTTGGGAGAATCCTCTGTATATGAGGATGAGGGATACAATGGCTAACCGTGCTGTCGGTTTCTCCTTCCTTGATACATTTAGGATCTCCCCGAGGACGACTATTTTGGCCAGACCACCCTAAACATCGGAATGATCAATGGAGGACTCGCTGCCAACATCGTTCCCGCGTTCGCGACTGCCGGCATCTCCTTCCGTATCGCCACCTCAACGCAGGAGGTCCTGGACATGGTTGAGAAGGTCATCCCCAAAAAGCAACAGCTCCAGGATAAGATTACGATCGAACGCCTGACCTGCTGGGAGCCCGTTCGCTGCCATTCTGTCCCCGGTTTCGAGACCTTCGTTGCCAACTACTTCACGGACATCCCGTCCTTCTTGACCGCAAAGCATTCTTTGCTCTATGGCCCTGGAAGCATTCTGTGCGCACACGCGCCACATGAGTACATCAACAAGAAGGAGCTGATTGCCGCAGTGGGCAGCTACAAGGATATTGTCTTGAAGCTATTTGCAGAGCATAAGCAATAGAGAGATCTCCGGCTCTATACGACAGTGCTTGTCCCCATTATAAATAAATACACAAGGGTGTTTTCTACAACAGTGAGTACTCAAGTCCGGTAGATGGTTGCCTTATGTTCGATGTAATGAAAGAGAGGAGTGGAGATTATTTTATTACATTATGTGGCGAGGAGAGATGGTTGTAAATGTAGCTGTAGATGTCAATTGATATGTTGTTGTAAGATTACAATGCTGGGTACCGTGTTTACGGCCTATCCTGTGTCTGGACCTATTCTTCTCGCGTCTCTTCATCCTCTTCAGCCTCGCCGACGCCAGAGATCTCGATATAAGAATCTTCCACTTGCCCTGCCAGCTCCTGATCCAGGGTGGTGACAGAAGAATTTGGTTCACTTGAAAATACCGGTGCATTGAGCGAAAACGGAGAAATGTATTGTAAGGACGAGTCCTGTTCGAGCGACAGCTGTTGAAGTTCGCTATCCATGATATGCGTCGACAACGTCGTTTCTAGGGAATATCCCCGAACATCCATTGAAGAATGAGACGATGATGAGGCAGAGCTTGAGGATTCTGGCACTCCGGTGGGTATAATAAAAGTCAATCCATGTTGTTCTTGGTGTTGTGGTTGCTCATCGTCGTTCTCTCGAAGATGCCGTCTCCGTCCCAAGACATCCTTCAGCTCGTGCACCATCTTTGAGTTGTCATAGCTCCGTTCCTTCCTAAGCTCCTCCTGCTCACGAAGCACCTTCTGATGCGCTATTCTCTCTGCACGAGTCATCTTGATGCCATCTGGCCCAACAAGTACGCCTACCCTTCGAGACGCGAACCCGCCGAGTTCTGCTTCTGTTGAAGCCTCCCAGGTCTCTTCGCGCTTAGCGGCTAGGTCCATAAGCCGTTGTTGATCCTCCAAAAGTTCCATTGAGTCAATAATTGGTCCCATTTCCATTGCCTGATTGTCAAATCCGTTACCACCATCTTGTTCCTCGAGCAAGAGCGCTTCCCGTTCCTCAGGTATTGGTCTCGCAACTGAAGGCTCAAAGACGTGGTTGAGTGCCGTTTTTCCAAGTTGCCATTCTGAAGCCATCATACTGATATCCAGACTGATTGATTCGTATTGCATTTCCAGTAGCCGACGTTTCTCAAGATCCACAGGTTCTACGTGAATTGAACATAGCGAAATGTACAAACCGCATTATTAGTACTGAATTGACCATTTGTCCTACAGATAATCGACACTGCTAAACGGGCTGAAGCAGTTACCTTCTTGAACAGTTTCCTTGATGTCCTCATTGCAGATAAACAGCTTTGCCTGTACGCCACGGACATGCTGCTCGAGAAGCGCGAGACGATGAACAAATGGTTGCAGTTGCTTATCCTGGTCCGAGCTCGAGCTCTTGTTGCCTTGGGTATCAATCCTCGGCAGGGTATCTATTCGCGTGGCAACAAAAAAAAAAAAAAAAAAAAAAAAAGGTAAGTTATATGGTCCTACGCAACATGTCCCTTGTTGACCTGCAAGTCGCTCCTGAAAACATTTTTTTCTGAACAGGACGTACATAGTTCAGAGTCAAGAACCTTGCTCAGCTCATCGACGAGCGACTCGATTCCAGCAACACCATCCTGCAGCACGTCGCGTACAACAGTCCAGTTTCGGTCATAGTCCTTGAGCGCGTTCAGTCCCTGTCGTCCTTTGCGACTTTTGCGGCGGATCGCAAGGAGCTCGCACAAAAATTCACGGCGATGGACATGCATACGCTGGAAGTTCTTTCGAAGTCGTTCCAAGGTTGTCATTTCCGGTGTATTCACCAGTGTCGGGGAGCTGTCCATGTTTGAATAGGTGCTAGATCGAGGGGAGATGTTCACAGAGGTTGCTCCAGAGTCCGAGTCCTCGCCCTCTGATGCGGACCAAGAGGTACGGTGTCGTTGAGTTGTTCGTCTGCCAAAAGCAAGTCCTGGATGTTCCTGATAAGCATGGGCAGAATGGCTGTGTTCGTGATAGCTACTGGGCCTACTGTTCTGTCGGGATCCTGCCATTGTGTTGCTGCGGCGTCTTGATATGGATTGTTGGCGGATATGCTGCGAGAACGATGAGGGCAGAGGTGATTGGAGTTCAGAGGTTGGGGAGGCAGTCAAAGTCAGGTTATCAGTTTCGGGCGCGGTGTTGGCGTCGTGGGAGACAGGATACGAGTGCGAATGCGGATGTCGATGGTCATGGGGTCTTGGAGTCGTAGCGCCCGCACTCTCCTGGTCGATAGAAAGACGTGGAGAACTAGGACGAGGCGACGGTGTGCTGTTGTACATGTCCAGAAGTGTGCTCAGTCGTTTGTGGTCGATATGGGATTGCAGTGTCTCCGTCGATCGTTGGAACAAGGCACCGCTCTTGGTGAGGACAGCAACCAATTGAGCGCGGACCAGATTGCAGCGGCGGGTTTTGGAGGCCTGCTCGATGCGAGAGATGGGTGCCAGGGGCGTCGAGAGTCGGTAGCCCCGCGAAACGAGCTCGATCTCCTGAATGACCATGATAGCGCGATTGACTTTGGCATCGAGCGCCTGGCAGTGGTTGACGAGTATTTGCAGCGATCGGAGTGCCTGGTTTTGGGTAGCCTGGATGTTTCTCCGTTGCTGTGTGCAATGAATGAATGTATAAAAAAGGTAAATCAGCGATACTGTAGTACTTCTTTTCTCGGGATCCGAATCCATGATCTATCAGAACCGAAAACAAGCGCAGTCAATCGGCTTTCAGGTTTCTATTAATGGACTAACCAGTATTCTCAACATCCACGCGGACGATGCGAGCGCGACTGAGACAGCGGCAGACCGACTCAGGAACGGTTTCATCCACGGTAGTCGTCCGACGCGTGTCCGGGTGAGGACCGATCGGGCCACCAGTGTCGCGAGCGTGCCAAAGCCGAGCGCATATCCGAATCGGCCTGGATTAAATTTGGAGGCGTACTCGACCGTCATGGGTACATCTGTGCGACGGCCACGTTCGTGCGAGTGCAGGGTTACTGTCCGGTTGAGAAACGGAGAGGTACAGATGAAGTACTTGAACCGCTCCTCGAACTCGGCATCCTCAGTGTCTGCTGCCGAGGACGAGAACGTATGCTAGTAATTGTGGGAACGCAAATCAAAAAGAGAGCCGTAGGATGAGAATCGGCAAGAAATGTTCGAAGTACGCGGACTATTCCCATGCATACCCCATGTTCCTTTTTTCATGTGTCAATTGGCCCCCAAGTAAAATGTCCAGTAAATGCTCGCGTGGTGGGGCTCTAGCCCAGTCAAAGATAGGATGAATATGAATGTAATCGACATTTGTATGGGCGAGGGAATCGGGATAGTGAGACATTGAGCCACTGTATCATGAAGCCATTACGGCATTGTGCTATTACCGTGAGGTACTCGACCAGATGTGCCAACATATCGACAGCATTATGGGCCAGACGGAAGCCTATGAACTCTGGCTGGGGCTCTGGCTCGTGGACAGGGACCGTTGTGTGCTGTAGGTCCGTCCCATGTTGCTCTCCTTGAATCTCTACAGGAATTTGAACACCACAAAAAAATAATAATAAAAAAGACAGGTGTTTGTTATGCCATTGTCATTGCTGTTTGCTGTTTGCCGCTTGCTGTTTGAGGATGATTGTTGTGCATGCTTTCGATTCTTTGGTGGGTTTAGGTCGGTCCGGTCTGTTACCTTGCAGGTACTGGGCAAGAGGCGAGTCGTCGTAGACGACAATGTCGGCCATGGGTTATATCCAGGAACAGGGTTGTTATGAGAAGGGAAGAGGGGCGGGAGAGTTGAAATTGAAGGAGGTTTCCCTCAGTAGATTGCAGGCTGAGTCAATGTGGGCAAAGACGTTTGGAGAAATAAGGGTGAGAAGAGGAGTGGGGAAGAGCAAGGAGGGTGGTGAATGTATAGTGCTTTTGGAGGCAATGGGTCGAGGGTAGCAAGGACTGATCAGTTGGTGAGTGATGGGACTTGCTGTGCAGAAGAGGAGGGAGTGTGAGAAAACAAAAGTAGGGAAGCGACACCGACTCCTTGGGCCCTGCTGTGAGAGTGCAAGTGGAAGTGAAAGTGATCTGTGGCAATGGGCCTAAGAGAATGAGGAATGAGGATGAGTGCTGTGTGTATGTGTGCAAATGGAACAAAGGGCCAAGGTGTCAATGGCCCGCCCAAAGAATATAAGCGCTTTTCACCGACGATCAGAGGAGAACAAGTACCAACCACGGACACGCGGCTGGTCAGCCATTTTTTTTTTCAGGAACAAAATCATCAAAGACACACTCTAGTTTATGGTATCACTTCGGCAGCCCTATATGGCGTTCTATGGACGGTCCAGCTCCAGCTCGGCCCCTTCTTTCCTTTTTTTACCTTCCTATGCCCTTCCTTGCCTTGCCTTTCTTGACTTTCCCTTCCTTTCTGCTCTTTCTGTCTTTTGCCTTTGGCTTTTAAGGACGAGGCAGAGTATATACTTGACCAACTCCACCGAAAATTCATGATCGGCTTCGCACTATCTACTGACCCTTCCTTCTCTCCATTACAACTGTGCGCTTTGTAATTCTGAATTTTCACGCTCCCGCGAGAGCCCTTTTTTTGCCCTCCTCCAAACTGTTCTTGAAGGTTATTCAGTAGACTGTCGTTCCTCATTTCCGTGCCCGGTCCTTGTCTTGGCAATTGGTTAACATAACCACGACACCCGAGATTGCTCTTGGAATATAATAACCATAGCACAGTGAGCCTGTGGATAACCATGAATAAAAGGATCCCTGAACCTTGATACTGTTACCTCCACACAAAGGACTCTTTGTAACTGTGTTTAAAGATAAAACGTCGTACAGGTGAATAATGGTATATCCTTATGACCAACCGCACCATTGCTTGGCGCTTACAATGAGCTGACGTTCAACGCCTTATACACTTTAGACAACACCACCGCCCTTCTCTTGCCATTTGACCATGCGTACCTGTGTTTGTTGGACAAGTTGCCGTCGTACACATACGCTAGTTAAGACTTATTTGTTCCGCACATGCCGACAACGACATCGCGGTGTTCTCATTTGCAGCTCTGGCGATAGTCCGCCCACATGCATGGAGATGCGCATGGTATAGAATGTCTACAGTTGTACGCGATCGAAGTGAAGGAACAATAACAAGAGCCCTTCCCTCATATTATTTTCTCTTCGAGATGCTCCCTGTGGCAGAGCGTACCTCTGGTCGCAGGCCGATATCCACTTCGATCCTCTGCATCCGCATTGTCCACTCGGTTCATCCCTGCTCGCTTAAAAATAAACGCAACATTTTTATTTGATGACAGTAAGTGTGCATGCAGCATGTATGTCCGTATACAGTACACAGCAAACTAAACCTATATTCCCAGAATAAAGTGTACACAGTGCAAGTGTGTGCTCTCAGAGTGTCAAAGAATTGCAATCTACGGTGAGTCAGCGTATTGGAGCGGATCAAGTACGCATTACGCTTCTAGCACGAACTGTGGGGAAGCAAATGTTGGGTATGTGGAGTTTTACACCGACTGCAAACTCTAGTGGCTGTGTGAACGTTTCCCCCGATAACGCTCGAATGCAAAGGTCCAAGCCCACCAAAGATATGACTACTATATTACTTTCGTGCAGTACTCATTTTCACGCGCACTATACTTTCCTTGAAGAGTATGTGCATGCCCGCTATGACGGACAATAAAAAAAAAGGGCAAAGTCATGGCGTGCCTACATACTACATCTCTTATTAATCGGCCAAAATGCGCCAGATGACGCCGGCAGGACCTGAAAGGGGGGCTAACGACGAGAGTAGGACTACATTTACTACAGCTTCGCTTGTCAAACCAGACACCAGATTGCCGACGTACAATCGACAAATCTAACATGGTAAACTCCTTTCTGAAGGGACATATTCTAGCAACACCCCTCGCCACGCTTTTCGCTCCAAATCCACGCTCGCGCCCTTGCTCACATTTGTGCTTTTCTCATTCCTCCATAGTCAGACGGGTGCACTTATCCCTCGCATTACATGCAAATAAGTCTTTGACGTGGTCATGTTCTTATATTGTTGTGTCTTTTGCATTCCTCCCTAGGCGGACATATTCACAGATCTCCGGATGTCAATTCGCACAGGTTTACGTGGGTTTCGCTTTTATGCCCTTGGAGTTGCTCATGTTGAAGCCTTCTTGTAACCAGCTTTGTCCACTTCCCCCCTGACCGATTCTTCTAAGGTGACACGACACGTCTTCTAGTGAAGGCCTCCTCCTCTTGTCCTCATTGTGCATCTCTCTACACCTGTCTCTGTTAACACTACAGAGAAGGATCCATTACGTCTACAGAGGAAAGACCTCCTCTACTCTGCACCACACGGACTATGATCCATCGCCTCCTTGCGCGCCTATTCTTCCCCCTCACTTGTACATCCCCCTCTTTGCCTGATACGCCCTTACTACATACGCAGTTCATAAAGAAGGATCACAACAGCTATTGCTCTTTTGGCTAAGTACCATCTGCCTGCCATTCTCTTTGTGGTGAATAGTTACCCTTTTTTTTACAACAGGAGGGAGGAGGAGGAGGAGAAGAGGAAGAAGAGGAAGAGGAGAGAAACCTACATGTACGATACTCTCCTTTTTTCTTGATTTCTTAATGTTCACAAAAGACAATAGCGAACGTGGACCTGGAGAGAGTGGCGCCGCCTTCCATTCCATTCTTTCCCAGGAATACTAAATGGCCTTCCTCTACGTCTACAGGCCGCGGGGGCCATGTCGTGCGAGGTGCCTGTAAAATTCCTCCGATTCCTCGCTTTTCTTCGCGCCGGTGATCGCGGTTTCTTCTCTTTTCTTATTGTATCTCGTCCATTACTCTCCTTCACTTGGGTATACCATATCTGTCGTTGTCCGCTATCGCCTCTATCGCGCTCAACAAAGTCGCGGAACCTATCTGCCTTCCCTAACCCATTTCGAATCTCATCTCGCCCCATCCAGCCCTACTACCCGCTCGCGCCCCAGTCTCACATACTTCCTAGCAACGGAGTCGAACATTGAAACGACCAACCGCAATAGAACGCGTTCTTTCATTCTTTTTTCCCTACGACTTCCCATGGCTCTTTTTCTTTAAGTATTACATCCATCTTTCTTTCCTTCCTCCAACGAAGCCCAGTTCTATTATTCACGTAGACACATACATAGACACAGACGCTGACGTTGAAGTAGACACACACCTAAACAGCCTTGCTATTCTCTTCCTTCCTTTGGTCCTATTTACCAGATCCCTCTCCCTCCGCCTTCTCTCTCTTTCCAACCTCTGCATTGCCCACATCCCGATTTTCCTCCCAAAAGCCCTTTGACAACGCGGCAAAATCTTTCCTCCTTATTCAACGGACCATGAAGACCCGCACAGTCCTACCGTCACAGAACACTAGCCACCATTCGATGGCAATGGAGCATTCGATGGAGCGTATGGCTTTCCACTGCCCTAACCCATCCTCGACAAGCTCCGTCGTATCGATGGCTTCTATCCACAGCAAAAGCCATTCACTCCCACCCATCGCATACACCACCGCCCCATCTCATGCTCTTCCAAGATATAACAACAGGCCATGGCAGCGACATGAGGTAAATGACATGTCTATGTCTGTTCATGTTCCGTGGCGCACTCTTGTAGGTGTAGCACTTGAAGCGGACATTTATACTGCGCACTCTGGATCCCCTACTACTCCAACCCATACCAATAAAACAAGGGCTCAAACCCTCTCCCTAGATTTTTACGAATACATGGTAATACAGTTGGGCTGACAATCAGACAATTTTCTGGATGCGTTTCCTTAACTAGGACCAGCTTTTGAGTGAAGCCATTAACACGTACGGGACAAAATCGTGGGAGTCCGTTACCGACTTTGCATTCCCAGACGGCTCCAGAGATCGCAATGAATGCATTCATCGCTGGAGAACTCTGTCTTCCATCAAGCCACGTCAAGTCAAAGGGCCATGGACAGAGGACGTATGTCGAGATATGTTAATTCTTCAACAAACACGCGCTCGTACATGCAATCTCACGATACGTCCGCTACTGATACCATAGGAAGATAGGAAGCTCCGTGAGCTGGTGAACGAGTACGGCCCTGAAAAATGGGTGTTTATCGCTTCGAAGATTGGCTCTCGCACCGGCAAGCAGTGTCGAGAGAGATGGCACAACCATCTCGATCCCATGAGTAAGTCGATGTTGGTTGCGGTACCTTATTGAAGAATAGTTAAAAGACATATCGCTAACACTGACTTCATCCGATTAGTTAACAAGGCACCTTTCACACCCGAAGAAGATGTGCAGATCCTTGAGCTCTACAACAAGCTTGGATCCAAATGGGCAGAGATGGCGAAGCATATGCCCGGACGACCGGATAATGCCATCAAGAACCATTTTAACACTACCATGCAGAGAAAGAAAAGACGTATGAGCATGCCCTCAATTCATTCTTCGTACCACTTCCAAGATCACCGTCAGAACAGCGGCCCCTCTGCTTCACCCTACGCCCATGGTCGGTTGACATTAAGAAGAGGCCCCAAGGGAATCGTGTCCACTTCATCATCTTCCCTCGGCTTGGGGACGACTGCCCATCATCATCAAATGGCCAATTCCATGGCCCGATTTATGCCCTACGAGCGCCGACATTCACTTCCTGTATCTTCTACGATGATCCCACAGAGCTTTTCGACATCGCCTTTGCCATCTCTAGCTTCTTCATCCTCCGCCAACAGCTTGATTTTGCCTTCGCCTCCAAAGACGCCTGATGCAGGTCAGCACCAGAATTCGCCGTCGCCTTGGCGTGCCACCCCACCGCCAGTGCGAAACTTATATGGAGCCGGTTCGATGCAGGCTCACTGTGGCACTTCTTCACCAAAATCTGCGAAAACGACTCTGCCAGGAATCGCATCCTTTGTTCATGCAGCTGAACAACAGATGCCATTGGCCAAGCCCAATGCCCCTATCCAGGGCTCCTTTCATGGCCATGGACACCGCATCTTCTCTCCATCGCCTTCGTGCTCCTTATTGTTAGGCAACAGCGTTTCGATTCCTGACTCCTTCGCAGCAAACCAGTCGGATGCTGCCCTGGGTAAGAAGTCGATTGAAAACTCGTTGGCTCGTCTTGAAGAATCGACCTCATTTCGGCTGCCCAAACTGGGCGATTTGGATCGCTTTACAGGCCCCATGTTCTTGAGTCGACCGCGTTCAACCGCTTCGGCCGCATTCCTATCGCGTGATGTCTTGATTCCTTCTGTCCGTTATATCCAGGCTGGTCCCTTTTTTAAGGGCATGGATTCTGATGTGATCGAAGAGGGATGCGGCCGGGCTGTGAAGCGGGAGGCCATTCCAGAGGGAGAAGAGCACTGCCATGGACATATCGAATACAGAAATATGGCGCAGCCTTATGATGACGAGGACTTCACTGACAAGGAGTCGATCGGCCTGACTGAGGATGAGGATCTGGACGACGACGACATGAATATTAATGATAGTGACGATGACGACGACGATGATAGCAGCGCTGACAAAGATGATGTAGAGGAAGTTGGGGGCAACAACAGTAGGATATACGGTAACCAGGGCACAGCTCATATCATGTCGATCGAGAATCTTATCGGACCATCTGCTTAAGCACGAGATGTTTTTTATCTTTTTTTTATACTCTTTTTCTTTTTGTACGGGTGATGACCCTTGTATATTTCTTCCACTTCTTCATGTAATGATATCCCTCCATTTTCAGAGTCATCTACTTGTCGCGCGCGTCTCCTTGGTACATTTCCTCCCATCAACGTGTCGCACCGCCTTTTCTGCTACAGAGCATGTCCATATTATCTCCAAAACGCGTGTAACGAAAAATTATATTAAAATAAAAAGGTCTCCGTCTTCTTTTTACATCTTTCATTGCGATCAACATCCGGTTCCCGAACCGGCACGAACAACACCTAGCGCACGGGACTCATCACCTCACCGGAGCACAAAGAGAAACGGGCGTTGGTGCCATCATTCTGTTATCGTAAGAGAGGGAAAACCATTGATACTTTTGGAAACAATTCCGCTCTTTGACGATACACAAAGGAAGGGCGCAATGGGTGCAGCTCCAATGTGTAAGCTTGTGATGAAAGTTTGTGGGACCAGGTCCACGCATGCTTGACTTGTTGCGACAGAGTACACACTCGGAACGGTTATCTGAATATTCAGGAAAGTGGTTCCCGACAACGAAACGTTCTTCAGAGAGCGTGGGGTTCAATTTAGAAATGTAGGGGTTTTTGACTTTGCGCGGCACAAGTGCTTGGTCATGGCGGCTCCTTGTTAAAGCCTGCTCCTCTCGAATGCCATTCATCATCAGAGACCATGCCAGCTGAACTCGAAAATCGCGATGAGAAAGAGACCCAGTGTTCCGTTTGTAAATGTGGTATGCGTTGACAATAGTTGTGTCAAATAACCAGAAGAAAAGAGGCATCCAATTTCGGACAACTGACAGTTGTGTGTGATAGTACATGCGATAATGATCACTGACATCCACGCCATTCATGCAATGGTTATAATCATGGGAATCTTGAGGGCAGCTCGGGGGTGTCCTTGAAAAACTGCACGGACAGTTCTGCCATTTGTACTCGTTTCTCGAGGGTGGCGTCTATTACGCATGACGAATGAGGCATCACCCATGATCTCATGGATTGTAGACAGCATTGTAACCGGCCCATTATCCATCCAAAGTATGGCGATGACCTTGTCATCAACCACAACACCAGACAAAGTATTCCAGTCAAGCTTATCACCTTTGTTAACCCTGAGCTCTTTTGAGAATCGCGACGACGAACTCCGTACTGTGCCGCATGCCCCAATTTTGAGGCCCCGAAGAGAAATGAAAAGAGAGATGTTGGAGGAATAGTTGTCCATAGGGACGTTGTAGGACAAATTTCGATAAGGAGGTGTTTTGACAAGTTGGTAGACTACAGACGAGGTTTTGCTCAAGCCAGGGACTTCCTCGATACCGTTGAAAGGATGAACCCTCGAGGTGTACAGAAAAGAGTAGGTGTCTCCAGCGTCGCAAAGTGAAAGGACCTTGTATCCTTGAGGCGCTGGCTTGTTCTTTATCCGAACAGTATGCATACCTCGACCTGAGAACTGAACCATCATCTCATCAACAGAGACATTTGTCGAAGGGGTGTAGAATTTGTGGAACGTTTCCTGAAGCTTGGTAGAAATCGGCTCTAGCTTGAAATACCAAGGTTCAGGATGGGCATACGGGTTGGAGACATGAAAGAATCGCTTGAGTTGTTGGAATCGAGTGAGTGACATGAAGCGCTTGAATGGATGTGATGGATATTGTGATGACAGAGACCAATAATCCGCAACGCGAGGCTAATGAAAAATACCCAAGAAAAGACTAAGTTTCTTTGAGGAGGTGCACATCCATGCACGAGCCCCGACTTTGGTTCCAGCTTCCTTCTTTGTAGCATATGTGTTTGTGTTCCATGCTAGTTCAGCCAAGATATCATCCGTAAAAAAAGTGAAAATATGTGGATGGGCTCAAGGGACCCGTCCAGACGCATAGGCGCAGAGAAGTTGATATAGTTATGGTGAGACTGATGATGTGGGGCACATTGCTTACCAGGTTCGTTCTCCAGATCGTCAAACTGATCCTCAGCATTGAGGAACGGACAGGAGCGACCAATTGTCGCCAAACGTCCCTCCTCCACATCTAAGTCGGTTCCACTGGCTTCTTCAGCAAGAGTAGGAATGTTTTGGGTGGTTACAGGCACAGTTTAGATGGTGGTAGGAGTAGTCTGGATGGCCAAAAGCATCACTAGCCCGAGGGGTGAGGTGCCGCGGATCCAGGTACAGATGCGTTGAGCCCCTGGGTAGTTGGGTTAGGCAGAGTCCCAGGTTGACCAGGCACAGGCACGGGTTGGTCAAAAAGTGGACCAAGGTGTTGCATGAGGTTTGCAGCTTATGTTACAAAGGCTGCAGCGTGGCTAGAAGGGTCAGTCTGACCGAGGATGGCTGTTACTTGGAACAACAGGGCAGTCACCTGCCTCAAACTCGCAGCCTAGCCACCAGATGGGACCTGATCAGAAGGTGTTCTCGTAGAAGGATTGTTAGGGGGCTTCATGGCTAGAATTAGCTTGATAGAATGGCAAATGTTGGTGAAATTTTGATTCAAATAAGGATTTGGGGGGTAAGCTGGCCCATTTTAGATTAACATAAATCCACATGAGCACGACGCAAAGGCCTTGAAGCCCTAAATACCTTCCATGCACGGCAAAGCCGCGTCCCCTACCAACTAGTTTCATAACCCATGTCGCATAGCTAGTCTAACCTAACTCCAACGTGACCTGTTGCGCGATACACGTCCACTTAGTCAAGATCCGGTGTTAATAGAGTTGTTTTTAAACCGAATAAACCCTCCATTATGTCCAACTTTCCTCACCCCAAGCAATGCTGCAGCACCGGCCCATTTTAGAGAATTTCTCATTTATGAAAAATTCCTCGCTCCGGGGATAACAACCGTATAAGTATGGATCATTCTGTTGTGGTTATGTTTATCCCCCATCGCATTCGATCCCAATACCACGCACCTATCCCACGTCCGTATCACCACCATCCCATAGCACTCTCGACAGCCAAAATGAAACCCATCTCCATCTCCTCCTCTATCGCGCTCTTGTTGGGTGTGCTTGCCCTCACATCTGTCTCCGAGGCTAAGCCTAGGCACCAATCTCACAGTAAAGTCAAGCATGTCCTCATGCTCTCCATCGATGGTCTCCGCCAGAAGGACCTTGCCGGATTTGTTGCCTCTAATCCCAAGTCGAACCTTGCTGGCCTCGTTAACACTGGCATTCAGTTCTCCAACGCGCAAGCTTCCAAACCCTCGGACTCGTTCCCAGGTCTCCTTGCCCAACTTACCGGGGGCAGTCCTGCAACCACCGGTGTCTGGTACGACGACTCGTACGATCGCTCTCTGTATCCTCCAGGCTCCAATTGTTTTGGCCCCATCGGAACAGAAGTGCTCTACGACGAGACTATAGACATCGATGATACCAAGATCAACGGCGGTGGCGGCATAAATGTCCAGGCACTTCCTCTCCGCCTAACTAACGGCAAGTGCGAGCCTGTTTGGCCTCACCAGTACGTCCGTGTTAATAATATTTTTGAAATCGCCCGCAAGCATGGCCACATCACAGCCTGGTCTGACAAGCACACCGGCGCCTACGATATTGTTCGTGGACCTTCTGGCAATGGCCTTACGGATTATTATTCGCCTGAAAATTCTTCGGTTGCCTCCAACGCTACTGCTGCCTATGACGATCTCCACGTCAACGCCGTCGTGAATTGGATCCAGGGCAAGGACGCCACAGGCACCAAGCGGATCGGTATTCCCTCTATCATGGGATGCACTTTCCAGGCCATCAATACCAACCAAAAGGCCTTTGGTACCCCATCTGCTCAGTTGAATGCCGCCTTTCAGCACACGGACGCTGCGCTCGGTAAAATTGTTGCTTCTCTTAAGGCTGCCAAGATCTACCAGAATACTGTCATTATTGTCTCTGCCAAGCACGGACAGTCGCCCATTGATGCTAGAAAGCTAAAGCGCGTCGATCCTAGCAGCCTACCCACTGTTTTGGGTGTTGATATCGCTCATCAGATCACCGACGATGCTGGTATCTTTTGGCTTAAGGACAGTGCCGACACATTCAAGGCAGCCTCGAACGCCTACAAGAACGCCGATCAGGTTCACTTGACTGCCCTCTGGGCCGGTGAGGGTATTCGCCTCGCTGGCCTGGGTGATCCCGCTACAGATCCTCGTGTGCCCGATATCATCTTCCAGTCCGAGCCCGGCACCTTGTTCTCGCTGTCCAAGAAGAAGATTGCTGAGCACGGTGGATTCAACGAGGATGACGTCCATGTTGCCCTGTTGATTTCCTCCCCCTACTTGAGGAAGCAGGTTAACACATCGCCTGTCAAGACCACCCAGATTGCTCCGACTATTCTCCGCCTGTTGGATCTCAACCCTGCTGAGCTGGAAGCTGTGCAGATTGAGGGCACTTGCGCACTTCCCATCGCGTAAATATTTATTAACCTGCCTCACAATAAAAAGCACTTACCGAAAGCGGCAGACAAGTCTTTGATCAAAAGGCGCATCGCCCCATTTCCATCCTTGAATCAGTTGTCAGACATCAGCTTCAGCCTCCACCATGCTGCCCACTCCGGATCTTTCGCATCTCAAAAGACAGGACTATGAATATATTTACGAGCCAGCGGGTATGGACTATGCACCATCGCTGCTTTATGTCGACTGCAAGAATGATAACAGGATGTCGGCTAATTCTATCCGCCATACTTTTCTAGAGGATACTTTTCTTTTCTTGGATGCGTTCGAGGATGAGGCGCCTTTCTTGAAGGATCTTGACCCAACAATTTCATTGGAGATCGGGTATGTTTCACCGATCTTCCGCGTATCCAGGGCCAGTGTGTGTCGACTATGCTGACGAGAACCTCTTCCATTATCGACAGATCTGGATCCGGTTGTGTTACGGCATTTGTAGGCAAGATCCTTGGCGAGTCCAGTTGCTGTAAGTAAGCGTTCTTGGCCTAATCGATTGTCAAATGTTGATCTCTATGCGGGGACTAACATCTCTTGGCAACAGTGAAGTATTGTACAGACATCAATCCAAGGGCCGCAAGAGCAACGAAAGGAACAGCCAAGCAGAACCAGGTACAGTCACTTCTCGAAGCGCTTTATTATCCAAAGCAACGGCTGTGGACGCTATGCCAACATTTATTTCTGCTGCAGCTTTCTGTAGATGTTATCGAGACCCATCTCACGGATGGCCTGCTACCAAGACTGGAAGGACAGATCGATCTGATGTACTTTAACCCGCCCTACGTTCTTACGCCTTCTGAGGAAGTCGGATCACATTCAGTGGAGGCATCATGGGCTGGGGGGATCGATGGACGCGAGGTCATTGACGAGTTTTTGCCATACGTCAAGGTAATTAGATCGGGATGTGTCCTTCTCGGTCTCCACGCTTCGGGGTAGAGCTGCTGAAGACACCCACTATTAACTTTAACATTGGTCTATTCTTACAATTAGCGCCTACTCTCATCAAAAGGCGCGTTCTATTTGGTCGTGGTCAATGAAAACAAACCGGACGAAATTCGAGAGATCATGAAACAAGACGGCTTCGACTCTAGCGTGAGTACTCGCTGGCTCTGTACATTTTTTTTTTTGTAGTTCTCTCGGCAAAAACGATTTCTCACATCTGTTTGATTATTTACTTGCTTAGGTGGTCAAAACTAGACTTGCCGGCAGAGAAAAGCTGCTTATTCTAAAGTTCATCAGGACAAAGGCATAGTCGGTCTAATAAAATATTGTGGGAAGATACCCATGGTGCGCTCATGTGGTGCATATCGTACTTCAGTTCTCCACATACATTTTGCGACAGCAACATTTCAATGCTGCATCCACGGACAAAGCCACTAAATTTTCTCAGCGGTTCTCGAACAACAAAACGATGGGACCAAGCAAAGGCCTTGGTACCGCTTCCATCCTTCCTCCATCACATCCCCTTACGCCGGCATGGGTAATGCAACTCCTCAATAATGTTCGATGCAAGCGATGCATCGTTTTCGCGTCGATAATCGAGCCACCTTAGACCGATGAAGCGACTTCTGGTACTAACTTCAGCCCAATTGGTCTCTATGTTATAGACCAATCACATCACTCCAAGAGCGAGCCACTGTCTGGTCGAGCGTCAGAGTTAGCCAACTCTTTCCTTTCAGAGCTCACGGAAGAGCTTTCCAATCCGATGGGCGGCTCTGCAAAGCGTAAGTCAACTGTCTTTTCAAGTCTGGAGCGATTGGACTGGCTACTCTTGACTGTGCGCATAGCTGATCACCTTTTGCGTTGTCTCGACTCTAGGCGACTATGAGGGTCATGATGGAACGGATCGTCGAAGCAGTCGCCACAGAGGAGAAGGAAGCGACAGAGACAGAGAAAGGGAACGGGACAGAGACAGACATCGTTCCTCCAGCTCTCGACATGACCGTAGTGATCGTGACCGTAGCGAGAGAAGCGACAAGGACCGACATCGTAGTGAGCGAGGAGAAAGAGGTGACCGAAGCCGCGAGGACCGCGAGCGTACCGATCGTGACAGGCGCAGTGAGCGTGACAGAGGTGATCGCGACCGCGACCGTGAACGCGACCGTGGCGATAGGGACCGCAGGGACAGAGACCGCGAATATGAACGCTATGAGAGAGATCGCAGAGAACACGACCGTGGTCGTGATGGTCGCTCAGGACGAGATGAGCGGCACCGCGATAGCAGGTACGGCCGTAGATCGAGCAGAAGCAGGAGCCCGGCTCGCGAAATGTCGCCTATGCTGGACGAGCACAACATCCTCCCCATTAACAAGAGAATGCGCAAGCTAAAGAATTGGGACGTGCCACCACCAGGATACGAGGATAAGACTGTTCAGGAAGTCAAGGCATTAGGTGAGCGAGGACAGGCATTCAGAGCATTTTTTTTTCAGGCATGGAACAGGAATAGGGATGATTACTCATCACGATGTTTCTTTTTTCTTATTCATAACTAGGTATTTTCCCACCCCCCGGACAGCCTGCAGTGCTGAGGTCAGAAATCCTTCAAGGAATGGATCCGGAGCGTGCAGCACAATTGGTGCACGAGCTGCCGCCTCGCCCACTTCGAATGAACTATCCACCTATGGGAGCGCCTGGCGGAATGGGCGGACCATACGGCAACATGGGCTTTGGATTCCGCAATAATAACGGACCAGGAGGCGCAAATGGAGTCGATCATACTCTCGCTAGACAGCAGCGAAGACTGTACTGCGGCAACCTCCCAATGGGAATTAACGAGGTATGCGGTTATAGACTTCGCTCTTGCTTGATTTTGCGCGCGTCGATTTTTAAGCGTAACTGACTTCGTGACACTCTTTTCGTTGTATTTTCATGAAACTAGGACTCGTTGGCCAACTTTTTCAACCAGACGATGATGAGCATGAACCTTACAACGGGAGCTGGAGCGCCTGTTGTATCCGTTCATATCAATTACGAGAAAAACTATGCATTTGTCGAGGTACATTGGACACTGTTACGACCAATTTGGAATGGAGTTCTGGATTCTATGGGAACTGCATTGAATTAACATGTATTACATGGCTTTTTTCATTTTTTAATTTTCTTTAGTTCCGAACACCCGAGGAGGCGACGGCTGCTATGGCATTTGATGGAATTGTATTCCAGGGCCAGACACTCAAGATTCGCCGCCCTAAGGATTACCAGCCACCAGAGGGAGCAAATCATGAGGTCCCTCAGATTCACGTCCCAGGAGTTATCTCAACAAACGTACCTGACAGCGAGAACAAGATCTTTATTGGAGGTCTTCCACTGTATTTGAACGATGAACAGGTTATCGAACTGCTGACTGCATTTGGCGAGCTGAAGGCATTCAACCTGGTTAAGGAGAATAATGTTGGCGCATCCAAGGTATGCCTTGTACAGCGCGTTATTGTCTTCCTTGTTTACATGACATTTGCTCCTATCAAACCTATATCAACGTTTCTAACACCGCTGTCTTTTTCCACTTAATAGGGATTCGCATTTTGCGAGTACCTTGACCCCAATCTTACGGACATTGCATGCCAAGGACTTAATAACATGATGCTTGGCGAGAAGAAGCTGGTTGTACAGCGCGCTAGTGTCGGATCATCCAGGAACCAGAACCCTGCTGGAGGCGCCAACGCGATCGCATTACATCCTAACCTGATGCTCCCAGGCACTGGGGCGACAGAAGTTCTGCCGACCACCGTCCTGCAGCTGCTCAACATGGTGACGGCTGAAGAACTTGAGGATGACCAGGAATACGAAGGTAGAGTCGACATTTTTCTTTTTTCTTTTGTCTAGTCATATTGTTCTTGCGTGTTGGTTGTATTTGTTAGGGATATTAACTAGTCATTGCCTCGGCTCCTCTTTTGTTCTCTGCGTGATATAGATATTTTGGATGATATCCGCGAGGAATGTGGAAAGTTTGGTCAGGTTTTGGAGGTCAAGATCCCTCGACCTGTCGCTGGTCAGGCTGCAACGGGAGTCGGCAAGATCTTTGTCAAATACAGCAATGTGGATGAGGCCACGGCGGCTCTTCGGGCTCTGTCGGGACGCAAATTCGCGGACCGTACAGTACTGACTTCATTTTACGACGTCGACAAGTTTGCAGCAAATGAGTACTAATAAATAAAACCAAGGATCGTTACCGCCACTGTTCTGAGGAGTATATTATCAAGCGATCAATCATTATTATGGTCATTGATGCCATTGGGGAGGATGTGTATTGATGGTCTTCTTTGGCATTGGATCTCTCTTCGATAGTGGTGATGGCATACATTTCTTCGTTTGCGGATTTTGGAGATGGGATGAAAAAGATATTCACGAAGAGATATGGTGCATCTCTGTGGGACGTAGCATCTAGGTGCGACCATTCTGCAAAAAATGCTCAAAACGGTCAATGGCAATGGTCAACAGCGAGTAAATGGTATATGTGCTATTGTACTTGCAACCTTTTTTTGACGTGTTTAAATGTCATGTTCTTGATTCCTGTGCTTGCAGGCAGGCTCAGTTGTTTTCATAAGAGGCCACTGGGCATGCAATTGCAACACAACAGACAACAAATGACGATATGAAGGATAGCGAAAAAAGCAATAAGAGCAGGACCAGGACAGAATGCGCCATTGATGGACAAGGGGCAAGAAATAAGAACATTAGAACGAACGCGAAAAAAAAAAAGAGAAATGTTCAGAAAGCAGTGAGAACGCGCATACGTCCCCATGTGATTGAACACTGTCTTCCACGCGAGATACCCTGTGGGCTGCTGCGCGTCTATTTGTTCCCTCCCTTTTCTTGCCTTTAGACATCCGCTCACAGGCACCACATACACACATACACAACCCCTCCCTCTCATCTCTCGGACCCTCATGGAGGACCCAGGACCCATTTCAATAAAGGAAAACCTTTTTTATATATATAAACAAAAAACAACCGATGAGCAATGTCGTGTTTCCTCAGATGAGCACTCGACCTGGCTTGCATGTCAACTGTCAAGGCGATCGTCCACAGGCACTTCACCCCCGCCATCGCGTTTATTATTGTTTGTTATTGGTTCACGTAATGTTTGTTCCTCCTGTGGTCCACTGTGGGTCCTTTACATGGAAAACAGTGATTCATCCTTGTAAGCAGGGTAACCCTATCCATCAGTCAACGAGTTCAATCATTGGTGTACCTGTAATGTCTTGGCTGGAGGCTATTTGAGGTCGTGTTTTTCAGGCACGAAAAATTTCATTTTCAGGCACCAAAAAGGCCATTGCATCGAAGGGTAGACTCTTTTTAGTCATGTATACATAGTACCCATAGATACATAGACTCATAGACAGTCGATGGGAGTTGCGGTGGCAGTCTAGTAGTAGTGGTGCCAGTAGCAGTAGCAGTAGCAGTGGCTGTGGTACGTAGTTAAAGTGCTATTGTAAGGTTCATCATGAGTGGTTGTTGTTGTCTCTCCAGAGGCTGTTTACTTTGACAACAGCCAGCTCATTTCATTCTCCACTTTTCTACCTTATTCTCTGCGTTCCTTAATTCCTCACTTGGTACACACATATACTTCTGCTCCCACGTTGTATTTATTATTGTTATTATTATTGTCATTATTATTATTGCAGTAGTCGTCTTTACGTTCATAACTGTCCATCCTCCTGTCTCTTTTTCTCTCTCTCTTTTCCCTTCTTCCTTCATTATTTCTTGTCTACACGTTCATCTTCTTTTTGTACACTTTGTACGTTTGTCCATATCCAGTTTTATCTCATCCATTCATTCTCTTCTTCCCCTCCGCAACCTTCACTTCTTAATCCTCGGAAAGGATTACATATGCACACGCTGGCCGTCTTCTGTCTCTCTACCCTTTTACACCCTCTTTGCACTTGACATTTCGCACTTCGTACTGTACTTGCACCCCCACTTACATTCACACCTCACATAACGCAAACGCGCACTAACGCACACATACATATACATACACACATACACGCATACATCCAACTCTCTCCCTTTCTTTCTCTTCCTCTGCCCCCAGTTGTATCGATCCAATTGCTCCTTTAGTCACTTCAGTTGCTTCAATTGATATCACTGCCCCTTACTCGAACTGTTCACTTGTATCGGTTCGATTGCTTCCTCAATTGCTTCAATTGATACCATTGTTACAGGTCTTCATACCTGTACTATTCCCTCCCCATTGTCTTCGACAACCATATTGGCTACCCTGGCCTGTTCTCGACACTCGCTCCCGTCGTTGACATGAGCGAAGCTCAAGCCGGCATGTCTCATCAGCCGCCACAGGATCCCCCTCACCAACAGCAATCACTATCACAACCGCAGGACAGATCTACCAAAGACATGGCATCAGAGTCCTTTCCTCAACAGACCAATCAGACTCACCTCCACAGTCAACCTGTCCAAACCACGCCTACTCCGGAGTCGGCTCCTGCAGTGCAGAAATGCGGCAAGTGCGACTTGCAGATGAAGGGCTCGTTTGTGCGTGCGTTGGGAAACACTTATCATCTGGATTGCTTCAAGTGCATGGTAAGGCATCAGGGCAATTTACCTTCCCAAGCTGCAGTAGAGGGCGACGAATGATGTACTACCGAGTTCACATTCACTCGCTCATTCATTCACGTTCATTCATTCACATCCATTCATTCACTCACTTGGCTCGCTCGACATATTCATCTCATCACTCATCGCAGGACTGTGGCCAGATTGTCGCCTCCAAGTTCTTCCCCATCACGGAGCCCGATGGGAAGCAGTATCCACTCTGTGAGCGCGACTATTTCCGGCGTCTCAACCTTGTGTGCCAGTCTTGTGGAGGAGCTCTTCGTGGCTCCTACATCACGGCGCTTGACTACAAATATCATATTGAGCACTTTACATGCTCGGTGTGTCCAACGGTCTTTGGTCCTCAGGACTCTTACTACGAGCACGATGGCAAGGTGTACTGCCACTATCATTACTCACTTTGCTACGCTGTTAAGTGTGCAGGATGCCGGACAGCGATTTTGAAGCAGTTTGTCGAGATCAATCGCAACAGCCAGGACGAGCATTGGCACCCAGAGTGTTATATGATTCACAAGGTAGGCATCCGATTGACGCTGGTTCTGTTATGGAGAGAGGTGCTGTATTCTTTATTTTACATCTCGGCAGGTATCAATTGAGTCTCAAACGGTTATTCCAAATTAATTTGCGATGCGGTTTGGTTACTACTTTCTCAACCCGACAATAAAAAAAGAAAAGGTGTTTTCACCAGGGGGCTTTGGTCGGAAAAAGGTTGCCCTTGGTGTCCTACTAGTGCTGGTCCATGTGTTTTTTTATTTGTTTGATTAGTCCTTGGTCAGTTGACCCCTCTCATTTTTCATTCTCGGCTGTTTACAAATCTCCTTTGCTTTGCTCAAGAAGGATCTACATGAAGGAGGTCGAATGTGTAGCATATCAATTAATTGCATTGTCGCTAACAATGACTAACCATTTGTGGTCTTTTTTTTTTTTTTTGTCGCATCGCATAGTTCTGGAATGTGAAACTCGCGTCCGTGCCGCAGAAAGAGGATCTACCCCAATCAAAGATCGACGCTGAATCAGGACCGCAGTCTGTGGATTCAGGAACAGGAACAGGAGCAGAGGCAGTAGACGCATCAAATTCAGAAACGGCGCTCGTACTCAAAAATGAACAGGAGAGCAGCACCACAGAATCAGATTCTTCTCTTCCACCGGAGGAGGCACCAGCCTCAGCCGCGGAGACCAAAACACCCGCTGAACTCAAGCTGGCACAGCAGCAGATGGAAGAAAAGGTGTATCAGATCTGGACGGTTCTCTCGGCTTTTGAGGAATCTTCTGCTGGATGCATCTCTGAGATGCTGCTTCACGTCTCGAACGGATCCTACTATGACGGAGTACAGATGGCAGGACGATTCATCCTACACGTCGACATTTTGTTTAGTGCCATCGACGACCTCGAGGCTCAGATGAAGGAAGTTGGCGATAATAGCGGTAAGAGCTATAAAAAAACACATGTGCCGCACTGAAGCAGTTCGTTGGATTCCACTTACTCCATTACTAACTCGCTTTAACCCATATTTTTCCCGACCGATTTTGTTAACATTTTAGACATGACACATGGACGGGAGGCTAAGATGCTGTGTAAAAAGATCGTGAACTTCTTTTCACTTCTTTCGCACACGCAGGAGAGTGGTGTCCGACGGCTGGGCATGACGCAGGAGTTGCTCTCGTTGGTTACCGGACTCGCCCACTACCTCAAAATCCTCATCCGTATTGCTCTTACAAGCGCACTCAAGCTGGTATGCAAAAAAAAAAAGAAAGAAAGACGCATTTCTAATTTATACATGGATGATGCTCAAGGGCGTACAACTAATCACATCAATTGCATGCTTCCATTGTTCCTGTCTCTCTCCACGCATGGAACTACAACATTCAAATCGGATTTCAACAACATGATATGGGATTACTGCCACTATACTACCATGACCCACTATAATACAGGAACGGCAATACAACTCGACGGCAGTGATCGCGCGGTTCCTGAGTAAACTAATGGAGCTGGCCAACCGCGACAAGTATTTGAATGATCTTCAAGGGGAGAATTCAATGGACGCAGAGGTTACATCTGATTTGTGTCTGGCATGCCGTGTCACCATCGAGGACGAGTGCTTCACCCTTAATCACCACCATCGTTGGCATCCAAAGTGCTTGAAGTGCTCAAAATGCACGAAATCGCTGGTATCAGTATACTACGACGCCTCATTCGACATAGGCCCCGGACTAGTCCTCTGTCAACAGTGCAAAACACCAGAGTCGCAGACGGGATTCTCACATGTGACAAAACTGGAGCAGTATACCTTCCTGTTGCGCGTAGCCCTCATCCGTCTGGAGAATCTTCTTCATCTCAAGGGTAAGTGTACTTGAACACTTTCAGATACCTGTCGACAATGGAAAAGTAGAAGGACTAGCAGAAACAAAAACGAAATTGACCTATTTTTGCCATCCAGGCGACGACCAGCCTAGCAGCGAACAACGAACACGTCAGTTGGCCACAGCTCCAGCCTCGCCTCTCTCGCCACCAGGCTTGATGAGGAAGGATTCTCGATCAAAGTCATATTCATCGGACGATAACCGGCAATACGAAACGATTCATCTCGGAGATATCAAGCGCGTCAAATCTACTCATCTGGACCGGAAGCTATCCAACTCTGCACGGATTCCAAAGCGGCAGACTGTTATTGAGCGCCAGCGGAGACAACTTGAACCTGTTGGTCTGGTTCTGGACGAACTGGTTTCGGCAGACAATGCAGCAGCAGCAGCAGCAGCAGCAGCATTGGTACAGAGCAATACTACGGAGGCAGAAGCAGCGCCGCTCGAAATTGAGATTATCGATGAGCGGCCGGACACTGGAGATCTTCAACAGGAGGACGAGGGCATAGAGGGTCCCAATCCAAATGCGCCGGCAACACTCTCGGACCTGACTGAGCGACTTCGGATCAGTACCGCGACCAACGCGTCACCAACAGCGTTGCATCGCTTACGTCAAGGTCATGGGTCAGCACAAGGATCCCAGCACCTGGAAGTCCCTAATGCCTCACGCCATCCAAAGAGGCAATATTTAAGCGAGCTGTCAGCATTAGAATTATTTATTGTGAAACACCTGGCGGTTTTGACATTGGCGCCAATTGTTTCCGAGTACTTTACGCTGGAGGAACTATTGGACCTGATCGGACAGCGCAAGCAGACCCTTTGGGGCCGATTCGTGAAGGGACTCAAGACCGACAAGAAGAAACCAAAAGGTAAGATACACTTTGGTCACAACGTTTGCTTATTGAACGACTTGGATGGGCCTTTGCAGTAACTAACTCACTGTCTGTTGTCTGATCTGCAATAGTCGAAGGAACATTTGGAGTCCCACTGGAAGTCCTGGTAGAGAGGAACGGCGTTGATTCTGCATTAGGTGCAGGTCCTGGACGCATTCGAATCCCTAGTTTTGTGGATGATAGCATTTCTGCGATGCGCAACATGGGTATGTGCTCTTACACACGATGAACAGATGTTCTGCGATCTTTCTCTCTAATCTCGCGTTGCTAAACCCCTTTCTGGTATTTCTTTGTTTTATGATATAGATATGTCGGTGGAGGGCGTGTTCCGAAAGAACGGGAATATTCGGCGTCTCAAGGAACTCAGCGAAGCGATTGACAAGGATCCTTCATCTGTGAACTTGAGTGATGATAATCCTGTACAGGTGGCAGCGCTGTTCAAGAAATTCCTGCGCGATCTACCTGATCCACTCTTGACATTCAAGTTGCACCGACTTTTTGTTGTCTCTCAGAGTACGTGCCTTGCATCCTTCTCTTATTTTTTTTCTATTCGTTTTTCCAAAGCATTGGACAGCGAAAGAATTCTGACACCCAACTTGTTCATCGAATAGAAATGGAAGAAGAGTCGCTTCGAAAGACGATTCTGCACTTGACGTGCTGTCTACTACCCAAACCTAATCGCGATAGCATGGAGGCGGTCTGTCTGTTCCTTCGTTGGGTCGCCTCCTTTTCACATGTGGATGAGGAGACGGGCAGCAAGATGGATCTTCACAATCTGGCAACGGTGATCACACCAAATGTTCTGTATTCAAAATCCAAGGATCCAACAAAGGATGAGAGCTTCCTCGCCATCGAGGCTGTCATGGGTCTACTCGCACATCAGGATGAGTTCTGCGTTGTAAGTCGAAGGTGGAAGAAATGTCTACTCGTCTTTAGAATCGTTTTTACTGAAAATTGAAAATTAACTAATGAATCGTACTTTCTTTTGATGATAAAAAAAAGGTACCCATGGATCTTTCTTCCATCCTCAGCGACCAGGACCTCGTGGAATCATCGACAGATCTTTCTTCAAAGGACATTTTGAAGCGCTGCGAAAACTTGGTTAGATCCAAGGTCAAGAAGTCGCATTCCTTGGGTGATCTCTATGCTGATTCGAGCAATAGTGGAAACGGAATTGTGGAGGGACAAGGTCAGAGCGCAAGTGTAGGAGATAATACCCATCAACTGAACAACATCAACAACAACGGATATCTACCATCGGCAGCGCCGACAGGGGCCATCCGGATTCCAGAGAGACCAAGACCTTATCATCATTCGCATTCGACGCATGCGGTGATACTGAGCGGACGGGATAGAGAGCGGGGATCAACACCGATGTCTTTATGAGAAAAAAAGAAATGAAAAAAAAGAAAAAAAAGAAACGACAACAACAACACGACTAACAACCTACACTGAGGCATGAGACGCGAGATCATGAAGGAGGGACAAAAATACGAGAGCGAAAAAGCAAGAACGCAGCAGCAAAGAAGAAGGATGCGACCGGAGACACTTTGCCATGGTCTTCCTAAATAAAGATCATGAAGAAATCGTTGACTGTGATCGAAATAAGGTTAATGTATCCCAATGATGACATCTTTTGTGGGCTGAAGCCAAGAACCATCCATTCTTAAATAAAGCCATCGCTCGCACCTCTCTTTTCCACTCTTCTCTCTACTATCTATTCCTTCAAGCAAGTTTATTCCATTACCCACCTTTTCTTTTCAGCCGACCTACACTATTCTTTCTGTTACTTACACCTACAATCGACAGCAAAACACACACACACACATATTACCCACGCTATGAATCTTCACGTCAACTTTGCGAGCCACGGACACGATCTCAAGGACGCATACGAGGCCATTATCAGACCGTCAGACCCCAAGAACGGCGACAACTGGGCCCTATTCGGGTACGACAAGGGCTCGAATGATCTCACGGTCCTCGAAAGAGGCAACGGTGGACTTGAGGAGCTGCAGGATGAATTCGTAGACGGCAAGATTCAGTATGCGTTCGTGAGGATTGCCGATCCTAATTCGCAACTGAATAAGTTCGTCTTAATTGCCTGGGTAACGTACACATGCCCGTTTTTTCTACTTTGTTCTCTTACTCTTTTTTTTTGTCTTTTGTTCAGAGCTTTTCTTTCAAGCTATATCGCATATGGAGGCTCGATAAGTTGATGCTGGGAATGCTGCGCTGAAACAACTTGGCTGTGTATCATGATCTTTTTTTTTTTTTTTGTCTTGGCGGCTGTTTGTGTGATACCTTCAAAGTTTCTAAGTAAAAAACCCATGATAAGGGGAGGAGGCTGAGCACATTGAAAGGCCCCGTTACACGACATCGTCATTTTTCTACGAAAACTGGGGCTGTAATGGCTGATTGTTTAACCGAAGGTTCTTCTGGATGTTGATCCATATAGTGTGGCGACGGCGTCCCCGAGTCCAAGAAGGGACTCTTCAACTCTCATCTGGCAGATGTCTCTCGGTTCCTCAAGGTAAGCACTTGCTTGCATCCTCACTGAGAAAAAGCCCCGTCATAATCCGTTACAAGGAAAGGGACTAAAACATAAAATGACGAAATCGCGTGTGTATGATCGCTTTATTAGGGCTACCATTTGCAGATCAATGCTCGTTGTGAGGCCGATGTCACCCCGGCACAGATCATGAAGAGGGTCCAGGAAGGCTCAGGCTCAAAGTACTCGACCCACCAGGAGAACTATCAGCAGGAGCGTATCCAACCGTTGCAGTCTGCCTACAAGAAGACAGAGATCCCAGACATTGCTACTCTTCAGCGCAATCCTACCAAACCCGAATCTGCCCCTAAGGTACCATAAGAGTTTTTGTTAAAAAGTAGTACATGAATGAGGGGTCTATGTTATTGCCGCGGATTCTGAAGATGAGTATTTTTTTTCTGACTTCTCTAGTATAACATTGGTGGCACGAAACCATTGTTCGTCTCCGCAGCGGCAGCGTCCCTGTCAAGATCAGGGCTGTCAAGCCCATCCAGGACCCAAGGCCGCGTCTGGCCTCCTGTACAAACAGCGCCTTCCCCCTCAACCACGCCTTCTGAAACGGTCTCATCTCCCTCGTCGAAACCGGCATCCGAGAGACCCTGGAAGGTCTCTGGAGGCGGATCATCCTATTCTACGGCGTCTACAACAGCATCCTTCAAGGTCCAACCGCCGAGCTCATTGACGTCATACGCTCAACCCAAACCGGAACCTGCTGTCAACAAGGCACATCAGATCCGAATGGAGCGGGAAGCACGCGAAAAGGAAGAGAGGGAGAGGGTCAAACGTGAGATTGCGGCCAGTGAAGCGCGCGAGAGACAGGTCGAGAGCTCGTCCGGTGCTTCAAAGGTCGCCGAAGAGAGGCGACTGCAGGAGGAACGAGAGAGACAACAGGAGCGTGAGAGGATGCCAGCGCAGGGCGAGGTGCCGCGTAGCCAGGGATTCAATCGCGTTCGGGAGGATCAATTTGCTCGTGAGAAGGAGGACCAAGAGTTAGCGGAAGCTGGAGGTGGAGCTCGGGCTGCGCGTGAGGCGGCTATGGCTCGCGAAAAGAACGCGATTCAGCAGCAGACCACGTCCTGGAAGGAGGAGGAGCAGAGGCGGCAGCAGCAAGAGCAGCAGCAGAAGCGCGAGCGTGAGGCCAAGGAATCGGAAGAACGTCAACGGAATCAACGTGAAGAGGAAGCGCGCAGACGTCATGAGGAAGAGGAAGAAGAGAGACATCTCAATCTGGGGCAGGAGGAAGAAGAGGTGCCACAGCATCAGTTCGTGCATAAACAGGTCGAGGAGCATCATCATCAGCAAGAAGAGGAGAGGGAAAAGGTTCAGGAGCACACGAAACAGCTGGAGGAAGAAGTCAGTGCGGCGACTGCGCAGTCTGTCGCACTGGGCGCCGATGCCTTGCTTGCGTCGGCCGACCATCCAGAGCTCGCTACTGCGGGATCTGTCTCAGCCATTGTTCTATTTTCGTACGAGAAGGCCGACGAGAACGAGATGTCGTTGTTTGAAGGTGAGATCATTAGGAATGTGACAGAGCTGGACGTCGGCTGGTGGAGCGGTGAGAGTGAGGATGGACTTCGGTCGGGTTTGTTCCCTGCCAACTATGTGGAAGTCATTGAACACGCCCATGAACATGCTACTGCGCCCAGTGCAAAGACTGCCGAAACAACGCACGGACATGAGCAACACTATCAACAGCAGGGCCAGGACTATGATGACAATGTCCACGAACAGCATGTTGCCTCTGAGCACCACGATGTTCATCGCGAGGCTGCTGGCGCTGGAGCTAAGGGCAAGAAGCCCTCCGCTACGGCCTTGTACGACTACCAAGCTACAGAACCCAACGAAGTCTCGTTTGTCGAAGGCGAGGCTATTGTTGATATCGATGTACGTGAGCGTCTACCTACCATTCTCGGTTTTTAAGCTTTGGACAATCATATCTTGATGCGTTTTTCACTAACTATCTGCGTGCTTCCTCTCTTTTCCTTTTTCTATAGTTTGTCAGCGACGACTGGTGGAACGGCAAAACCGAGACTGGTACTACTGGACTCTTTCCAGGTATGCACATCGCACAAAAGTGATTGCAGTGAAAATAACGCGTGCAGCGACTAATCACGACTTTCATGTTTTCCTGTCTTCTATAGCAAACTACGTCGAGATCATCCCTTATTGAGTCTATCATAACGATTTCCTATAAAGCACATTTGCATATATTTTTTTCATGAAAGCATTCTTTATATTACATGATCGGGTTCCCTATGCCCCACCAAAGATATTGATGAGTAAAGTTCTAAACGCCCGGAACATCTCGTCACTTGTGCCCTTGGGCAGCAAGAATTGAACCACCTTGACATCGCCACCCTGAGACGCTCTAAATTTTTCGGCTTCGCTGCCCTGGTTTCCAACCTGCTTGACCTCTCTCGCATTGTCCATCAGGAAGGATTTCAAGTGCCTCAACAGCGATTCTGAACGGCGCTGCAGATCGCGGCGCGTCTGATCTGTGATATAGTACACAGGGCCGCCGTGGCCGCCGCCGCTATAGGCATAAGAGCTATTCGAAGTAGCCGCCGTTGAGAGCGAAGCCACAGAGGAGCTTGAGGGTGAAGATGCTCCAGATGAGGTTGATACCGCAGAAAGCGAAGGAGAGCCATAGTGTGAATTATGGCGATGATGTCTCGACGGTCCCGCTGCTTCGGGTGCCGAGGACGCAACGAGCTGCTGCTCAAAGGCCGTGGGCATCATCAAAAATGGGAGCGACAGCATCGTGATCTCGTACCGATGGGCGGTCCTGATGATATTCCGCAACCCGGACAAGAAGTCTGGTTTCGGGGAAAAATCGTTCGACTGGCTGAACATGGGAGGTTGGTGAGGTGCGGAGGTGGGCGTAGAAGCTGAAGGGCTGTCCGAGTTGCTGGGCTGAGGTGGCAGTTGACCGTAGAATAGGTGGAACACGACATGGATCATTGGAAGGTTGGAGTGCCGTGTGAGGACAAAGTCACCCTCGCGTAGCGTGGATCCGTCTAGGGGGAATTCGTCTTCCAGGGCCTCAAGCTGTTTTTCGATACTATCAAAGTGGAGCTCCGTACTGGTCCGACATGCTTTGAAGAATTCTACATTGATACGTGTTTGTCTTTGGATTAGTTTCGGATAAAACAAAAGACGTGGATCCCCGTTCCTATCCTTAGTGGTCATCCTGCTTCTTCTTCCTTACCTTGATGACAGGCCTGTCCGCCTTTGTATTTTGCCCAATCCCGAATGTTCACCAGTTGGACTAGGCCTGTCAAATTTTGTCCGTAAAGCGAAGATGCGGTTTGGGCATGGATCGCAGCATCCTGCTCTGTCTTGACACGATTACTCGGAAAGACCTCCGCCGGGTCAGATACCATCAGACGGAAGTTATGCGTAACCTTAGAATGGCTGCTGCCAAGGACCACCGTGAAGGACTCATCAAGATTAGACACTGGAGGTGGCGCAGGAGCGTAAGGGCTGTTGTATGAATTTGCACTGTTCCTGGAAGCTGAGTCGCTACAATGTAAAGGAAAGTAGAAATAGAAGAGAATGAAAACGACGGGCGATGAAAAAACGTGTTCAATAGCCTTCAGATGCCAAGGGAATTACAAGGCTCCAATAGTTCTTTCTTACTCAAAGTCGTCGTCTAGACCAAGGTTCTCAATCGCTTTATTGAGCCAGCCTCCAAACTTCTTGACCGACGGATTTGTGTTGTTGGTCAGCAGCGCATTCCTCTGCTGCTGAAAGAAACCTCCCACTCCCTGGGTCAAACCTCCGATCAGGGGTCGTGGAGACGATACAGAGGAAGATCTTTCCACCGGACGACCGAAAGCTTGCGCTCTCGGATCCTGCGCTGGCGCAGGATTTGGGGCTGTGTTGGCATTGTTCGATCCTGTTAATGACGGCAGAGGTTGCTGAGGCGATGATTGTGCACGGTTCTGTCTCCTGGCGCTCTCTTTCATAGCTTCAACCTTTTGCTTCGCGAGCACCAGGCGTGGGATATTTTCTGGCTGCTCCAGGAGCAGGTTGATCGCATGATCCTATTTGCATGGTGCAATCCGTTGATATGTTAGGCTGCAGTTTCATGCATAGAAAGTCGTAGTCGTAGCAATGCCTGTGGCAATCGACGTACCATATTACGGTTGGCGATTAGCAGAGCTCCCTTCGCCTGTTCTACATCGAATCCCATCTCCAGAATGGACTGAACCATCCGGTTGAGCTCAACATCTTCCTCCTTGCGCGGTGGTTTTGGTGGTGGCTCAGAAGATGCTGCTGTCTCGGGATTTAGAGCAGTTATGCCTGCTGAATTAGGTTCTTGTGGAAACTGAGAGCTTGCTGCTACTGTCTCTGGTTGAGGTGGAGGCGTTGCTGGCAGGTTTTTATTATTTTCACTGGCGGCATTTCCAATATCCTGGTTTGTGGAAGCGCCCTCAATGTTGGATCGCCGTGCGCCGATAGTCCGCATAGCTTCTGCCACCATATCCTTTCCGTCCAGTAACAGAGTACCGTTGGCATCATCCTTGCTCGCACCGTGATCGAGTTGCAGTTGACGTCGCTTGTAGATAGCATAGAGCTCCAAGATGAACTCTTGGTATTTTGATCTTTGTGCGGATTGAAGGTCGTCCAACTGACTATTCCACATCGCTTGCGCAACCTCCATTCTCTATACGGTCCAATGGTCCGTCGTTAACACAGCTGCAAGTGATAGATAATGATCTCTCGCGGCACTGATTATGCAGCTGTGTGGTCCTACCTCGATATGTCGTGTCATAAGATGAGTCAGGTTACGTTGAGGTGTATCGGTGGATAGCGCGTTGTTGTGCCTAGCGTAGAGATATTCTTTACGAATTAGTGGTGTTGCATTCCGCATCGTGGAGAAGAATTGCAACCAGCTAAGCATCGTACTTTGTTTGAATGTCGTTAATCTCTTTGTCGCGTGCGGTCAGAAGCGCATCGACTTCTCCTGCATACTCGCGCTCAAGGTCCAGAATGGCATCGAAGAGAGATGGAATGGGTGAGTGGACGAGTGTATGATAGGCTTCTGGGAAAAGATTCTAAGCAAAAGATCGAATAGAGATTACTCCAGTTAATAGACTATCATTGACAGGATTGACATGTCAGCTTCATTCAACCGCTCCGGAAACATACCTCTTCAGGCTGGGTATAAAACTGGCTGGTGTAGCTCCTATAGTTCGCGATTATGGCTCGTTGAAGCGCCAAGTCCTGCTCCAGCTCTGCTACAGAATCCTCCTGCTGCGTCTCGGCATCATTCTTGCGCGTCTGACCCTGCTGTGTGCTGTCTGCTTCAGATGCGTCCTTCGCAAATACGGCCTGGTTGACACGCTTTATTTCCTGGTCCACTGCTGCCCTACGTGCTTCCTGAATAAGACTCTGTGCTGTTGAAAGAAACGAATGTTCCAGGTACACGGGTACATGATGCTCGAGGCGACATTGGCGAATGGCATCCAGCAGCAATGCACCCTCAGGCAGGTCGACGGCGATGGTCTTGAGTTCTGCTCCAGGGTATGGCGGGAATGAGAAGCGGATCTGGATCGCCTGTGGCACTTTCTCGAGCGCCATCTGACGGGCGTCCATCGTTGCTGAATGAGTCCGTTTTTAGCGTGGCGCGGCGTCTGGGGAGAGCGAGAAGGAGTACGCGTGCGCAAAAGAAGAAGGACGTTCTATCGAGTTGTCCAGCAAGGATGTGAGATTTGAAATGCGGTCTACAACGTCTACGCCCACAAATTAGGTTGCCGATGAAGCAGGAAGATAGATAGACAAAGTGAGACGCCATGGCCTCTTTCCATACATCTTCTGCAGCGCCATCATCGTCAAGCTAACATTCGCGATCTGTATCACACAAGATGCGTGTTCAGGGCGCCAGCCCAGTCCCGGTGTCCGTTCATGTGTTCAGACTAAAGCGCTGAATTTGGGTGATGCAATTAGAGAACAGCAGATCATTCCGTTAGTGCAAGAAGGATACAGATTAGGTTGCGGGAGCAACCAGGGTCCCTTCGTCTCTTCCTTCCGTTCCCCTTTTCTTACATTCCCTTTCGCCATGGTATGCAGGTTGGCTCTTCCATTCAACTCAGGACCATCCTCTGATCTTCATTTCCTAACCATGGAATCTCAATGTGTGTCTAGTTTCAAAAACTATGGCCTTTCAACAGCACTTCCCAGCAGAACGGTCCTCCTCAGACCAACGACTCCCAAGACCATGGCGTGTCGACCAAAGTGAAACCAATCCACGCCTCATTTAACAAGGGCATACCACTCAATAGTACGGACACTGAAGCATCTGCCATCCCACGGATAGAACTATTGATCGCCATAATGACCCTCAGAACACTGGATCGAACAGTTCGCGTGGGCAATACCGAAACTAATCTGCACTGATCCTTCGTGTTTCCTATATCGAATGGATATTTAATAGTGAAAGTTGTTATCCGTGGCGACATCAGGACAGGGAAGACCTCTGTTTGTAAGTCTAATAGCCCCAACACGCTATCGCATTCGCAGACACATGCGAGAAAAATGATGTCAAACAATACAGGGAGCACAGACCAATGATTGCTAAACCGCGTTGTTTTTCTAGTCGAGCGATTACAAGGACTTCCCTTCAAGAACGAGCAGGAATACAAGACGACGGAGCAGATCCAGGTCGCCAACATTCCCTGGCAATACCCTCGTAAGGACTTCTCTGTCATCTGGATTGCTGGGCTGCGTAGTTCATGAAACAATCCACCCTATGTGGAAGAACTCCGGTCCTATTCTATTTTTAAGGTTCTTGTCCGGGGGCATGGGCAATGACGACAACTTTTGCTGGCCCCTGGAGTAATATCCACTTTATCTACGCGACCCCATGGAACATTAGTTGTCCGAGTCTTCATCATTGATACTCGCGGAAATTAATTTCATCGCTCTGTCACCCATGGACAAGTCTTACTGATCGGCGCTTCTCTTGGATATCTAGACACCAAGGACATTATCAAAGTCGAGATCTGGGATGTGGTTGACAAAGGTGTCCAGTCTGGAGAACTCAAGGCATCCAACAATAATACAACCCTCAAAATCGATAATCATGCTCGTAAGGAGAGACACCGTATTTTTTCATCGTACATGGCTGAAATGTTGAGAATTCCTCTAATGTTTTTCGTTCTTTGGACAACTTTTTATAGCCGTATCTCCTTCTAAAGCAAGACCTGCGGTGGGTGCAGAGTCAGTACCACACGCGGGATTCTCGCTCGACGCTTCGACAATCGACGTCTATCGGAACACAGATGGCGTTATATTGCTCTACGATATCTCCAAATCATGGACCTTTGACTATGCCGTCAAAGCACTCGAGGAGATTCCCATTAACATGCCTGTCCTAATTTTGGTATGCTGACTTTTTGCACCGCAACACATTTCTGGAAAGTCTTTTTTCCATAATATTAGCTGTCGTTTAATTGAGCATTTTCTTGATTCTTTTGGTAGAGCAATTTCTCAGACGACAGTCATCCACAACCTGTTCTACCTAGCGAACGTGTGAAAACACTTATGAGAGAACATAACAGCATACGCAATAGACAGCCCTGTGCTCCTGCAAACCTGATAAGGCACCTGGACGCCAGCATGAAGACCGGACTCGGCCTCAAAGAGATTCACGAGAGCTTCGGAATCCCGTTCTTAAACGTTTTGGTAGGACGATGGTCTTTGTTTTACCGCAAACTGATATTTCGTGGCCATCGGAGATAAAGTGTGCTAATTTAATCTTTATTATCGGTGTTGCAATAGAGAGAAACACATAGGAGACAGTTTGAACAAAAGACAGAGGAAATACAAGAGTTGCTGAGAACTCTGGATGGACATGCAGAGGAGCGTACAAGGAAATTGTCTCTTCAGCAACGGCAGCAACAACAGCAAGCACCAGTCCCCCAACCGTTATCCCCCAAAGAAGCGACTTCTTCAAGGAAACTCCAGCATTTGCCCGCATCGATTCAAACAACTGGTCCTACTATTCATCCTATTCCTCAGACATCATCACCTACGTCGCCAGCAAGAAAAACCAGGAATGAGCACACAAATGTCGATATCTTGAGCCCTACTCCTGTCTCTGTACAAACACCGGCTGTTCTATTTGACTTTAGTCCTGGCAAACTGGAGGAGGACTTTTTCCAGAACATCGATCTGGACTCTACAGCGCCGAGCGCAGTCAGCAACGAAGATACAGAGTCAGCACTAGCGACCTCTACCATCAAATTTCATGTAAAAGAGGGCAGTGCGGAGATGATTGCCAATCCGATGGTTGCAGAAGACGAGGATATTGAAGATAGCTCTTCAGACGAGCAGAAAGACCTGGATCTGCACCGGAGACAGGCGCCCATTTGGGCCTCTGACCAAGTGGAGAAGGGGTTGGTGAACCGCCATACGATCAAAGGATCAGAGGAGATGCGACTGGAGAATATTCAGGATGCAGATGGCAATGATAGTTTGGATACTCGGCGGGACGAGGACAGCGATGCTGGTGGCGTTGAAGACAGTGAGAATTCGACTCTGGAGAGCACCCCACCTCTTAGACACACCACCCAGCAGGACTCTGATGTCGAAAGCCAACCCGATTTCCCTGTTGCCTCGGCCATGTACTATGAGAATGAGCACTCGGCCTTTGCACAGGAGGATGATCATCTGGGCAAGCCTATAAGCGCAAGCGTTCTTGCGGTGTATGAGGAGATTGGTGACGGACGCCGTGATAACCCTTGGGATAGCACCGGAGACCTACTGAGTGGCATCGGTGAATCAACCAAGAATGTGCTCCACCAATCTAATGAAGAGCAGGATCAGGGTCGGGAGCAGGAGCAGGAGCAGGAGCAGGAGCAGGAGCAGGAGCAAGTCGGACAATCGTTTTTGCAGACCGCTGGATCGTCCAATAGAGCCGAGGGCAGCGAGACAGCGAATGATGTGGTGCAGGTGGAAACCAATCTTATACCTACAGTTGTTGCTGATGCTGAAGCTAGGGAAGACGTGCTCGCGTCTGCTACGATGGTCAGTACAGAGGGCAGTGGTGGCGATGCCGAGGACAAGGAGGACGATGACGAGGAGGGATCAAGTCCTGCGGCTGCGACAACAGAGGATAAAAAGAAGACGAAAAAGAAGAACAAGAAGAAGGGCAAGAAGAGCAAATGAGATGGATCTGGGGCGAATATTAAAAGTATAGACACTAATAAAACCTGCAATTGGTCTCTGCTACGGCATTGGCGCGATTCCTGCGCACACGCAGTCAATAGGATTATGGAATACATTTAATTTCTACAGCTGTAGCAAAGATACCAATCTTTGTACAGCGAGACTCTACGTAAAAAACCACCATTGATAGCCATCCCTGCAGAAGGAATTCTCGAGCGGTTGGTGAGACTATTCCTTTGATCATCACCTGTGGAGGATTTGGCTATCAAATCGAGCCGCCCGCCCATTTTCATGGAAAAAGGACATCTTGGACGTGTTTGTGGTTTCTCTGAATCCATGGAAGAGTCCATCCTGGGGTCTTCATATTCACAATGTACCCCCCCCCCCCCCCCAATTCTGCACTCAAAGTCCACACGAGTTTCTTCTTTTTTTTTTTTTTGTATTTACACCTGTCGTATCAGCAAAATCTGTGGAGCATTCCTGGCAAGAGACTATGATAGTGATAACATTGGCATGTAGGCTATCATTAGGAATTATGGGCATGCGCGTTGTAAGATTCACAAGTTGCATTTAGCATACTATTTGTGTTTTCATGATTTACAGGTTTCTGGGCGGGATTGAGTTAGGCCAGATGCCTAGGCTACATCGTTGTTGGAGTGAATGAGTATTGCACTATATTGACCAATGTAGTAGGTGCGAGCAGAGAAGAGTACCCTTCACGTAGTGCAGACAAGAACTGCTTTATAAGGTGCCGTATGCCCTGGAAATAAAGATCCTTCTCTTGTCTTGTTGACTTTCTTGTCTGCAAGTGAATATATAAGCAGGCGCTGCTGTTGCATTCATTGTACTTATACCATTTACCATTGGCCCTTAGCCCGATATAAATGGTCATCTAAACCCCTACTTTTACCTTTAGACGTACCCATCAGATTCATATCATAGTCCTCATCAGATGTATCTCCTTGTCTGAGCTCTGTTACATCAACCATGATCCAGCAGATGATAGCTTCGGGTTATTTATTATTCGACTACGCTGAGACAACAACATAGGTGACAAGAATCGCTACACAAAATATCGCATCAGAATCCGAGGGCCGTAAGCATTCTTTGAAAGTTGGGTGTGCCCAGGCCCGTGACAGGATCCCAGCCGCTGACTGCAGAGAACCCGTTTGTGTTGCACCCTGGATTGTTGCCATGGACAATGTCGTTCAATGCTCCAGGATTGCTATAGAGAAAAGGATTCAAGAATCCCATCGGCGCCCTTCCTGCGCGTATCAGCTGGTCATTGAGGAGGGCGATGACTGAAGCAAAGATGGAGACGCTGGCGGATGTACCTTCGACCAGTCCCCACTGGCCTCCAAGGGCTATCGTGACGACCATGCCCTGGGCGGCGACATCTGGGTATGCACGGCCGTTTGCGTTGTAGCGACCGTTGTACTGGCTACCCAATCGGTTAATATAGCTGTTCACGGCACCGGCTTGATACTGGGGTCTGTTGAAGTAGTTCGAGAACCCTCCAGCAGACAACCCTGCACCCACTTCCGGCTGGATGCCTGTCGTTGCTCCGACACTGGTCACGAAGGGACAGGTCGATGGGAATGTTGGTACGAACGTGTTACCACAATAGGTATCGACGTTTACTCCGGCCACTCCACCGTCTCCAGAAGAGTGAATAACGCTGGTTCCCCTGGCTCCAAGCTGCATGTACACGTTGCACAAATTATTTGCAACTCTCTGAGATACCACACGCTCATCAATTTTATAGCCTATGCTGAGAACGGTGGGGACTACAGGCTGGTGGAGCAGAAAGTTCGCAACATCGAGGAAGCCGGTCATGTCGTTTCGTCCCTAGGTTATGAATTGCGTCGGTACCCCGCTCGCGATCCCGACTGTATACTGAATGTCCAGGTTAGCTTCTAATCCAGCCAGGGCAGGGTCTTGGGGATTCACGCCACCATCGATAAAGACCTCTGCAAAGGTAGGAGCCGGATTCAAGTCTGGACGGAGATCACGCAAGAACCGCGCTAGATCTGCCTTGTTCGCATTCTCTCCTAAGAAACCAGAAACAGCAATGCTGTTGTCCGCTTGCGTAGACCTGTTCCTCGGAATACCGTAGAGATCAAAGATGCAACTTGGGGTTACTTGATTTGCGCAGACAGGTGCGGTTTGTCTTTTGGCTAGTTTTAGGGCCGTGGAGGGTTTGGAAGGTCTTAGATCCTTCTCAAAGGACGTTGCCGGCGTCACAAAATCGACAATGTCAAGAAGGGAGCTTGGGATGCTGTACGACTGAGTGCGGGTGATGGATTTGCCGGTGTTACGGTCGCGATAGATCTTGTACTGTGCCTGGAGGAGTGTATTGGCTTGTGCCACCGCCAGCTCCACCTTGATCCACTGGTGGTCGTGAGTTCCCTCGATGCCAAAGGCTTTGAGCCAGCTGAGAACAAGCTTAACTGTGTCTTCTGCGGGATTGAGCATCGCGTGGACCTGATCGGCGGTCATGTGTTTCTGGTAGTTCTGGTGGTCAGGCGTGCTAATCTCCGTGAACCGGCGTTCAAACTCTTGAAGGTTCTGCAGCTTGAAGCCGATGCCGAGGGAAATGACTTGGTCGGACGGTGCGGATCCTTCATCGATCCATGGATCCGGAATGGTATCTCGCTGCTCTAAGACGGTGTACTGAGCGAATTCCTTGGGCAGAGGCACATTGAGCGGAGGGGGGAGTGCGAGAATACACTGGAGTATGATGGCAAGAATGAGGATTATAAAGACGAAGGATGCCATGTTATGGCTTAGGGACCCTTGAAGAATGTGTGCGCGAGAGTGAGAGAGAGGAGACTAAGAGAGAGAGGAGGGGTTGTGCGGGGACATGTCGCGTTCGCGTTCCGTTTTATAGTTGTGCGCTTCAGCGCGTATCAATGGATCCTTGCCGCTGTAAAAGATGCTCTCGAGGACCAGGCATTCCCCATATGAGGAACCTGAGGGGTACGCGACTAGACTGCAGGTGAGCTAAAAAAAACGGCAAGGGGCGAGGGGTATATCGTCTTAGTTTGTCTTCAAGATCCCTAACGGATTCTACATGCCTAGCTCGAGAGCTGTGACCTTAGCAGGATGGGGAAAAGGCAAGATTTCGACAAGGATGATAGTCATGTCATTAACAGATTGTAGAGGTGTAAGACCCCATCGACTGCATTCATAATAGAGAGCTGGTTTGTATTGTGGAATAGCTAAGCAGGAGTAATAGGCTTTGGCAGCCAAGCGTTCATAGCGACGTTGCTTTTTGATCCTTCGATGTCGGTTCTTCCTATCATACTAAAGCAGAATTCAGTAAGCGTTGGACTGTTCACTCACTAATAGGGAACGTGCGCTGGCTTTAGACCGTCGAGAGACAGGTTAATTTTACCCCACTGATGAAATGTTGTTGCAATAGTAATTGGACTTAGTACGAGAGGAACCGTTCATTCGGATGATTGGTATTTGGGCCTGCCTGAGCAGGCAATGGCCCGAAGCTATCATCCGTTGGATTATGGCTGAACGCCTCTTAGTCAGAATCCGTGTTAGAACGCGACGATTTCCTGCCTTTTTTAATCTTTAGTTGAATACGAATAGACCCTCGAGTTTTGAATCATACTGCGCGGGTACGTTTGCGCTACGGAAAAGTGGTAAAACGGAGTATTGCCATTCTCTCGATGTTAGGCTAAAGGGTAATCACAGCCAGCTCTCATCTTTGCGTGTAAAATGAGTGTTTCGACCCACGCCCTAGCCTCTTTTTTCTGTGTAGTCTCTTTCTGTTTTATGAGGGAGCAGGGAGTCAAAGAACAGGAAAACAAGGAGGGATGGATGCTGAATGACTATCATTGCACACGACGATGTATATAGTAACTATACGCGGTCGAGTGCCGATGATATCAGTGCACATAGCCAGCGGTATGCTGAGAGGGGGGACGCCAAGAGACCAAGGCATGCTTGAATAAAGAGGAAGGAGGACCAAAGCATGCTCCACACAAGGGGAAGGAGGGCTAGAAAAGATCAAGGGCGGTCTGAGACGATCAAAGATATGTTGTATAGTTTACATAGTCTCAGAGGTCAATAGATCAAAGGGATATGCTCTTCAGTTCAGATGCACTTTCTTGCGAGGATGCGTTCTGTGACGTACTTGCGCCTGAATTGTTCTGTACTCTTTTGGAGGCCGTTCGTTCGGCAACAAACAGGAGCAAGATTCAATCTCAATTCTCGTCCCCCATTCCCGCTCCCCCATCCTTTCACACATACATCCACCATGCTCGGCCGATCCCTCCTCAAGCAGGCTGCTGCTGCACCCGCCCTCTGCTCTGTCGCCGCCAAGCGCACCATCACCTCCTCCCGCATTGCACTCTCCGACAAGCTGTTTGTGGTAATTATTCGACCTGATCAGCCCATATTTCCGCTTCCGGACCTGATTTCCGAGATGCTCGGGGTGGCACTAAGCGCTACTTTAGTACCCCATTCAACTATCGCGGCCCTTTCTTTACTTTTGCCTTCATCATCTTCCGCGTTGAAACAGCGCATCACCTCAAAGTTCCGACCTTGGCGCCGCGCGCGTTTCTATCCGCGTTGTACCTTTTTATTCCTCCCTCCGAGAGTGCATTTGTGCCTGATGTTTGTATGTATCGTCCAAACATTAAGCTGAAACTTCTTGTTTTACGAATAGCACCGCGATACTTCTGACAACAATGCCAACGTCAAGTTCGAATTCACTCCCGAAAACATGGAGCGCGCAAAGGAGATCATTGCCAAGTACCCTCCTCAGTACAAGAAGGGGGCCATCATGCCCTTGTTGGACCTGGGCCAGCGTCAGCTCGGCTGGACCAGCTTGCCCGTCATGAATGCCGTCGCCACGATGGTTGAAGTCCCTCCCATGCGCGTCTACGAGGTCGCCACCTTTTACACCATGTACAACCGGTACGTTTATATCTTTATTCCCGGACATCCTTTTCAGCGACGTTTTTTTACAGGACACCTGTACATATGGATTCAATTGGAGATGCAGCACTGTAACACCTCTCTGGCAATCGACGAAAGGAATGGACATTGGATGACGGCCCAGCACAGGACCATGAAGGGGCAAACGGCCATTGGTTTAACTCAGGATGGCGAGGCGTACTACCGGCATGGATATATTGATTCATGAGACTGCACGCACAACTAACGCGTTCGGTCATAATCCTGTCTCGTTGTTATCCATATCTGACATAGTGAACCCGTCGGCAAATACTTCCTTCAGCTGTGCACGACTACGCCTTGCCAATTGTGCGGATCAACAGAGATTTTGAAGACCATCGAGTCGGACTTGGGCATCAAGGTCGGAGAGACCACCAAGGACGGCAGGTTCACGCTGGTTGAGGTCGAGTGCGCTGGTGCTTGTGTAAACGCACCAGTGTTGGCTGTCAACGATGACTACTACGAGGATCTGACCCCAGAGACGACTGTCAAGGTGCTCGAGTCTCTCAAGACTGACAAGCCTCTTAAGGCTGGCCCCCAGTCTGGTCGTCATACCTGCGAACCCAAGGGAGGTTTGACCACGCTGACCTCTGAACCCACTGGCCCCGGATTCATGGTCCGCCCTGATCTGTAAGGGAGACCTTTAACAAGCCCTTATTCATCCCCACTCAACTCGCCCTTTCCTTTCAACCTCTCGACCGCTACATGCACCCATACAACCGCCACTACACCGTCTCTCAAACATCCAATTGCTCACGATAGAGGCCAGAAAGAAGACATCGCGCCAAACGTTCTAATAAAATATCAGGTTTTTTTTTTAACATGTGTGTATATATGTAAAAACGGGGCCATTTCAGGATGGTTGATGAGAAGTGTGTGGCTTGTTCGGACTGCCTGCCATGTTTATCGTTTCTTTCTTTTTTTTTTTTTTTGTACCCCTCGCTCCTTCACTGCCGCCCAGTTGTTTGCATTCCTCACCTCTTTCCCCATTCCCCCTTCTCCTTTTTCCACCCTCGTAAGTCTACACGCACCTCGACACGCAGGTAGAGTCCGCACTCTTACCGCCGCTGTCTCTAACACCTATCTTCATTATTCCATGCCTCGATATACAGCCTTAAACAACCATGATTTCAGCACTGCAATGGGTCCGCAGGGGTGCTGCCCAGGCTAGGCCCGACAAGTACGACCTGGACGAGAAAGAGTTCAAGCGAATCAACGATTATACAGCCCAGCATCTTGCGGACGCTAAAGAAGAACTGGATGCCGCAAAGAAAGCAGAGAGAGTGTAGGTCACCATCAATTGCTTTCCTTTTGCAGCGGATTGTTCTTTTCTGATGTAGATCTACTGATACTGACGACACCTGTTGCTTTCAATACTTTACAGTGCCAATGGAATGGAAGTGGAGACCATCAAAGAAACAAATCCAGAGCTTTCAGAGTATAACTTGGACGACTATGACGAGGAGAAGCCTGAGGGTCAAGGTACAACCTCTTTTTTACTATCTCTAGGACGTGGTTATTGATTACCTGGACTGGTTGGCATTGATCGTCCCTTAACACAGCTCTGTAATACTTTCTCTCTCTCTCTTCCCCTCTTTGATGTGGGATCTTTCTCCAATAGAGGCAACGATTTTCAGTAACTTGAAGGGACTCACGTACTACACATCCAATCGGGAGGATCCATATATTACCTTGAGGGACGAGGAGGACGAGGACGAAGAGGATGTGTTGATCCAGCCTACAGACAACCTATTGTTGGCCGCCAAGACCGAGGACGATATTTCACATTTGGAAGTCTATCTGTACGACGAATCAGAGGAAAACGAGGGCAATATGTACGTGCACCACGATATCATGCTTCCAGCCTTCCCTCTGTGCCTCGAGTGGCTGGACTTCCGAGTTGGACGCAAGAGCAGCATGCAGACTCCAGGAAACTATGTTGCCGTTGGAACGTTTGACCCCGAGATCGAGATCTGGGACCTGGACACGATCGACAATATGTACCCGGATGCCGTTCTGGGAGCACAGGACAAGAGTAAAAAGAAGAAGGGCGCCAAAAAGTCAAAGGTATGTACATTTTAGATGCGATGCTTCATAAGCTGATTTTTTTTTCTTTCTTTCTCTGAACTTTTATTGACATCTCGACTCTGTATTATTCTTTCTAACATGGAACCCCATATTACTTTTACTTCCATTTCTTTTTGGCCTTCTTCATAATGTTTATAGAAGCCCAACAATGAATACCACACGGATGCAGTGTTGGCTCTCGCGTGGAACAAGCAGCATCGTAATATCTTGGCATCAGCATCTGCGGACACGACAGTGAAGCTCTGGGATCTGACGACACAACAGTGCGCGCATTCGTTCAGTCACCACACGGATAAGGTCCAGGCTCTCGCCTGGAACCCAGTCGAGTCGACGGCCATGGCAACTGGATCGTACGACAAGACTGTCGTAGTCTTCGATTCGAGAGCACCGGATGCTCGTGCCACATGGAAGCTGCAGGCAGATGTCGAGTGTTTGCGCTGGGACCCCCATGATGCCCAGTGCTTCTACGTGTCAACGGACGACGGCATGGTTCAGTACTTTGATGCTCGTCAGAGTGGTGCTCAGCCCGTGTTCCGACTCCATGCGCACGACAAGGCGGTCTCGGCCCTGGACATCAACACGACTGTGCGGGGATGCATTGTGACGGGATCAACAGACGGATCGGTCAAGGTATGGGATGTGAACGAGAACCGACCGTCGATGGTGACGAGCCGAAATGTCAAGAGCGATATCGGACAGGTCTTTTCGGTTACGTTCTGTCCGGATGCGCCCTTCAACCTCGCGATGGCAGGATCGGCAGGCAAAGTCAATATCTGGGACATTGCCACAAACGCAGGAGTCAGGCGGGCCTTTGAGGGGCGCTCGACCATTGTGGCCAACAGGAATGCGGAGAAGGAGAAGGTCGTTGCCATGCCCAGTGACGATGAGCCCGAATCGGAGGAGGAAATGGACGGCGCGGATATTGACATGGACGACGTTGCAGAGAGTGATTTTGAGGAGGAGGAGAGTGGAGAGGACGTTTAATAATGAAGGCATTAGAGTAGCATATGGAGACACAACGACAACAAACAACGACATATCATTCAACAAACACAGCATACATGCATTGAATCAACTACATCAGCTCCTCTTTGTCTATGTGCTATGTTCCATGGCATGCTTCCGGTATGCGTCAATGAACGTGTTGTATTTTATTACTTTTATCGTGAAAGAGATAGATGTACAGTACAATGGAGGTGTTGTGAGAATGAGTGGGGTTCAGCAGCAACGGAATGGCAAGTGAAAAGGAATACAACAAAGAGCATCGGTTCTTAAGGCAAAAAAAAAAAGGGAAGGGGATCTACGAGAGAGAGGGAGAGAAGCAAATGTACGAGCGAAAGGGATAGTATCCGCGACAACGGAACGCATTCCCTTTCTTTTTTAGTGCTTGCCATACCTCTCATTTACAACCTTCTTCAATGCGTCACCTCCTGCGACCATGCAGATCGTCTGCCACATGCCGAGACCGAAACGTGGGACGGATCCACGGTAGAAGCCCTTGAGTCCGTTTGTCTGCCAGATCCAGCGTGCACAGTTGGCGATGGTCATCTTCTCGGGTCGTCCTACGGTCTTGAGCTGTGATTGCATTTCAACACGGATGACTTCGATGGGCTGGTTCCAGATGGAGAGACCACCTCCGATGGCCGAGGCCGCGATCTTTTCCCAGGCGTTCAAGGGCGTTCCGGCCTCGGTTTTGCGGACCTTGCGAATGGTCTCCTCAGCCAGACGGGAGAGACCGAGACGGGATCCCCAGTTGGTGCACTGTCTCACAGCGACGGCGTTGACGCCCTTGTTGATGCCACGGATGCCCTCGCGCTTGAAGATATCGGAGGCGACCGCAAAAGTCGACATTTGGGCGGGGGCGCCGGGGACACTGACGGCCTTGTGACGGGTGATCTCGACGGTCTTCATGAATGTGCAGAAGCCCATGGTGGTGTATGCCTGAGCAAGACCGCCTCCCATACCTCCGAGCAGACCGGCGGTAAAGGGTGAGACGCCGCCGGTATTAAGGGCGACGTATTCGATTTCACTAGCAGCAAAGATGAGGACGGCGCCCTTTGTGCTGGCCTCGATCCAAGCCCAGGGGATCAGTCTTGATCAGGTCCAGGAAAGATATGCAGTGAGATTCAAAGATGGGATTAGTCACACGAAAGGCTTTCAAAAGAAGTTCCGATAGGTAATTCATATGATAATTTAACAAAATAAATACACACACGACACGATGTAAACAATGTGGAGGAAACAGGGACAAGGAGAATGCTCCATTGGAGAGCAGTGGAGAAGTGGCGAGAGGTCGTTGCTAGATGTCGAATCGAAAGTGGGAGGGTCATCAATATCGTCCTTCACTCGCGTAAAAGAACGGTCAGAGAAAAAAAAGCCAAGCTGTCTGCAATTGAGAAGAGGCCAGGTCGATTTTCCTTCTTTCTTTCTGAAAATAGGTTTTTTCTCCGGGTACAGTATGCACCATTAAATCAAAGGAGATGTCAAGGGGGAGCACAGAAAGCTAATGATGCACATGTCAGTCGAGGAAAACTGCATTGCTTTGAGCCAGACGGACGCGGAATAAACCGTGAGAACATCTTAAGATTGCCGACGCCATTGTCATCCTTTGTAGTTGCTCCCTCTGTGGTGCGACTACAGTAGCCGTGTCATTGGCGATGATAACCATGATGATGATGATGATGATGATGATCACGTAGTCCTCTGCTTGGTTTCCTGCTTGGTTGACGTCGTCGTCCACATCCAATGTCATTGCCGAGTCTGTTCCTGTGTTTCCTGTGTTTCAATTGGTTCATCTGTCGCTCTTTTTGGTGACAAGTCGCGAGTCTCGTCAGTTAGACTGTCATCGTTGCACTGTAAGGTCCCTTTCTGATCGTTCGGCTTTTTACTAGTCGCCTTTTTTTTTTTCTTTTTCCTGTCCCTTCCTTCCAGTCAATGACAGTCGAATCATATCAAAGGAAAGCATGATGGGATGTAAAGACGAAGATAAAGAAGGAAAAAAAGAAAAGAAAAGAAAAGAAAAGAAAAGAAAAGAAAAAAAACACGAAGTGAAGATGCGTTACCCCTGATAGAATCCAGAGATGCCTCCACGCTGGTAGATCTTCTTGAAGGCGGTGACCATGTTGTCCTGTCGGTTGGCGGCGAGGTGGGTCTTGATGACCTCGAAGGGCTGTCCGAGGGTGGTGACCTCGAACATGTTCATGGCCGCACCGACACCGAGGTTGGCAAAGTTGACCTTTTTCTTCGCGGGCTGGCCAGCATCCAGGGTGGCATTGGAGACGATGGTGACAGCCATTTCTGAAGAGAGTAAAGACGAGGGGAGAGGAAAGGGAGTCGTGGGGTCGTGGGGTGGGGTGGGTTGAATTGGTGGAGAAAGAGACGGGGAAGAAGAAGAAAGGAGAGAGGGGGGGAGAGAGGATCAGTGCCCGTGGATATATTTATATGGGTCGAGGGCCCGTTCCCAGTCCTCAGTAACTTGATATTTCTTGATTTGATGGGGAGACAGACAGAGGGGAGGAGATAGGCTACGGCGGTACCCCTGATAGTACCGATAGTCTTGACAGTCTTGACAGTCTTGATAGTCTTGATAGTCTTGATAGTCTTGATAGTCTTGATAGTCTTGATAGTCTCGATAGTCATGGAGGGTGTGGGCCGACTGCAGCACCGCACCGCACCGCAGAGGCCAGGCTGCCCAACGGACATTTGTTCTGTTTGTTGGTGCCCCCGCTGTTTGTCGAGCGCGAGTCCGAGGGGCGATAGTCTATTAGGGTTGGCTGCCCATGGACACACACCCCCCCTCCTCGATTGGTGGGTGTCGAGCCTGCAAAGCGACGACCCACCACAATTTCTTTTTTTGGGGGCCGCTCAACCAGACCAGACAGGACAAGACGCGCCATATCTGCAGCCGAAAAGTCAGCTCAGCACAACCCACGCCAGAGAGGATTCCCGCTGTCCGCGTCCATCCGCACTCCTCTGAGGACAGACACAGACATCGGCTGATTTTCTACATTTCTTTTTTTTCCCTTGGCTCCCCGCATCGAATGATGGGTGCCTGGAATACGTGAACATGTTTATGCACCCTTCTGAGCAAACGCCATTCTCGCTGGAAACCCAACAGGTTGCGTCAGCCGTCAACGCTGTCCATATTACTCACACATGCAGAAAAAACACGTCGACATTTCCGTGCCTGAATATCACCTCTCTCATTCTACAATACCCAATTGCCTGCGCACCCTGCATAGTCTATGCATCAGAGCCAGAGTAAGCCGGTACTTGAGTCGCGTCTTTCCAGGTTAATTATGGCCTGCATTACCACACTATGCATTCCCTCTGGTCCGATCTACAGGGGTCCCTTTGCGTCTTTGTGTGTCTTTGTGTGTCTTTGTGTGTCTGCGGTATCCAGGGTGCCTGAATACCCAAAAGAAAGCGCTGTATGCAGCACACGCTACAATATGTCTTCCTTGTACGACATTTTTGCAAGGGGACTTTGGCGGTTCCTCCCATCACTGACTTGTTGCTACTCCTCTGCTTCACCTCACTTTGCCTCACTTCATTCATTTATTCATTCATTTTTTTCATTCTTAACTCTTCTCACACCCTCACTCTCCACTCTGATCCTCTTATCCGTTTCTTCTCTTCCTCTGAACCTCCTCTTTCGCACTTCATCCCGATCCCTCCCTCTCGTCTCAAGGACGCGACTTTTTAAAGTCGTGAAGTCGGAGAGCAAGTGACAGGTGAAAAAGAAAAAAAAGAAAAAAACGCTTCGAAGCCTTGCTTCACCAGCTTGATCCCATACGACATATTGACACGTCTTCATGGCTCCTCCTTTTCTTCTTCTTCTTCTTCTTCTTCCTTCTTCGAAATATACAGTACTACACAGCATCATCACATCTGTGTCAATCAGCGCCGATAACAAGGGAGGACATATTCACAGTTCGTGATGCGACCGAATAAGAAAGACAACGACAACAACGAAGACGCAAGAAGCACCAACAGCACACTGGTCAATGCCGGAATGAGCTCTGCTAATGAACAGGACGACGACGCTGAGGCCGTACAGGAGGCGCAGGAGACCCGCAATGGTTTCAGGAGACAGGGTCAGCCCATGGATCAAGACGAGGAAGAGTGGCACCCGTACCGACATGGCTTCGAGGAGGACTTTGACGAGAACGGCCTTCCGCCGGAGCACGTCTATTACATGTTCTACACCGACAAGCGCCATGAGGTCACCACAGGACACAACGCCGAGATCACTCTGCGGGAATGGGAGCCTCTACAGGACTGGCGCATGCGAGAAAAGCTAAAGACCATCTCGGTGGCTCTGGTCCTCTGTCTCAACATCGGTATCGACCCCCCAGATGTTGTGAAAACAAACCCTTGCGCTAAACTTGAAGCCTGGATTGATCCTTTTGTCCTGCCTGTCCCTAAATCATTGGAAAACATTGGCAAGGCTCTTCAGGCTCAGTACGAGGTATGGCAGCCCCGTGCACGTTACAAGGCTGCGTTGGATCCATCCATGGAAGACACAAAAAAACTCTGCTGTGTACTGAGGCGCAACGCTAAAGAGGAACGCATTCTTTTCCACTACAACGGACATGGAGTGCCCAAGCCCACGTCCAGCGGCGAGATTTGGGTCTTTAACAAAAACTATACCCAGTATATACCCGTGTCCTTGTTGGATCTCCAGAGCTGGCTCGGATCGCCCTGCATCTACGTGTACGACTGCTCTGCCGCCGGAAATATCCTCCTCTCCTTCAACCGATTCGCAGAAAAGCGCGATCTCGATGCAGCCAAACAAGCAGGATCCCAGCCTCCAGGAACGATTCCCTCCCCACCCCTCAGAGACTGCATTCAGCTGGCTGCCTGTGGACCCGACGATACGTTGCCGATGAATCCCGATCTTCCTGCCGACATCTTCACCGCCTGCCTGACAACGCCCATTGAAATCGCACTGCGTTGGTTCGTGCTTCAACATCCGCTCTTACACAACGTCACCGTGGAGATGGTCACTCGAATTCCAGGAAAACTCAACGACCGCCGCACACCCCTTGGAGAACTCAATTGGATCTTCACCTCAATCACAGACACAATCGCCTGGAACGTTCTGTCCCGAGATCTCTTCAAAACGCTCTTCAGACAGGATCTCATGGTTGCTGCCTTATTCCGCAACTTTTTGCTGGCTGACCGCATCATGCGCTCACAAAAATGCACCCCCATGTCCTCCCCCGCACTACCACCGACGCATCAGCACCCAATGTGGGACTCTTGGGATCTAGCTCTGGATATGTGTCTCGCACAGTTACCGGGGCTGCTGGAGGGAGATCCCGCCGGAACACATCTCAGCTATCAACCCAGCATGTTTTTCACGGAGCAGCTTATGGCGTTCGAGGTCTGGCTGGGTCATGGCAGCCCATCACACGAAGCCCCGGAACAATTGGCGATTGTGTTGCAGGTCTTGCTGAGTCAGGTTCATCGACTCCGCGCTCTTCTTTTGCTCAGTAAGTTTCTAGATCTTGGACCCTGGGCAGTCAACCATGCATTGGCCGTGGGTATTTCACCATACGTCCTCAAGCTGCTTCAGAGTCCAGCGGCGGATCTCAAGCCTGTGCTCGTTTTCATCTGGGCAAGGCTCCTGGCGGTGGACCGGTCTTTTCAAAACGATTTGCTCAAGGACAACGGCTTTGTGTACTTTGTGGGAATCCTTGGCGTGAACGCAGGCATGCCCTTTCAAAATGTATCCGAGCACCGAGCCATGTGTGCGTTCATCTTGGCGACATTTTGCAGAGATTTTCCTCAGGGCCAGCAGGCATGTCTAAAGCAGCAAGTGATTCAATACTGCTTGACCCACGTTGCCGACAACGACCATCTTTTGCGTCAATGGGCATGTCTTTGCATTGGACAGCTGTGGAGGAATTACAATGAGGCGAAATCGGTCGGACTTCAATCAGGCGCTCATGAGAGGCTGACGCAGATCTTGTCGGACCCGATCCCAGAGGTACGCGCAGCTGCTATGTGGTCCCTTGGCACCTTCATCAGCAACTTGGATCAGAATGAGCAGGTGATACAGCTCCAGAATAACCTGGCGATGAGTGCTCTGGTGGCTACGACGGACGCTTCGCCGATTGTCCGCAAGGAGCTGGTCATATTCTTGTCTTCACTCGTCTTTGATCACCTGGACGTTTTTGTGACAGTGGCGTCAGAGCTCCTGGCCTCGGAGCAGCAACTCTCAGGAGGCAAACAGGATCTCAAATCCAAGAATTGGGACGAGAAGGAAAAGATGGCACAGCAGGACAAGATGAGTCCACAGGCCGTGTACGCAGTGATCTGGAAGGCATTGCTTTGTCTGTCGGTCGACTCCAACAATGGTGTGGCGACCGCGGCATCTAAACTCGTGGACTATGTCAACTTTCAATTGCTTTCAGGACCCGTCGCACAGTCGTTGACGCCGATACTGCAACAGCAGGCACTACGAAGCCAGTCGATGTCATCGTCTTCCATGGGCTCGCTTCATCAGTCCACCTTGCCACAGGCAACCCCAGATCGCTCAAATACAAGCAGCACCTTGGGTCACCGAACAGCAAAACAAGTGGCCAACACACTGAAGCGGTCAGCGTCATTAGCTGTGACACTCAAAAGCTATATGGGTTATCCAAGTCAATCAAATGCCTCGGAAAGCTCGCGGCCGTCATCTATAGGAGCTTTTGGACCCAAGTCGGCACAGGACAGTGGTAACACTTTAACGACGGATCCTCGGCAACAGAATGGCGGCAGCAATGGAACAAGTCGGACTTTGCGTAGCACTACGCCTCGTCCTCGATCGGTGCACGGAGATGCGGGCTATGTACAGGCACAGGCGAGTGCATCCTATCCAATTCACGCCGCGACAGGCGCCGCCGCCGTGAATGGGACACCCGATCCCAATCTCCCAGAAGCAAGACCCCAACTTGAATCCGTGTTTTACGATTGGTGCTGCGAGTACTTTTTGGAGCCACAGATGAAGGTAAGGTGATCGCGAATTGTTTACTGAAAGCGCTCTGATTTGCAGTTTTTCACCTTTTTTTTTTATATTTTTTTCAACGATGGTAGGGGGTTGAGGGCGACGAACCAGGAAGCGTCAACTATAACGAGCGTCTCTGGCGTCGCGTGCGGAACGAAAAGATTATATATGAATGCCATCCTTTGCGAGAACAAGCTGGTAATGGATTTATGAGTCTGGACGTCTTTTTGCCATTGATAAAGATGGAAGCTCTACTAATTCACGAACTTGTTTTCGTTATAGGCTCGAGTAAATGGGACTCAAATATCCAGTCGATGAACAACGAGTCGGCAGCGATGCATCTTGTGATGCATTCGTACGAACCACACATGGTGATCGCGGATGACAAGCGTAACATCAGGTAATGGATATAATCTCTCTCATTAATGCATGGTTTTTTTCGAGGAGTTTACTTTGCTAACGCTGGCGTATATTGCTGATAGCGTCTGGAATTGGAAAGAGGGCCAGTTGTTGAACAGGTTCTCCAACTCGAACCCGCGAGGAACGTCCATCACGAGTGTTAAATACATTAACGAGGATGATGTCGCGATGCTCCTTGTTGCGTCAGGTTGGTGTAGCGTGCGCTTTGTGCCATAACATCTTTCTATTTCATATCTCGAATAAGCATACTGATCCCAGTTTTTCTGTTATGCAGGGGAGGGAGTGGTGAGATTATACCGCAAGTATGACGAGCCGAATCAGACGGACATTGTGACCTCGTGGCGTGTGTTGACAGACATGTTGCCAAGCAGCAAGAGCACCGGCACAATCACGGATTGGCAACAAGGTCGAGGTTCCCTTCTTGTTGGAGGCGATGCAAGAGTGATCCGAGTGTGGGATGCTGCCCGTGAGCTGTGCATAAGCGTAAGTTGTCGGGGGGGATGGTTTTATGAGTTGACACGCACTTTTCCGAACAATAGGAAATGTTTGTACTGACGTTGGTTTATGACGCCGATTATAGGATATCCCTACACGATCTGGAGCGCCGGTGACCAGCATCACGAGCGACCAAGTGTCAGGAAGCATATTTGTGGTGGGCTTTGGCGATGGGGCGGTACGAGTGTATGACAGACGAAAGCCCCAACACGATGCGATGGTGATGACATGGAAGAAACACAAGTCATGGATTCAGAACGTGCGCATGCAACGAGGAGGATTCCGCGAGCTGGTCTCTGGAAGTGTGGATGGCACTATCAAAGTGTGGGACGTCCGTTATCAGGAGGCGCTGTGCACGATTGTGGCCCGAGATCCGATTTCAGCCCTGGATCTTCACCACCACGCGCCTGTGATTGCCAGGTAAAGAAGACAGGCGACCCTTTATTGCCTGGCTGTATATTTTTCTTTTTCTTTTTCTTTTTCTTTTTCTTTTTCTTTTTCACCATATCATATCAATGAAAAACCTGTACGTGCTGAACTTTTTTTACTCACATTTCTTGTGAACAATAGTGGATCGCCAACACAGTACATCAAGGTGTGGAATGTCAATGGCGAGGGCCTGTCGACAGTGCGGTCGTACTCGGGACTGTTTGGACAACGGCAGGCGAAAGTAACGAGCCTAGGATTCCACCCACACGAGTATGTGTTTGGAGTCGGCGGAGACGATGGTTGGGTATCGATCCTAGGATGGTCAGGAGTGAATGCGTCTTCGCAGCAACAACAGCAGCAGCAGCAGCAACAACAACTGCAACAGCAGCCAACACTTTGACAGCAAAGGAACAAAAAAGAAAAAAGAAAAAAGAAAAGAAAAAAAAGAAAAGCAGCAAATAAACGAAAACGAGCATAACAGCATAGTCAGGCAACATTTGTGGGAGTACTTGGAGTACCTGGATCGATCTGTCAATATGCTTTTCTAATTAATAAATCCCATGTCTCTGAGGGTTCTCGTTTAAAAAAATATAAGAAAAACGCAGGGTAGATGTGGGGGGCTCAACCCCTACGGGCTGCTGCCCTGTGACGTGGACGCGTTCCGGTCGCGTTTGCAAAGATTCGCGTGGGGGCAACAACGGACCAACCGTTAAAAGCTCATATCCGTATATTAGATTATATACACCACAAGCATCATCTCGCTCTGCATCGACATCCCTTTCCCTCTCCATCGCTTCTTTTTTTTGATCCTCTTCAAAATATGTGAGTGCATCCAGGATACGATCCAAGGAAAACGGCTGCAGCAGGCGATCACAGGACACTGTCTTTCTTTTCATAGGTAGCATGACGCTCACCATCATCATCATCATCATCTCTCTATACCCTTTCCCTTATCTTTGTTCACGCAATAATAGCTGAAGCAAAAAGGAAAGAACAAAGCAACTATCAGCACCATGTCGGCAGAGACCACCAGCACGGTGGCCAAAGTGCTCAAGCCCACCATCCTCATCCTCATCGCCGTCGTTGCCATCGCAAGTCGTCTCTTCTCCATCATCCGCTTCGAGTCTGTCATCCACGAGTTCGATCCATGGTTCAACTACCGCACCACCCAGCGTATGTGGATCCTGAGACTGATCATTGTCCATTGTATAGAGTGTCTACTTTCACACATACTACGAACAACGGTAATGCTAACATGCCCTCCTGATCTACCGATGCACCCCTTGTAGACCTTGTCAAGAACGGTTTCTACGAGTTCTGGAACTGGTTCGATGAAAAGTCGTGGTACCCCCTTGGACGCGTTGTCGGAGGCACTGTCTACCCCGGTATCATGGTCACCAGTGCCCTGATCCACAATGTCCTCCACTTCTTCAACTTCCCAGTCGATATCCGCAACGTCTGTGTCTTCCTCGCCCCCATGTTCTCGGGCCTGACCGCGTTTTCAGCCTACTTGCTCACCAAGGAACTCAAGGACTCTTCAGCTGGCCTGTTGGCGGCCGCGTTCCTCGGTGTCGCTCCCGGCTACATATCTCGTTCCGTTGCTGGTTCGTACGATAACGAGGGTATTGCCATCTTCTTGCTGGTATTCACCTTTTACCTCTGGATCAAGGCCGTCAAGACTGGCAGTGCTTTCTTTGGACTCTTGACTGCGCTCTTTTACTTTTACATGGTGTCCGCCTGGGGTAAGTCACTTTTGAAGATGGTTCAAAGAATTACGCGACATAATGTTACGATAGCAATTGTTCATGGTATTGATATTGCTGCGTTTTGCAATACATATAGGTGGATACGTATTCATCACCAACCTGCTTCCTCTCCATGCGTTCACCTTGCTGCTTATGGGCCGCTACTCGAACCGTCTCTATGTCTCATATTCGACCTTCTACGCCGTCGGAACGCTCCTGTCGATGCAAATTCCCTTTGTCGGATTCCAGCCCACTCGTACCAGTGAACACATGGCTGCCCTGGGAGTGTTTGGTCTCCTTCAGCTTTATGCGTTTGCAGAGTTGGTCCGTGGCCACGTCTCGCCCAAGCAGTTCAAGGCATTGTTGAAGGGAGGTATTGCTGCTATCAGTGTCCTTGCTGTCATCGGCCTGACCCTCCTCAGTCTCTCTGGAGTGATCGCGCCCTTCACTGGCCGCTTCTACTCGCTCTACGACACTGGTTACGCCAAGATCCATATCCCTATTATCGCCTCGGTCTCGGAGCATCAGCCCACAGCCTGGACGTCGTTCTTTTTCGATCTTCAGATGCTGATCTTCTTGTTCCCTGCGGGAGTGTACCTGTGCTTCAAGGAGCTTAAGGATGAACATGTGTTCATTATTCTGTACTCGGTCTTTGCATCGTATTTTGCTGGAGTCATGGTCCGTCTCATGTTGACGCTCACGCCCGTGGTCTGCGTGTCTGCTGCAATTGCGTACTCGACTCTGTTGGACACCTATCTTGAAAGGTCCGAGCATGTTCTGGCCACGACTCTCAACGGCGCCCAGCCAGCTCGCATCTTTCCGACCGATGCCACTGTCTCGAGTGCGGCGGCTGCTGATGCCAAGACTGCCAGCACTGCCGCTGGCGCCAGCGCGAGCAAGAAGTCTGGATTGAAGGGCAGCAGCAAGACTGAGGTCAAGGCTGCAGCTAAGGATGCGGAGAGCAAGGCCCATGGAAAATCTGGCGTGGCTGGTAGCGAGAGGAAGAGGTTTCCGATCTTTAACTGGGACTCTCGGGCGATAGTGATCATGCAGCTGACTTGGTTCCTGTTCATGTTTGCGTGGCACTGCACATATGTGACATCGGGATCGTACTCTTCGCCTTCGATTGTTCTGGCGACGCGCAATCATGATGGATCGCAGTTGATTATCGATGACTTCCGTGAGGCGTACTACTGGCTGAGGAAGAACACGAAGGAGGATGCGAAGGTGATGTCGTGGTGGGATTATGGATACCAGATGGCAGGTATGGCCAATGTCACAACGTTGGTCGACAACAACACCTGGAACAACACGCACATTGCGACTGTCGGAAAGGCAATGGCGACGTCCGAGGAAGTCTCGTACAAAGTCCTGCGCCAGCACGATGTGGACTATGTGCTGATTCTCTTTGGAGGAGTGATCGGATACTCGGGCGATGACATCAACAAGTTCCTGTGGATGATCCGTATCGCTGAGGGAGTTTATCCGAACGATGTGAAGGAGACCAATTTCTTCACGAGCCGTGGAGAGTACAAGGTCGACCATGATGCGACGCCGACGATGAAGAACTCGTTGTTGTACAAGATGTCGTACTACCGTTTCTCGGAACTCGCGGGTGGAAATGCTTTGGACCATGTTCGTCAGGCGCGCATGCCCGCAGAGGGTCCTACTTTGAGCGTTTTGGAAGAGGCGTACACAACGAGCAATTGGCTGGTAAGTCGATTGAAACTGGTGTTTTTTTTAGTTTTTTTTTTTTAGTTTTTTTAATACTACAAGCAGCGACTGACAATGAATGCTATGGTTTTTTAGGTCCGCATTTACAAGGTCAAGGACTTGGACAACCTGGGACGCGACCTGAAGGACGCCACCGCATTTGACAAGGGCCGCGCCCGCAAGGTGTCGTCTTTGAAGAGACGATAAAGATGTCGATTTGATAGGAATACGCTTCATTATTACGCCCGAAATGATTATTGAAGAATAAAGAAAAAAGATGTCTCGATTCCACTTTTTTATAAGAGCTTTCCTGAGGTGTCAACGGACGTTGGGTCTTTTCTCTGTCTCAGACTGTACACAGCATTGATGGAATGGTGGGACTACACATAGCAGGAGCTGGTGGTACGTCGGTTCAACCTTGCGCCAATGGAAGAGTGAATCTTTGACGAGAGTTATCTTCAGGAGGAACTAACAAACTCATACTAAAAGATAGTTTGGGGCCATTGTTATCCATGCTGTGTTCCAGGCTCCAGTCTACAACCCAAATAAACCGCGCTCGTTTTCCTTCTTTGAATACATGTCGCGCTGTCTGCCTACCCTCTTGAAGATGGAATTTTTGACGCGCGCGTTTAAGGTTTGCTGTGGCCATACGCGACTAGACTGCAGGTGAGGTAAAAAAAACGGCAAGGGGCGAGGGGTGTATCGTCTTAGTTTGTCTTCAAGATCCCTGACGGATTCTACATGCCTAGCTCGAGAGCTGTGACCTTAGCAGAATGGGGAAAAGGCAAGATTTCGACAAGAATGATAGTCGTGTCATTAACAGATTGTAGAGGTGTAAGACCCCATCGACTGCATTCATAATAGAGAGCTGGTTTGTATTGTGGAATAGCTAAGCAGGAGTAATAGGCTTGTGGCAGCCAAGCGTTCATAGCGACGTTGCTTTTTGATCCCTCGATGTCGGCTCTTTCCATAATCCTTGCAGAGAACCCCTAGCACCCCAGCGTCCCGAGCAGCAGCATCAATAGCACGACCACAATGTGACGCACGTTAGAAGTAATGGCATTGCAGTTGGTGCGCGTACGCAACGACCAAAGAACGCGTAGACGAGCCAAAGTGCACAAGGCAGTCGATCCGTCAAACGATAAACTATCTAGCAAAACGTGGAGTTATGCTCAAGGAGGTTTTTTCCCCCGTCCTACCACCCATCTGGCTTTCACCTTCCCGATAGGGAAGAGCTCTGCACTATACTGATCTATGTAGCATGTATGAGCAAGGAAGAGTACCCTTCACGTAGTGCAGACGGGAACCGCTTTATAAGGTGCCGTCTGCCCTGGAAATAAATATCTCTTTCTTGTCTTGTTGACTTTCTTGTCTGTAAGTGAAAATAAGGGTAGTCAGTACTTTCACTCCAGTCTGCAATAAAACTATCACCTTCCTGTTTGATACCTTTCTTGTCTTGCCCGTTCCTGACATTTACTGGAAATTGCCTAGAATGAAGGCCGTGCGCTCAAAGTAGGTCACCATCCTGGGAAAGAAGTTGTTTGAGGCTTTTGGGCCTTGAAGGTCCACATTGACGGTGATATGACCGCTGAGAAGACAAAGGCTCGCCTGGGACGCCACGACAGACTCGAGAGAGAATGAACAAAGCTCGACGCCGGCCTTGCGATGATGGAGACCTCGCACACCATTATGAACCAAATCAAGCGCTCGCTCCGTTCCACGTTCGAGCCGTCAGAGCAGGACAAGAACCTTTTGGAGGAGGGTCTCCGCGCTCATGTCCAGGTGTGGATGAGCTGGAGAGCCGGATCTCAAGCTTCAGCATGGAGATATTTGACAGCTATTTTAAATACACGACCAGCCCGAGCGGCCGATATAGTGCCAACGTGTCCAGTGCCGCCACCACCACCAGTAGCGACGGCAGCAGCAGCAATCCTCTGAAGATCAACAACGTTAACAGCGAAATCAATGTTCTGGATTATATGCTCAGCTTTTATGGACGCAAATGGTTTAGAAAAACGACATAGGACGCAAAAAAAAAAGCGTAGATTGCATGTTTGGAGTACTCCATCAAGGGTGTCTTGCTCATGGCAGGTGGATCGGAGGGCCGCGGAGGAAGGTAGCTGGGGATAATGTAGTTCTTCGCGATGCAATGGGGAGCGAGAACATAGCCCGTGTATGCCAAGCGCAGCTACAGGATCAGAAGTGGCCCGACAAGTACAAGCACCTGCAAAGTCCTGCAGCAACTGCAACAACAAGCAGGAACAAAGAACGAGCAGTTGACTAGGACCCGTCGACACTAGCCGTAGCGAACTAGGGCTAGAAGCGTCAGACGCCAGCAGCAGTAGGAGCTGCGAGGACATCGCTAGAACAACACGATTTAATGGGTGTGAAAGCTCCACGAACAATTTGTAAGTCAGATGCTGCTATAAAATGGCAAGGCGTTTCCCCCTCTGTGCTGATCCACAAAAAGCGAGCTCTTTCCTTCCCACTTCATTCTATGCCTACATCACCATGGCACTGAACAAGAGTATTGGACCCTCATCTGCTGCAAACATACCCCCTTCGCTTATTCTTTGCTTTTGCGATCGAAAAAAAATGTTTGAATATTGTTCTCAATAGCATTCGTTTTTTTTTTCATGCAGCTGAGCAAATGATGATGCAAGGGAAAGTAGAGTTGCTGATCAACAAAGATGACTGCAATGGAGAGCTTGCAAGAGCAATTCTTGTCGGTCTTTAATGACTCGGTGCCCAAGTACTGGCCTCGCCGGGACAGATACGGATCGTACATTCTCCTGTCGTTCTTATATATATATATTTATGTGAAAAACCATTCATCGAAGGACGGTGTACCGCAAGAACTCGGGTGATGTGAACGGTAATTCCTCATTCTCAGACATGGAAAGAACCGGCCTATGGGTGAGAGAAGATCAAGAAGCGCGTACAACCCGTGTCAGTCGGTGCAGAGTACCTTCTCCGTCTTTTTTTTTTTTTTTTCCTTCCAGTTTCTTACTCGCGCGTTGAGAACAGCTTTAGCTGCCGAATATGAGTGTCCCGTCCACCGAGATGGTTCGAAAGAATAACCAGTTGCAACAAAAACACCCGTGGCGGCCTTCCACTAGAAGAAGAACAATGGGGGGCATGGGCATCAAAACACACGATCGACTCTAGCAACATAAAGTCGTTCACTTTGATACTGCGGCGTCAGTGTCGTGGTACCTGCCGGGAATATCCTCCAGGTTGATATTGACCCATCCTGTGATGCCTTCCAGCTCCATGCTGACGAGCTCAGTGAGATCATGATGAGCGGTTCCTCCTTTGACACTGATTCGCAGCGGCGTATAGCTTTCGTCTTGCTTGAAGTCGTAATAAAATGATATCTGCTGAACCGCCGTCTTTTTCTCAAATTGCAAGTTGACGAGGTGCGGCTGTGGACCATCCGATCTGTTGTACAGCAAGAGAGCATTGGTCATTTGGCACCATGGACACGTTTGCGGCCATAAAAATGAAAAGACGCTGGTGGGATGGGGACATTTTATGATATAACATATAACATACTGCCAGTACGTGGAGAGGTTGTTGTCGCGCAACATACCTATGCCGTGGCCACTTTTAGCTGAGGAAACAGACCATGTCGCCAACCTGCCGATCTCGACCTTGTCTTCTGAATCTAGTTCGCCGTATGTCATTAGGGTAATCAACAGAATCGTTCGTGGGGGCTGAAAACAAAAGTGATCGATCTTTGTGCAAGTTGGTTTATTGATGAGATGAAGATCCCGAGTTCAAAAAGCGCTTCCTCTGACCCATCCTAAAATATCTCCTGACGGTGTGAACCGACTCCCTGGCTACCTACAGGCAGTTGAATGGTGGTGGGCTCCGACTGCTGGTCTTGCTGCTGTTCCTGTTGCTGTGCAGGCCGTTGGGACAAAAAAAAAAAAAGTGCTCGCTCGTCGGTTTGCAGTGGTCCAGAGTGGCTTACAGACTACAATAAGAAGCCGGCCCAAGTTTGCAAGTGTCTTTTTCATCCTCTCAACTTTGGTATGTGTGCCTCTGAAGAAATTGCTTTATCGGCCATCGCACACTGTATCCATCCATCCGTCTATCCGTCCACCTCCCCCCGCAACCATCTATCTATCCATTCAACAGCTAAACATCGTTCTCGACGCGTTCGATGGCTCATTTATCAACCCTTCATGGATCAACTGGACATGGAGACTGTGCAGGATGAATGCAGGCTGATCACAGCGACTGACCTTCATCTTCGACTCTCCTTCTGCGATTTAGACCTTTAAATCCCTCGAACAGCTATCATCATGTCGAAGGCAGGCAAAAAGGAAGAATATTTCCAGAAGCTCAAGACTTACTTGGAGGAGTACAGCTCCATCTTCATTGTCAACGTCGACAATGTCGGTTCCAACCAGATGCACCAGATCCGTAAGGCTCTCCGTGCTGATGCCAAGATCCTCATGGGTAAGAACACCATGGTCCGCCGTGCTCTCCGTATTCTCCAGACCGAGAACCCCGACTACGAGAAGTTGATGCCCTCGGTCCGCGGTAACATCGGTTTCGTCTTCACCAACTCGGACTTGAAGACCATCCGTGACAAGATTCTGGCGAACCGTGTCAAGGCCCCTGCTAAGGCCGGTGCTTTGGCCCCCATTGATGTGTTCGTCCCTGCCGGTAACACTGGTATGGAGCCCGGCAAGACCTCTTTCTTCCAGGCTTTGGGTGTCCCCACCAAGATTGCCCGTGGTACCATTGAAATTATCAACGATGTCCATCTGATCAAGGTCGGCTTCCGTGTCGGAGCCTCCGAGGCTGCTCTTCTCAACATGTTGAACATCTCCCCCTTCACCTACGGTTTGACTGTCGTCCAGGTCTACGACCAGGGCACTGTCTTCCACCCCAGTGTCTTGGATATTGAGGAGGATGCTTTGATTGGTCACTTCGTTGCCGGTATCAAGAACATTGCCGCCATCTCCCTCCAGATCGGTTACCCCACTGTCGCCTCGGTTCCCCACTCGATCATCAACTCTTACAAGAACTTGTTGGCCGTTTCCATCGCCACCGAGTACACCTTCCCTGGATCTGAGAAGGTAATGTGTTGTCTTTGGCCGTCTTTTTCTTCGCGCTTTATTATTTTTCCTGTTTCTTCATATGTGAGCCGTGTGATGAAAAACTCATTGTAGCCCTTTAACAAGGCGATGACGAGACAACCAAACACTCTAATTTTTTCCTGATGGTTCCTTCAACACACATTGTCGTGTTTTTTAATTTTACTCTGGATCAGCCTCTTTTTTTTTTGTTGGAGGACGCAAAGTGTCTGAATGGACGTTGACGACTAATCATGTTGTGTCTTTTTTTTTTTTTTTTTTTTTTTTTGCACTTTGGACGGAAAACGTAAAACAGATTAAGGCCTACCTCGCTGACCCCTCGGCTTTCGCTGTCGCTGCCCCCGTTGCCACCGCTGCCGCCACCGAGACCAAGGCTGTGGAGAAGGTTGAGGAGAAGGAGGAGTCCGATGATGATATGGGATTCGGTCTTTTCGACTAAATGCTTCCCGCGCCTCAACATCGTTTTCTTTCAATAAACATGTAAAAAAGGTTGGCCAAGGAAGCACTGAGAGGTGTGATTCTAGCTATCTTTTGTTGGAACCAAAAAAAAAAAAAAAAAAAAAAAAAAAGTTTTTGGTCTTTGTTGTCATTTTGATTTATGAACATCGGTGCCTGAAAGAAAAATGGTGCTGGTTGCATGCTATTATTGCCCTATAATCCCATTATTCGCATTTTAATTAACACACCGATGAGGTGTGGCAATAGTTGCACAGACCCCAGGGAATGTGGATCGGCTCTATCTTGGTGGCTGTAGTAGATCATTGCAAGGTCAATCGACTCTAGAAACAATTTGCTGTTAAAAAAAAAAAACATCATTCGCATTTTGATGGTCTTGAATAATATAAAGTCAATGGCACAAAAAGAAAGTCCATTGGGAAGATATTTATGTTCATGAAAGAAATGTTCAAAAGTTTAAAGATAAAAATTGCTGTCTTTTTATTATTATTATTTACATATTGATAATCATTCTGGTATTATTACAAGGTTGTGGTCGAATGTTTTAATGCACAAGGACCATGTCAAAGTCGTGGTCAACAGGTTCAGGGTGAGCAAGTCCGAGTGCTGCATCAACAATTAGATCCAATGGGTCGGCGGACTTGGTTGCCTTGGATGGTTCTTCTTCCATAGGTACTTGTGGTTCTTCGTCCTTAGACATAGATCCATCCGAGTCGCCCGTGTTGCTGCTCAGCTCAGGTTCGACTTCTGTCCTGTTGTCCTCGGGTTCTGCTGGAGTGGGGTCCTCGGTCATCTCAACAGCTGTGGCATCGGTAACTTCATTGTCTTGCGTGGGCTCTTGCTCTTTAGGCAACTCTGAAGAGTCGGCCAAGTTTTCCTCAGTCTTATCCTCCACATTGTCATCAGCAGAGATGTCGGGGAGAGACTCGATATCGGAAACAGAGAGAGTGTCAAGGTCGGCAGTAGCGTTGGCTCCTTCTTCCTTCTCCTCGATAGCCTCGAGGACCTCGGGCTTGGACTCAGAAGGCTGCGCTGGAGTAACGTTCTTGCCGGTTGTGGACTCTCGGGCCTTGAACTCGTCAACAAGATCGAGCAACTGCTGGCTCTTCTTGATCAACTGCTTGCGGTGTCTGCGTACAGAGGCGTCGCCGTCGCTTTGGACAGAGTCCAATCGGAGCATGGTCTTGGTCAAGTTCTCCTCCGTCAGCAAGATGCGCTTCTTGTTCTCGATAGTGCCGGTCAAGATCTCGTTCAGCTCTCGAGACAGGTCATCAAGCGCTGAGTCGATCAAGTTGAGCTCAGAGTGCTTTTCCTGGAGGGAATCGTGCTGCTCCTGTTCCTTCTTTTCTTCCTGCTTTTGCTGCTGCCTGTCTTGGCGCTGCTTCAGGATATCGGTGGCACGAAGCTCGGGCGAGGACTGAGTTGATGAAGGAGTGGCGGTAGTTGGCGCAGTAGTAGTAGAGGCGACAGCGTCAGTCTTCTTGTTGGCGGTCTCGATTTCGGCACCAAGGACAGCCTCAATCATGGACTTGATATCAGGGTAGGTCATGAAGTAGTCACCGATCAAATTGTCCTCCTTCTCCTCTGCGATGGGCTTGGACTTGGTATCAGCAATGTTGACCTTGGGGGAGGTGACGGTGGATGAAGGAGTAGCTTTGGAAGTGGTAGGAGCAGGAACATTGACCTTGTTGTCACTCTTCATGGCGGCAGTTTCGATCTTGGTGCCAAGGGCAGCCTCGACCATAGACTTGATAACAGGGTTGTTCAAGAAGTAGCTGCCAACCAAGTCCTCTTTCTTCTCATCGTTGGTGGACTCAGACTTGGACTCAACGGCGGCCTTCTTCTCCTGCTGCTGTTGCTTCTTGGCCTCGGCGACTGGCTTCTTGGTCTCGGCGACTGGCTTCTTGGTCTTCTGTGCCTCAATCACCTTCTGTCCCTGCTGGTTCTGTTGGCGACGCTTACAAGGGTACTGCTGCTGATCCTGGGATGAATGACGCTTAAGGTGAGCGTCAGGGAAGAAGATGGCGTTCAACAGGTGGCTCAAGACATCCTGATCCTCCGCTTCCTCCTCGTCCTCAGAGGCGGAGGCAGCAGCTTGAAGAGTGAGCTGTTGCTGCTGACGCTTCTTGGCTTCAGCAATGGCGACCTTGGCGGCTTGTTCCTGGCGCTTCTGTTCCTCGATCTGTTGCTGCTGGAGGCGCTGCAAGAAAATGTGTTCGAGTGCAGCTTGCTGACGACGGCGCTCTTGCTGCTCTCGGATCTGCTGCTGCTGCTTCATGTACTGGCGGATGGCCTCCTGCTCGGCCTCGTACTTGGCCTGAGCGATCGCCTGGGCCTGAGCACGACGGCGACGGGCGAGAAGTTCTTGTTCGATCAATTGCTGGCGGCGCTGTTCAATAAGCTGCTGCTGCCGCTGTTGTTCGAGGAGCTGCTGATGGTGATACTGCTGGCGGGCGATCTTTTGCTGACGCTTGCGCTCGAGGGCCGCGAGGAGGAGGCGCTCCTCTTCGTCAGGGGAATCTTCGTCCATGGATTCGAAGGAGGTGGGGTTGGTTGAGATGAAGGGATTGGAGGTGTATGAGGTTGGGTAGGAGGGATGCTGCTGCCGCTGCTGCTGCTGTCGACGGAAGGGGGTCGCAGGGGCGGGGTGGCCAAAGAGTGCGTACATGGTGGTGATAGTGGTTCTTGTGTTGGTGGGGTGTTCTTTTCTGGTTTGTGTATGAAGGGGAGGGGGAGTAGTGCTGTGTTGTGCTGTGTTGTGCTGTGCTGTGCTGTGCTGTGCTGGAGCTGGCTTTGCTGTGTTGATGGTGGGCTGAATTGGAGGCAGGAGGCCCTTTTATACGGATTCGAGTCGCGTGCAGGGGTGGCCAATCGAAAGGGCGGGAATTTGTCAGAGCATTCGAGCGCCTTCGATGTGCTATGAAATCACACCTTCCATATTTGGCAGGATGCGTAGACTACTGACCAATCCTTCCAGAACCATCCAGCATGCTCTCCCAAGTTCCAACCAGCGACTTCGCCCCCAAGAGTTTCAATGGACCTGGGCGCAGTGTTTTTCTCCTTGATGTGCATCCAATGCATGTCATGCAGATTTTTGATTGCTGTAGATGACAGACAGTGGTCAAGGGATACGTGTATCCCTTGTCTATGGCTCATTCACAAGCAGCATGATTAGGATACAAAGCTGCGTTCTCAGGCCATGTTTTATCCCCTCTTTGCGTACACACTGCTCCACATGGGCCGGTTGTTTCGAGCATCCTAGGTCGCATTCTTCTCATGCAACAAGGAAGGGAGGTGACTGGAGTGCTTTCTTGTTGCTGCACACCACACACACAGGGCCTAGCTGCTGATAAATTTAGCCCAGTTGGCTGTCAAGGGTTGGTGGAGTACCACCTTCAAGCCTCCTTATGAATACACCAATACATAAAGAGCTTTGCGAAGTGAAGACGATAGAAGTCGGCGTCAGAATGGGTTGGGTTGGGTTGGGTTGAGGGGAGCGTATGCTGCGGATATCCATTCTGCTTAGGAACGTGACTTCAAAGTTCTAGCTCTGGACCACACATATCCCTTTCGCCCCCCAGCCCGCTCATCTGCCAGACGCATCTCTGTCCAGTTTCCTCAATCCACCACGATGGCACCTCAACCCACAGCAGTCGCCACAACCAACGCAGGAGCCCAACCAGCAACGCCAACACAGGCAGAATCAGCCGAGGCGGCATCCATTCACAATGAGCAGACGAGACAGGATTTGGAACGGAAGTTGCAGGAACTGATCGAGTGTCTGTTGGAGCTGAGCATCACTGTCTATGACTTTCAGGCGGAGAGTAACTCATTGGTGCACCAGAAAATGTAATTGTGGATAGCAAGGACCCAACCAATGCTGAAAGAATAATACAGGAGCAGCGTTTTATATAGCCTTTTTTTTCACTTTTTGGTGGGAGCATGGGCTAACGACCTTTTTTTTTTTTGTCGTTGGTAACTTAATCGCGTTTCTAGTCAGGAACTCATCGCGCAGTTGTCAGATATTGAAGGATTCAAGGATAAACTGGACATGATGGTACCTTGGGAAGTTCTGAGGTAGGCCATTGCACAATTTCGAAAAACGGGTGATGCATCTTTCTTTTACATCTTTCTTTTTCCTCAAGTCTAACCCATATCATACTTCGACTTGGAATGTAGCTACATTGAGGATGGAAAGAATCCGGATCTATTTTCAAAGAGCTTTGTCGAGGCAGTTGCGGGCGAGAACCAGTTCACGAACGGAAAAATCACAGCCTTGAAGGCAAAGTATCGTTATCCATACATGATCAGGAACAAAGTATCGACATCATCCTTATTCCCCTATAGCTCACGGATTTTCTAACCGTGATGACATCCTTTGCTTTTGTTTGTTTGTTTGTTTTCTGCGCCGGCAATAGAGCTTCGAGGCAGCATTGACACAGAATCTGGGATCTGCATTCCCGGAAGAAATGATGGACTATGAAAAGATCCTGAAGGAGGTCAATACCACAGCAAATACCGATCCTGGGACGATATCCGCAAATGCCTCGGCGACGCCTTTGGAAGGGGAGAGCAGTTCAGGGACCATCAACCATACAGTCTCTTCGTCATCATCATCCTTAGGACCTTCATCTATCTCGCCCGCTTCATAGCGTTGGCGATCATATATCCCACTCTTGTATATAAAATCCCTCCTCGCCAACTACCGCATTGCAACCATCGTTGCAGGCAATAAAATGAAACTACAAAAAAACAAAGAAATGCATTGCAAGACACGTTTAAATTTATTGATATACACATACTCTTCATACTATTCAATTAGCCGCCTCTTTGAAGGACGGAAGGTTTCCTCCTGCAGCATATGCTTGCCCAACAAAGAGCGTCCCGATCTTATCGTAATAGGCGCAACCATCGATGGGTTGCCGTTAGCGACTTGGATCCACGTAATGAGCACCAGCAAAGACTGGGCAACCCAGGTCCACCGAGCCGTTCCCATATACAAGATCCCACGCGAGATCGGCGTCGAAGGCACGGCTGTATTCACAAGTCGAGCTCCTCTCTGTCCTGCCTGCAGCGGCTCGTCCCCATCAAGCTCCTTCATGATGTTCTGACGAACCTTGGCCTGTAGGAAGCGATGGATTCTCGCTAGGACATACTGTCCGTGTTCGATCCATGCGGGTGCATTGTAGATGCGTTCAAGCTCTCGCGGTGAGAACTCATCTGTCGGGACAAGGAACAAGGCCACCAGCTCGATCAACATCGCCTCGCGCTTGAACTGCGCCCGTTGTTGGAACTCTGTCGGGTTAGGCAGCGTCAGCATGTCTAAACAGACGTGGATCACTGTAACGTAGAGTCGGTGCGGAGGAAGGATCAGCCCTGAGGTTGGAGGTTCGAGGGGAGCTTGATCAAAGTATTCGGGTAGATGGTGCTCTGTTGATGGTTTGAAGCATAGGTCCCGGGCTGCGTTCAATTGGAAGTACTGGTTTGCTGGATGGTGCTTGGCGGCGGACTGGAGGTATTCGAGAAAGGAAGCGCTCTGTTCCCACAAATACCTCTCAGCGAGCTCATGCTCAATTTCTGCATCGTATTCCTCCTCCTCCTCCTCCTCCTCCCCCTCCTCATCCTCGACCTTGGTTTGAGCAGCTAGAACTGCTTGACCGAGAAATCTAGGCTGACTGTCGGGAGACAAACAATACGGGTGTGTATAGTCACTCTGGTGTAGCCCGATCGTAGTCTTGAACAAATCGAGCACGTTTCTGTAGGTGGTGACCAGTCGCATACGCCTACACATGGGACATGAGATGTTGCCTGCTCGATCGAGGTCCTGCTCGCACTTCCAACAGATTGAATGTCCACAAGTCGTGATGACCTTCATAGCCGTACTAGCCTTCAAACAAATCGGGCATGCGTCCTGGTCGGGGATTATCGAGCTATCCTCACCCGCACACGAGATAGAGCCTTCCTCAGCAGCCGCGGCCTGCTTTGACATGAAGTTCAGCAGAGAGAGGTTCCGCTGTTGCTCAAGTGCGCAGGGCTCGACTGTTGTCTTGAACCAATTACGGATTCGTTGGACCGATGTGTTGTGAAGCAGATCCCTCACGCGACGATGCATTCGATTGTTTGCAGATGACCTTGGTGCCAGAAAGATGCATCGGGCACGATTTCGATATGGCAAATGCGGAAGCATGACATATTGCTGGAATGCCAGGGCAATTGGAGTTGATGGGGACACGGACGCGTGCTGAAGCGGGCGATATTCTTCGAACAGGTCTGGGGATGGCGAACGGTATTGCTCATCCAATTGCGGGACTGAATGCGACATGGGCGAGGATTGGCAGCTCACCCATTCCATCGAATCATCGGCCTCCAAATCACTAGTACTCTGTGGGGCGGGTTGTTCTTGGGGTGTAAATGGCAGTTGAGGCATCGACTCTGAGGCAATGACAGATGTAGTATCGGGCACCGACGTGGGTACAGTGCCTTGAGCTGGCTCGACGGATGGATGAGCATTCAGCCAGATCTGGATATAATCGACGTGTGGATCCATGGCTCCTCTTTCGTGGAAAACGCTGACATGATCCTGGTGGCAAGAGTGCTTAGGTGAGGTGTCCATGAGGATTGTGGGCTGATAACCATGGCTGGTGAATATCGGAGGGTGGGAGAAGTAGAGCATGGGTTTAAAGAGTCGTTGAGGAAGGTGTAGATACAAAAGAAGTGATCGAGGGTGAGAAGGAAGGAGAAGAAGAAGAAGAAGGAGGTGGTGATATAGAGAGAGGCCTTATAGTGGGATTTGACATGGCATGCGAACAATCGAGACGCGTCTCAGTCTAGAGAATTGACAGCGCATTCAAGCCACCAATCAGGATTTGACATCGCTCCCAGGGGGTCAGCCCTTCAATCCCACTGCCAGTCTATCCAAGTCATTTTCAGTTGCGATGATCTTCATTGCACAATGATCAATTAGACACTGTTTTCGCATGTTTTTGGGCTTTATTAAAGTAGAGAAAGAGAGGAAGAGAGAGCACTGGTGTATATTGTAACAAATGAGAAACACGACGTGGTTCGATAACCGTGGATCAGGCAGAGTATCGTATTGTACAAAGTCGTTTAAGCACCACCGCTATTGGGATACATCAAACACAGAGAAAAGAAAGAGTAAATAAGTGGTTAGAGAGTGCAAAAGTGAGGGCTCAGTCGAGTATGACACGCAGAAGACGTTGACGAGGATATTCTTCATAGCAACGAAAGTGTGGACTTACACAAGGATGTTGTTGATGGGAATGTGGATCAGCTTGACAACGAAGCCAATGACACCCATGACGAAGAAGCCCATGGAAACAGCCTGGGTAATCTGCATGAACTCTATTGAATGGTTCAATTATCAACAGTTTATAGTGGTGAGCGACAGAGAATCTTTATTCCGTTGATCTGGTATCGATATCGTAATTGCAATTAAAGACAAAGTCGAGGCTGGAAGGATGCACTGATATAATCCAGGTTATTAGAACTCCAGTCCAAATTCTTTGTGGCCAAGTCCAAATTGTGGTGTCCAGCTGAACCAGATGAGGATCCGTGATGATGAAAAGCGGGAGTGCGCGTTGTTCGATGTCGCCCCGGCGTTCAAGTCGAAGAGTCCAGTGATCATGCTTTTTCGAGTCATGAACGATTTCTATAGTCTAATGCCTTCCATATCCATGACTCGTGTCTCTTTCGCTCCCTTTCTTATCCAAAGCAAAGTCCGAGATGAAGAAAATGTTCCTGGGAAAAGAACAAGAAAGTACCTTTGCGATCTGGCTTTGTGCAGCGGTTGATGAATGCGACGCCGTCCTTGACAAACTGCTTGGGGCCCTCGATGGCGGTCTGAGCAAACTCGTTATCCATTGTGATATGTGTGAATATGGGTCGTAGGAGGTGGGGATGAAGTGAGAGGGAGAAGAAGAGAAGTGAAGTGGGATGAGGATGGGAAAAGTGATGAGCGACGTAAAGACTCGAGAGAAAGGAGCAGAAAGAGCTGAGAAGCGAGGCGACCAATCAGAATCAGCCAATGAATTGGGTCCACCCAGCGCGCGTTTTGGTGTTCGTTATTTCCGGTCCTATTTCCTTTACTTCCGCATCGAATAATGGGAGAACAAACAAAGTCACCCAAACCGGCCTGTATGACAAGGCCTTGCTTGATCCGCTTTTCTTTTGTTGCTCAACCATTCCAACACACCCTACCTCGACCGACCAACCGACAAGGATTATAAACTACAGCAATGTCCTTCTTTATGAACAGCGGCGCCAACCAGTCGGTTAACATGCAGAACATGGCCATGGCCGAGCAGGAGCTTGAGATGGTCTCCGACTTGTTCAACCGGTATGGCTCCATCCTTTTCGTATTCCGTTTTGGAGTAGGCAACTGAGAGACCCGGGAGAGGTCTTCTTTTTTATCTGAACGAGACACGCAGCCGCTGTCGCCTTCTCATTTTTCTTTTCAGAAATGGCATCATTTAACTGGGTGGCACACAAGGAACACTGGACATGAAACTAACCGCTCGTTCTTTTATCTGCACTTCATCTCGGTTATCTGCTCACGCTTTTCTGTCGCCGCATTCCACTCCAAACGCCATGTCTGGATCGACTCGTATTATCGTCCTGCGATGATCAATTGTGCCTTGCTACATAAATGTGGCGACTGGAATACCCGATTTGTATCCGGATAACTCGACACTTCATCTCTTCCAACACGCGGCGCGAACAACAGCATTGTGTCATCATGCCACAAGAAGTGCATCCCCACCACCTATATCGAAGGCGACTTGAACAAGGGCGAGGCCGTCTGCATTGACCGCTGTGTTTCCAAGTTCTTTGAGGTCAACAAGTCCGTCGGCACCAAACTCCAGCAGATGTCTGGAGCCGGTCTTCCCATGTAAAATAATATCAAGAGCCAACAAAAACACTGGTTTATTACTTTATTTTCTTTCTTGAAAATAAATAATAAAAGAACAAGAACGAACGTATACATACAAAATACAACATTATCCTCACTTGCCAATGGCCTCTCCCACTGTCCTAAATGCATATCCAATGCATTCAGATGGGACCCCAGCTAGATCCAGTGTCCTAATGGCCACCTCGTCGCACCCAACACGCTTGTAAAAGTCCCTGGCCTGGGTATTGCCCTCTAACGTCCAAATGATGACACCTCGTCTCATGTTGAAGCGATCGTATCCCTCCTGCAAAGCACCCAATATCAACTTACGGCCAAGTCCTCCGCCCTGCACTCCGATTTTGACATAGAGCGTGTCGATCTCGCAATCGAAATCATCCTGGGACCAACCGTCGTAAAATCGGTGGTTGTAGGCGCGATCCCAGTCAGGAACCATGACTTGTGACATGCCAATGATTTCGGGCTCGCCCGTTGTAGGGCTGGTCCTCTCAGCAACGACATAGGACGCTTCCCGCTCATCCACTGGGGCTGCAATGAAATGATAAGGTATGGACAGAGGGTTAGCATTCAAGTGCAATCGTTTGCCGCTTGATCCATTAAAGACCGTTTCTGAAGATCTGAAGTGCACATACGAGTCATTCTTTTGACGTGACGGGTGGTCATCTTAGAGTAATCCAGGGTATCGAGAAAGATCTTGGGCGCAATATCACGATAGTGGTATAAGTAATTCGAGAATTGCATCTCTGTCATTAGGGCAGCATCCTCGACTTGACCATGGCGAAAAGTAACGGTTTCGACGGGTTTCTCACTGAGATGGGTGGAGGACGATGAATTGGTCGAGGCGGTCGAGGCGAACGAGGCAGTAGATCGGATGGAGGGTCGTGAAGGAATATGGACCGGAATGGGTGTCTTTTGTTCAATGCTGTTGCTATTGTTGGTAGTAGCGCCACCAGTTGTGGTCTTGGTGATAGTTGAGATGTCTGCAACGGCCATGTGGATATGTTATCCTGCCAGGGGTTCGGTAAGTGAGACTTTTAAGGTTTTGAGGTGTGAAATTCCAAATGTGTTACGAATAAAAAGGCTGAAGGGCCGGCAAATGAAGAGGCAAAGAAACAAGTTGAGAGAGAGAGAGAAGGAGAGAGTGTCGATTGCTGAATCTAGCCGGTTCAAATAGTGTGGGCCGATGGAAACGAATGGAGTGTCATGGAGAGGAATGCCAGATTGAGTTTTCTTCACGGTGACTCAAATGGCGTTTTTTTTTTTTTTTTTTTTTTTTTTTTTTTTTTTTTTTTTTTTTTCCTTGAAGAAAAAGGATAGTGCAAGGAACTTTATCTGTGGATAAACCCTGCATTACGAGACAGCGATTGGCTTCCGAAGATGCACCTTCCCGGGCGTGGCGTAAACCTTTAGACCTTTTTGTGGGAAGCATCGCAGAACGGCGCAGCAAGGCGGGGAAGGAGGTTATGCATCATGTCTAGAGTCCTGCCTGCATTAAGGATGAAGACTCGCTTGCGCAATCTAATGGGATATAGCTGAGAGATTTTGTAGGGTCGAGGCTTCTAGTCTCAATTGCAGCGGGTACAGTAGTGCTCGCGTATTATTGAGCGCACAGTGGAGGCATGGCAATATTGATCTGGTCGTCGAGGATGTCAATTGGCCTCCACAGGGCGTGAATGTACATGCTACTCATCGAACGCACGCGACAATGAATGATATCGTGTTTCCCTACTTCACAACCGCAGACTGCATCAAGCAACACGAAGATAAAAAAAAAAAAAAAAGCGTGGAGATTGACGAAGATGGATTGGGTTTACATTCGGCGACTCTCGCTCGACGGATATTAGACGAAGAAGCTCAACCGTGGCTACAAGAGACCATGCTTTATGTTGGCCACAGTTCGCGTAGGGGGTTACCGAATTTAGTCCAGTCTCATTTTGAGCAAGGCAGCGTGCCTGCAAAATTGGTGGCAAACAATGTTGAGCAAAGGACAAAAAGCCACTATAGGGGTTGAAGAGCAGCTCCTTCTCCTCCGCTTTCACCAACCGAACAAACAACTCGCTTGACGTTCAAGCATCGACATTACCAGCATATATTTATCCAAATCGCATACAGCACATATAAGTAAAGGCTCATGTCCGGCATCAGCACTCGCATCGGTACGACTGGAAGGAGTCTGGCTTCGTTCTTGTGAATTCTTGAGGAAAAAAAAAAAAGTTCGCGATCCTAATCCTATTACCATCACGCCGCTCTGAATGTTAACCAGACAAGGGCCAGAAAAGATTCGCGCCCAATCTCAAGGCTCGTCCTAATCGAAATAAGACAGCAGCATCAGAGGATGGAACTCCAGTACCAACGCCGCCTGTGGCCGGCAGCGACTCTGGAACCTTTGGAGCGTCTCTTCTAGAGTCCGAAACTGGAAGCGCCAGCAGCATCGCAACCGACACTACTATCAACATTACACCATCTAATACTTTAGCGGATGCTACCACGGTATCTGCGCCTGCAGCCGATCCTGTACAGAGCGCATCTACGCGGAGATTATCAACGGCAACACCCATGTCTCCACTCATGTCTCATAATCGGATAATCACCTCATCCAAATCACCAGCTTCTATCTTGACAAAAGTGAACAAGACTAGTCAATCAACCGCCATCTCGGTCCCATCTCAGAAAACCGTAACAGAACCATCTTCATCTTCAACCATGGGATCATCTTTATCCACAGCACCAACAAAATCCATAAAGGGGGCCTCGATTATTTCGGTGCCCACTGCAAGAAGCTACGCGGACATGGAGCAAATGGAAGAGGTCGAAGAGGTCGGAAGTTCAATAGCGTCCAGGAAACGGGCCAAAGGAAAACAAATTCGGCCGAGACAGCAACAACTGAATACCCAGATCGGAGAGGATGGCGAAGAAGATGTTGAAAATGGCGAGGAAGCTTTGCCGGATTACAACAACATGTACATGTACGAGTTCGTCAAGGATTTGGGAGTCGGGCGGCGTTCAAAGGCGTATGTAGAGCAGCAGGAAATGTTTAATCAGCAACAAAAGGTAGACAAGAAGGAGCAACGGATACGAGATATTCGAATTTTGGAAGGCAGAGGCCCTTCACCGCAACGGGAGCTTGAGAAAGAGGAAGGGGAGGAAGAAGACGAGTTGCAGGCTGAAGATGGCAATGATGACGAGACACGAAACAAGGACGAAAAGTTCAGTTTCGCAAAAATCGAGATCAGTACATCAAAACCATCATCAGCGCATAAGACGTAAGTAACCTCGGGGCCAGCATCTTCCTCTGCACTTTCACAACACGCTATGCTGGGCACTTAATTTGCTAATCGACTTTATTTTTCTATTTTTTTATGACATTACAGATTTGCTCCGCAAGTTCGTGTTATTGACGGACGAATTGAGCTGGACATGGATTCGTTGACTGTGGACCATGCGGTTGTGGAAGCAGTAGAGAACCAGGGTCCAATGGAATATGTCGAAGAGTCATCGAGCACCAAGTTTATCAACAGCGCGTCCTTTGGTAAGAAGGTTCGATCTGAACGGTGGAACGATGAAGAGACGGAGCTTTTTTATAAGGTAAAAAAAAAAAAAAGACGCCCGCTTATAAATGCAATCGTTCAATTGCTCTATTGTGCTTCTGGCTTGTATTAATCGAAATTTCGGTTTTGTAATGTGCATCTTAGGCATTATCGCAGTGGGGCACCGATTTCAGTATTATTTGCAGATTGTTTCCAAGCAAGACTCGAATTGCTGTCAGGAACAAATACAAGCGCGAGGATCGGTACAATCATAGCAGGATCGAAGAGGCATTGAGCAACCGGGCACCAATCGGTATGTTCATCTGCGCCTTGTGCACCATGCTCGCATATTACATGTCATGTAAAAAAAGGTAATGCTGGACTAAGCCAATGTCTGAACTATCATTGCCCTTTAGATCTTGAACAATACTCGCAAATGACGAAGATAGAGTTCCCTGAAGTGAGCGAATTGGATGAGGTCAAGAAACTGTCCGAGGAAAATGAAGGAGACGACTCATTGCTCCCCGAAAACGGCTATGAGGACGAATATGGCGATGAACAAGAAACTGGACCAGAGGAGGAGATCGTGGAGCAGGAGGACGATGGAGAGGAGATTGTTGGCATGGTCGAGTAGCTCTTATTCCAATCTCACCGTTTAATACAATTGAGGCGGTTGCAGCAAGGTTTCAACAATGCACCATTATATATTTTTATTCAAAGGCTCTATTTGATTATATTCAAGCGCTTTGGTCTTAAAGCTTGGCCGAGCCGTCAGCCTGCTTGATAAACTGGGCGATCGAGTATGCCATGGAGTAGGTGGTCAACATGGGGTTGACACCGCTGGCCGTTGGGAATGTAGAGGCGTCCGCAACATAGAGGTTCTTGACATCCCAAGTCTCACCTGTCGGCTTAATCGCTGAATCCCTGGGGCTACTTCCCATACGGCTATTGTACGCAGCATCATGAAGCGCAAAAAAAAGAAAAGAAAAGAAAGAAGTCAGTAAAAAAATATCTAATAGAACAGCCTAAAGTGCCAACCTTACTAAGCATTCAAATGGAAAAGTTCAGCATACCAGGATCCCATCTGATGTGCAGAGCCGATGACAGTCGACCCGGCCTTGACACTGCTACGCTTGACTTCCGCAATATACTTCTCAAAGGCAGGATCCTCGATGCCGAGAGCCTTGTTCACGATGAAGGGATCAACATTGTTCTGAGTGGTCCAGACAGATGATGCGCCAGCGGCGACCAAGAGTCGGAGACTGCGATCCATGCCCTCCTCCAGAGAAACGGCATCGTGGCCCGAAACCGTGTAGTTGATACGGGGCAAGCCGTCGGGTCCGAGCTCGATCGAGCCGCCGTCGCGGTCGCGACTGAGGACGATGAGGGGTAGGATATGGTTGATGTCGAGCATTTGGCGCTTGTGGTCGCCGGCGCTCTTCCACTTCAGGAAGGCAGAGTTGAGTCCTGGGTGATGTGAAGGGACCTCGATCTTCGATCCATATCCCTTTCCATCTGTGTTCTCAGCAACAGTGGTGAGCTATATAGTTTGAAGAAGAAAAATGGAAATGTCAGAATCACACTGCAAGGTCCAAAAGCAGCTCGTTGATCCCTTGCGATCACATCCAGAAGCACAGGCAGTAACAACCTACGGCAGTCATGATGGATCCCTGGTAACAATCGACCCTCTCGTCAAACTTGCCAAACACATAGGAGACTGGGTGGAGACGGAGGTTGCGTCCGATGTTTTTGTTCTTCAATCCACTGCGCTTCAGCAATGCAGGCGTATGGATCGACCCAGCCGCGACAACGACCTTATCGGCCTTGACAACAACTCTGCGTCCGTTCTGGTGGCCAACCACACCAATGGCCTTGCCCTTTTGAATCAATACACGCTCCACAAATGTATCCTGCAGGAAACGTGCTCCATGGTCCTTAGCGTCAGCCAAGTAGGTCATCATCGTTCCCTGCTTCTCACCAAAGCGGCATCCGAATCCACACCAACCGCAAGAGTGCTGCTGTCCGCCAGTGTTCTGAGGAATATCCTTGGTCGGGTATCCGAGTCTGCGGGATCCCTCCAACAAGAGACTGTTGGCCTTGTTGTGCCTCAAGTACTTATCCGAGATGTGAAGACGTTCAGTGACGGCATCGATCGATCTTTGGTACGCGGGTGATGTGAAGTGAGGGAGTCCCATCTTGGCCCACTCTTCACGGACGAAGTATGGGAGCTATGTATCCATAAACATATTTGTGTTAGTTACTAGTCCTTGACCGATGAATGGAATGGATGCGTAGGTCTTATAGACAATTAGGGAGAGACTACTGGCGTACCTGAAGAGAAGCACACCAGTTGACAGTCGTTCCACCACCCCAGGTGCTTCCCGCAAGAACGGTGATGGCTCCATCGGTGGAGGTCAAGGCCGCAGCTAGAAGTAAAAACGATCGATATACCGGTGTTAGTTCACGTGAAGGCAACACATTTTGGATAGATTGATGCCCATGCCTCATGCGTGACTTTCTCGGAGAGGGACAAGGGAAAATAAGATTTAGCAATTACTTTGAATTAAAATAAGGGGAAAGAACCAAAAAAAGATGCGATAAAACGCGCAAAGTAAAGTGAACAGTTTGCCGTTGGGGACATGGGAGACGTACCATTCTCATACAGCTTTGCCAAAGCGTCCGCTTGAATGAGCGAAAGTTCGCTCTGAGCAAAATGGTGGCCCTTCTCGATCACCAAGACGCGCTTGCCAGCCTTCGAGAGTTCTGCAGCCATGACTCCGCCTCCAGCGCCCGAGCCCACGATGACCACATCAAACGACAGCTCAATACCCTCGGGCGGAACCTGGATAAACTCGTATGCGGGGAAATTCTTTGAAGAAAAGCGCTCCGAGTGCATCTCTGGGTCAACGCCAGGGTATCCAATGGCAGTGTGGATGGCCTCGATGGGCTGGGTATAGAAGGTAATGGATGTCAGCGATATCATGGCGCGCGCAAAGATGCGAAGCTTCGTGATCATGCTGTTGGACCAGGACAGGAGGATCTGTGTGCGCTGCTCGCGAGAGAGCGAGGCAAAGTCGCCATAGATGCCTCCCAACGCTAGTGTTCCGATTCTGTGGAGAAATAAAAAGGGAAGAAGTCAGTGATACTTTCCCCAAAGAATGTCATTCCTCTGGGGCAATTCTTTTTTTTTAAAAAAAAAGAAGGGAAGCGTTACTTTGTGGAAAGGACCTTGAAGACTGTGGCGAGCTCCTCGATCTTCTCTGCAGGCTGGCCATGCAGCTTTTCGACCACGGCCTCACCCAGGTTCTGGTTCATAACACTGGCCTTACCAAAGGCCCTCAATGCCTCGTCGTTGGTTCCGTCCGAGTTGGAGCGAACGAAATCCTCGAGCTCCTGGCCAGTAAGTTCTGGAATGATGGTATCGACGATGGCATAGACGACCTTGATCTGCTCCTCAGTAAGCGTGGGTTTAGATGGGGCCATGATGATTTCGCGTTGGAGAAGATATATAGGATTGGTAGGATGTTGGTGTGTGTGAAGGCGTGAAGGTGCGAGATGTGAGATGTCAGTTAAAAGTGATGAGACTCGGCCAGGAGGAAAAAAAGAAAAAAAAAAGTTCACGTAAGTTGTAGAAAGGATGAGTCGACAGCCAGAGAAGGATGAAAGGAAGGACGGATGAACCGATGGGTAGATTCGAATTCAAATGAAGGAGATGATGCGCAACGGCAACCCTCTTTATATCGATTAACCGTTGCTGCTGCAGGAACAGCATATTCGCTCTCGCTCCCGTGCGTCCCATTTACTCAGAATACTTTTTTGTTGTCGCACTGGCCGGGAAGGGCTCCTCATGGTTTCTCGGCTCCGGTCTGCACTCTCTGTTTCTCGCTTCGCCCTTCGCCTTGTCGGGCCATTCGGTTCATGTTCTCTGGCTCGGAATCCAACCTTGCTTCTCCACAACCACTCGGACGGTAACCGAAGACGCCTTCATAGCTCTGCAACCTCTTGGCACCCGTCTTCTCGTGGCCTGAGTCTGCGTCTCTTGGTCACTTTCAAGTGCATATGATTTGGCTTTACTGAAAAGAACTATGTACGACATAAAGACAATCCGTTGTAAAATCAAAGAAACACCAATCGGGCCTAGAAGAAATCCTGCAGGATGGCACAGGTTATCGCTGGATGGGGTGGTCTGGGCAAATACAGCAGCAGACCAACATGGAGGACCCCGTTGCGAGTTGCAAATGGATTTACGGATGGACTGCTCAATATTTCATATACATGGTCGCATACGTGGTCGTATACAGGATCGCTCTTCTGCTCAGACGCGTCTAGACTAGCAAAAAATAAAGCGTGCTTTCGTCGCGTGTGGGCATCCTGTCTTTACCTCATAGGCCATCGCTGTGGAGACATGTTTCAGATACGCCACTGTCCACCTCAGGGCACTTCTTCGCGCCGTACCTGAGCTGACCTTTTCTACTCCAGACACCTCCTTCGTCCTCCATCGAACCTGATTCACCATGCCCGAGATCAAGATTCAGACCGGTGCGTGTACTCATCTCGACTTGACTTGATTTGGCTTGACTGGACTGGACCGGGCTGGACTCGACTCGATTCGACTTATCCCCTGCCTCAACATTTCCTATCCCACCCATACCTCTACATACCATGGCGCTGTATACCATGGCTATGCACCACCTACAATTTCATCACCTTCTGCAACCCAAAGATCAGACTTGAACAGACTTGAACAGACTTGAACAATCACGAGCACATTTGCAATTGATTCCTTTTACCTGAACATGACCATACTGCTTGCCTTACCTCGGACGGATAGGAGCACCGAGAATAGCCCACAGACCAAGATACTAGTTTACTGACATTCATTGGTTACTTGGACCATCGTAGCTCCCTTTGACGCTCGTTTTCCCAACGCTAACCAGAGCAAGCATTGCTGGCAGGCGTATGGCGACTACTTCAAATGCATTGATGCCCGTGGCGAGGAATTCACTCCCTGCAACGAGTTCAAGCGGGTCTTCCAGAGCCTTTGCCCCACCGATTGGGTATGTGTACTTTCCTTTTTATTATTTGGGAGGCGTAGCATCCATATTCGGATCGGAATCCATCAAAGAAAGGATATCCGAAACAAAGCACGAGGGCGAGATAGAGAGCCACTTTTGACTTCGAGTGCGACTTACCTTTGGTTTTTCAATGTCTTAGATTAACAAGTGGGACGAGCAGCGCGAGCAGGGCACCCTTCCCTTCAGAACCAAAGTCTAAAAACTGTCTATCCGATCTCACTATCATACCCCACTTCACCACCAAAAGTGTTTTTGCCGACACACATGCCAGTAGAACAATAGCAGCAGAAACAAGTTTAATTGACAATAAAGGACCATATATCTGCTAAAGTGTGCGAGGAGCACCATGATTGTATTACTAATGCTCGTAAATGCAGTTGCATAATACGGACGAACCCATGCGACGCGAAAGGTAGTTGCCGCGTCCGTTCTTTTTAGGACATTACGGTTCCCTAGGACCTTGCGACCTAGGGTTCAAAAAAAAAAAAAAAAAGTGGTCAACGATATTTGAATGAGCACCAAGCCACACTTCAGTTAAAGGTTCGCGCCTTTGCAGAGATTCAACGACAGAACACACACCCCACGGCCACCAAGCTAATCTAGACTGACTCATGGAAGGCGCCAACGGAAAACCAGCAGGAGGACGCATTCACTTCGGGTCTCTTGAGGCTGTTGAGGCAAGGAATCGCCAGGCCGCTTCTGCAGCTGCGGCGGCAGCGGCAGTCTCGGCCTCGGCATCACCAACGGTTGCATCACAGTCTAAAGGAGTGACGCTGGACGAACTAAGTAAGAGAAGTCTGACTACCTTACATTCTGCTCTAGCTGTCTCTCGATTCCCAGCATTCTAAACGAAGGTATATTTATTGGTGTGTTCTGCCGTCATAGAGACGGACGATAAGTTTGAGATGTCAGAGTCTTCGAAAAGGGCGCGGGATCAGCATATGGAGATCATGGAGATGTTTGAGCGAAAGAAGCGAGCACGGACGATCGCCGTACCCACAGAGGACAAGAAGGTCAGGGAAAAGCTCCGGGAACTTGGGGAACCAGTCTGCTTGTTCGGCGAAGATGTAAGCAACGTTCAATTGCAACGGAAGGAGCTGAGCATCCACTCTGAAACGTCAAATCTAACAAAATCATATTCTGCTTTGTACTTCGATACTCGTCCTAGAACATGGATCGACGATCTCGTTTAAGGGACTTGATGTCGAAGGATGCACCTGTTGAAGATGGAGACCAAAAAATGGAATCCGAGGGTGAAAGCGAGAGTGATTCTGATGAGGAGGAGGTAAGGAAACCGGGTCACAGAGGCGAACAGGATATCTTGCACTTCTGGATCACTACACTAACGCAAATGGGTCCCTTTTACATTCGCAGGAGGTGTACACACCCGGCACACAAAGTCTTTTGAAAGCTCGGCGGGACATTGCACATTATTCGTTGCCAAGGTATGAACATGGACATGGAAAGCGGCATAATCAGCACATTGTCTTCAGTCACGGGAAACTAACACCGACCAATTCATGCAATAGGGCGGCAAAAAGAGTGGCGAAACAAAATGAAGAGAACAAGATATCCATGGCCGTCTTTAAAGCAATGCGAGCAGAGGAATTTGAGAAGCTTAAGGTATATAATTGGAGACACTCTGCTTTGCACTTCAGCGGCCGTTTCCATGGACATCTGCTAATCTGCAGCCTGGCATTAATATTTTATGCATAGCTCTACGCCAACTACTCCTCTCAGATCGGTGATGACAGGCCATTGTCCCAATGTGCATTCTCCCCAGACAGCAATTTTTTGGCGACTGGATCATTTGGTGGACTCTGCAAGATTTGGAGTGTCCCTGATTCCAGATTGGTACATTCGCTACGAGGTATGGAGCAGACACTGGAGACCTGTTTATTCCAAGAATGGGTTGCTGTGTTCCCTTTTATTAACACTGCTACTCAATTGCTCCAGGACATACGGATAAAATTGGAGGACTCAAATGGCATCCAAGAGCACATATTTCTCAGGATCGTGGAGCCGTGAATCTTGCATCTGGCGGAGGAGACGGCATTGTGAATCTGTGGTCCTTGGAAAGGTACTATAATTGATGTCCATCTTGTTGTATTTTTTTTTATTGCCAGGACTTCATCGTCAGATCTTAACCCAACGATCTATATCTCCCAATCTAGTGAAACACCGATCCAATCATTGAAGGGCCACGAGGCAAGGGTAGCCCGAATTAATTTCCACCCTATGGGTCGCTTCTTGGGAAGCGCAGGATTCGATGGAACGTGGCGACTGTGGGATGTCGAAGCCGGCACAGAAGTTTTGACACAACGCGGCCATTCACGCGAAGTTTACGCTATTGCATTTCAATGCGACGGATCCTTGGCCGCTACGGGAGGTCTGGATGCTGTTGGAAGGGTGTGGGATTTGCGGACAGGACGATCTGCATTGACGATGGAGGGCCATGTTTCTGATATTCTTGGAATCGATTTTTCGCCGAACGGGTACCAGATTGCAACGGGCAGTGCTGATAATTCGATCCGCATCTGGGACTTGAGGACACTGCGTTCAATCCATTCGATCCCTGCACATACCAATCTTGTGTCGGATCTCAAGTTTTATGCGGGTCCCATACTCCAGGATGAAACCAGCTCGGCGATGCAGGTTGATGGCGAGCAGGTGCGGCCAAGCAAGAGTGGACTCTACTTGGGCAGCTGTAGTTTTGATGGAACGATCAAGCTGTGGAGTGCGGATGACTGGAAGCTGCAAAAGAGTTTGGTGGGACATACCGGTAAGGTTACCGGATTAGATATCTCAAACGATGGACGATTCCTGGGATCCAGTGGTTTTGATAGAACCTTTAAACTGTGGGCACCAGAGAATGCCGATTATTAAAACAAAACAATTGATGATATGAAAAAAAAAATTTTTTTTTATGATACTATCCATTGCCCACTCTTCGTCAAATGAACATTTGTCAATAGATCCATTGTGCACGCTCTTATTAGCAGTTTGTCTATTCGGCACTCTTATCACCAACTAGCCACTGCAAAGTCCAAAGCGCTTATTATTGTTATTAAGAATGATAGAAGAGATGTATCCCCACTTCAAATCGCCAAAAGGTCATGGGATGATCCGGTGCCATGGTTAAAGTCACCAGAGTCCCGAATCCAGGGCGATCTGCAGCGGGGATATACCAGGCTCCTTTCCACCCCACATACCCACTCTTGATCCGTTTCAGTCCCTCGTCTCAAAGAGAGAAGAGGAAGAGTAGTAAGAACGAGAGTGGGCAGATAGTGAGGGGATAGAGTGCAGGCGTATTGTGTCTCTCTCCAATCGTTTAACTCGCTTCACAGATGGGAAATGCAAGAGCAAGGTGATTATGATGGAGAGGTGTGAAGGAAAAAAAAAAGATCTGCCCAGGTTTGAAAAATAAATAAACAGTGGGCACTGGGGCGGGGATCGAATACTTATCCGTCATGTCACGGCATCAACGGAGATCGCGTCTGCTGCCCCCTGCAGGGGTATCTTTTGCCACCAAAAAAATAGAGTTGGAAAATTGGCTCTGTTGTCCTGTGGTGTGGGGACGTGGATGGCCTCTCTTCGCCGACTTGCTGCTGTGTCTGTAGCAACAGCGTCCCATATGTCCATTAGACATACTCCCCCCATCCACATGCAATACTATGGGTTGTAGGATTATAAATACTTCTCTTTTCCTCCATATTCTTGCATTGACTATTACAGCGCTTCTACAGCACCCAACTCCCCACTCCACCTTCAATTCCCAGTAAAAAAAAAAAGAATGTCGTCCATTGCCCAGCAATCCATTGAAACCACAGCTCTTGAGCGTCTTCGGATATCTCCACAGCAATTCCAGTTCGCAGGTAACGGCATGGCACAATCAAGAGGACCCTGACCCTGATTCTATCCAACGTCCCCCCCCCCCCCCGCCCAATTTGCGTCCAGCAAGATCAATAAAACCAGATATCACTCGCGCCAATGTTCTCATTTCCAATACCAATACTCCGTCCTATCTTACTCTTCCGTCTCTTCATATCAGCTTCCTCATACATACCAAAAAAAAAAAAAAAAAAAAAAAAAAAAAAAAAAAAAAAGACAGGTGATGTCGTAACGGGCTGGCTTCGACCTGTGAGAAAAAAAAATTACAACGTCGGTGAGCCATAGGAGTGTAGGATTGTATGCTTGCACATCTCTATTCACAGATCTGTATGGGCATGTGCGCGTCGTGCATGGTTGGTTGGCTCTAATAGGGCTGTTTTCGAGCGCACTTCAGTATCCATGGCATATCTTGTATCAATATTTGTATCCGAGCGAGTCGTCCACGGCCTATCTTCGTAAACAAATAAGCAGCACTTGGTAATAGAGACGTTGGATGGCGGGAGATGATGAGGGGGGGTTTTTTCCTCCTTTTTCGGAAAATGGGGTTCTAACACGCCCAGAAAGCGAAACGACGGATTGGTTCCCTCCTAGAAGCGAAAAGAGGGTAGGAGCGGACTGACTATCGCCGCTCATAACAGATTTCATTAGCCTAGAAAAATGGGTAATAGACTATAGGCGAGATAAGAGGGTTGCGGTGGACTCGGAACTACAGATGTCCAAGAACGCACGCACCAGGGCTTGATTCTCAAATATGATTGGCTGATTTTTCTCATAAGATACGCGTTTCTATACGACTATTATTAAAAAATACCCCTCTGCTGCTTTTTTTTTTTCGTTCGTAGCATCAAGGGCCTCTCCGGGCCAGGTCTCGAAACTGAAGTTGAAGAACATGACTTCGGCACCAGTGGGGTACAAGTTCAAGACGAACGCACCAATGAAATACTCGGTCAAACCCGTGCTCGGGGTACTGGGACCGGGTGAATCCATCAAGATCTTTGGTATGTATTCGTTGTTTATTGCCTTGACGCATACAATGCAGTCTCTCTAATGCGGAGATGGGTGGTTTAAGTCCTGACAACCTGCTTGGTTCCGTTGGATGAAAAAAAAAAAGTACGATCTGACAGCTGGATCAGTCCACAGGACAGGTTCCTTCTGCAGAGCGTCGATTTGACAGAGGAAGAAGGACGCTCGTTGGATTCTCGTAGCGTAAGTGGACGTCCCCGCCTTTGACCCAAAGGATATACTGTGTTCAGCGTCCTTTGCGATCCTGTACGTTGTTACTGCTGCTGACGAACCCCGAACCTCCGCTGGTCTGTTCGCTTTTATTCAATCTATAGTGGAAGACCTTGGATGCGAAACGCTTCCTCGAGAGCTACATCCCCTGCTCCTCAACCTCCACACTCTCGTCTGGCGACCTCGAGGATGATGCTGGATCCATTTCCTCATCCTCTGCAACATCCTCTGCCGCGTCCTCTCCGTCCTTCCACGCCTACGACCTCAGTCGTGCAAGCCAGCAACAACAACGTCCCCGTCAATCACAGGTCTTTGAGCGCTGGCAGTATTTTGAGGCAACCCGACCAACGATATCGATCGGCGGGCTTGGAAGAAGGTTATCCACTAGCTCGTCTACCTGTTCGTCCGCAACTTCTTCACCGAGCACCTATCCTACCTTGTTCACGAAACCCCTCGAGTCGTCGTCGTCGTCATCGCCGTCGACTCCTCCAAGTCCAGCATCGACGACGCCTACGACCGCGTACTCCTCAAAACGCAGCTCCGTCTCGTCGAATTATCATCGGCAGGTCATTACTTCGACTATCAAGGAGGAGCCCGCAAACATGGGCGCGGGATCGGGATCGGGATCGGGGCCCTCATCGGAGCCAACACAGCATTTTCTCTCTGAGCTGGGATTCTCGAAGAAACAGGTCTTAGGAACAGTGTCGAGGCTCAGGATTTTTCAACATTATAGTATGAAGCAGGCACTGCTGTGGTCGTTGGTCTGTCTGTTGCTTGGGATGCTGATGCCGTTCGATCGAATGACAGATATAATGGGGAGTGGGAGGAGCCGCGAGAGCTGGATGAGTCCAGATACCAGCGACAGGTACAACATGGATACGGAGGATGCCAGAGAAGATGCCGTGCAAATCTCGATTGCTTCGTCCGAAAGGGAACCTTCTGGAATAATGGATCTAAAACCATCGTTCGAGTCAAATGGGTTCTATCCAGCAAGCACAACACAGCAACATGAAGTGGTAGAGGGAGCAGTATAAACGAAGAACACGTTCGTTGTATAAAGTATCGCGCATTAGTCATTAATAAATGGCATTCTCAGCTTCTCTATGCTTTCCTATGTAATATTATCGCTCGTGCTCGTCTTCATCATCTTCGTCCGACTCACTACTTCCAACGCGCCCAAAAATCGCACTCTTCATCCTTGTACCCAGGCTCATCTTCCTCCGAGAAACCACCTGTGATTTTACCCTCCTATCGTCCTTCGGCACTCGTTCCTCGAGTCCAGTACCACCACCACCGCCGCCAAGACTCAACGTCTGCAATCCATGCAAGGACGACGATCCCCCGGTCATCGACCGGCTCCTTGACCCCCACAGCCCACTGTCTGCATCAATGATCTTCGAATCAAAATCGCGTCGATCATAAAACCTGTTGTTTGCGTTCGTCTCGGATCCGAGTGCCTCCAGCTGCGTATCCTTAAACCCTGCTTCCGCGACCGCGTTCTCCACAAACGAGTTGCTACGTGAAACCGCAAACGGATGAACCAATGGCTGGCTGTTGTGGAACTTCCTACGGGAGATCGAACCCAGGCTGCTCCTATCTCCGGCGCCATAGACATGGTTCTGGCTCTGAGATTTCCTGGGCATTCCCATCCGAGGAGCCTTGCTTCCGCGTGATGACGAAGAATAGATCGAATTGCGTGTTGAACCAGGTCTGTGGCTTTCGATTTCTCCCCCTGATCCACCTCCTTCTGCCAGATTGGACAGGCCATGGGCATGGCTGCCGTTACTGTACCTCGCAAAGCTGCCATGAGAGCTAGATGAGCGCATGATACCCGACCGCGAGGGACTGCCATAGTGCTGCTGCTGGATATATGAATCTCCATCGTCGTCGTGTACTGATTCTGGCAAGTCGACAACTGGGTGAGGTTCACAGTCGTGTCGCTCGATTCCCTGGTCTTCCTCTTCCTCTTCCTCTTCGTCGTCTGTTTCGCCCTCGACTCGGATATGGAACGGAAGTGGGATGTCCTTAATTGCGCGGAACTGACCACAGTTGTTCAGGTGTTCGTTCTCCAAGCGGAAGAAATTCCATTGCCAGCGTCTGGATGCATTTCAAATGAAGAGGATACCGTCAGATTACAGTCACACAGCAGTGTAAGGGGCGCATCACATCCACAGACGAAAAGACATATCCGCTTACCTGAGGACCTCAAGGAACGCCAAACTAAAAGACAGGATCACCACGTTGATGTTCATGGGAATCAACCTTACCACCCACGAGAATCGTCCAAAAAAATCTAGCACAATCGCCATATAGTACACCCAAGTCCTCGAATACACCAGCTCCTGTCTCAGGAACGGGTGTCCATACGCGCCTCCACCATGTTTTCCAAACCGAAACAATCCCCAATCCATGTAGACATCCCACGCAAACGTGTACACACTTGCGAAGAACGAGAATATGATCCAAGCAACTTTGAGCCGAGTTCCTCCATAGTGTCGGTACGAAAAATAGATGAACAGGTTGACCAAACTGGCAGTGTATTTGCCCGCGTTGAGCAAATGCGGGAACCATTCCAGTGTGTCTCGGTAACGTCGCAGGCACTGCAAGAAACGGAACCAGGCTGGCAGGGCTGTCACGAAGGGTGTAATCCACATTTGACTCGTCGAACATGTGCTTCCTAAAATACATGCGTGCAAGGTATACCTGTGTTAAAACATCATTGTTTTGGTATTTTGCTTGTCCTAGCATCCATAGATAAACCCCCCGCGGTCAACACAGATATAGAACACATCGGCCTTACCAAGGTTAGTCCATTGCTGAGAGTAAGCGCACATAGCAAATTCGAACTGTTCCATCGAGTATGATAGCGAATTCATTTCATCCGCCAGAAAGAAGTCTCTGAACTCGACTCTGTAGTATCCGCTGGCAATGATACGACCAATGCTTGAAATAAACCATCGACGTGACGTGAAGTGTGCAATGGGCAGCGGACAAAAGAGGACTGCGGCTATGATGGACATCAGGATCAATGGCCAGTACGCAGTCGTTACATGCGCCGTTAATTTGGATCCAAAGTCAAAGTAGACCGCCAGTGTTAACAGTAACAGGAAGAAAATTGGGAGCTATTGAGACGGATTGAAAAGCTGTTGAGTTAATAACTAGGAAAAAAAAAAAAAAAAAAAAAAAAAAGAGCGACAGCGTTGGAGTTAAAGAGAATGCTACCCGTACCTCAAAGTACTCATGAAAGTCCAGATTGTCGCGCGGATCAAACTCGAAGATGAACTTGTAATTGATACGGGACTTTGCCCAGACATACATGTTGATGCCAAAAAGACACGCGAACATGATAGTCAGGAACAACCCGCCATAGACCAATAAAAGACTGTCCCAGTATGGAATCTCTGTAGGCATCTCATTTGAGAACGCTGCCTGAAGGGCCTGAACCATAAGCGGTGCAGCCAGACCCAGGTAAAGCCCGATTCTTGTCGCGGTCAAATGATGAGTCTAGTCGGTAAATGACAAGAGAAAAAAAAAGGGGCTATTGGTACGCCGATCCTTACTTTTCTATACTGTCTCAAGGGCATCTGTTTAGAGACGACGCCTGACTCACCCGACTCTTGAAATCCGGTATCCTGAGTTTGGCCATACCTCGCCGCCTATGGCCCTTCTCGAATGTGTCAATAAACACATCTTCAGTCTCCTTGATCAAATCCTCGATTATACCCGAGGTCATAAACGTCGCAGGCTTGATTTTGGAGTTCAAGTAAGACTTGGACGCCTTCCACCCAGCAGTCTTGTCAAACTTCTTCAGGATCTTTGCGAACCCAGTATGGTTCAAAACCTTATAGTTCTTGATCATTTCAAGACTGCGGTAGAACTCGTAGAGTGCAGCCTTGATTCGCGTTCGCGCAACTTTGTGGTTCAGGCGCTGGCGCCGATGTTCTTCTTCCTGCAGAGTCATCTCCTCTTGTTGGGCCAGGGCAATAGGGCTGAGTTTTGGATTGGCACGGAGATGCTCTCGATAGCGTATCCCTTGTTCGGGATCAAGCATAAGATGACCGGTCGATGAAGTCGCGTAGCCAGTGCCGGGAGGTTGCTGGAACGACCTTCCGGAAGGTGTGATCGTCACATCTTCCGTGACAGTAGTATCGACGCGCATCAGATTATCAAAGCCATTTCGGACCCTTGACCATTCTGCAACATACCATCCTTGCTCTGCTTCCGCCCTAGCCTGCAGTGTACAGTTACATTATGTTGAGATAGCAATTTGTTAGCATAATCTTTGTGGTTATCGTGTATGTTTCGTATGCTTATTTTCTTCTTACCATCTTTTCGTCATACCGCCGCTTCCACTCGTTGGCGACATAGAGCTGTTGCTTGACGACTCTCAGCTTGGTTACTGCCTCCAACTCCTTTTCTAAAAAAATTACAGAAGAACAAACAAATCAAGTAAATTTGTGTTACGGCATTGTGCAGATATGCAGATATGCAGATCAACTTTAGTGAATAAACAACACAGGAAACTAAAGATGTTACGCCTTGCGACGAGAGAATCTTACCTCGGTAAAATTTGTTGACCATCTCAAGCTGAGAGTCAAGGAACTGGAAAAAGATCTTCTCCTCTGGCAGTAGTTGTTCAAGGACACTGTCAAAGTCATTCTCGTCCACTTATCGTAAGCGGGGAAATAATAGGGGTTCATTGACAACAGAGACATGTTAATATTTACACTGTTTTGCCTGCAATGGTCACGCGAGAGCTGCATCGGGCACGACGGCAGAGCAAAAAGGTAAATAATTTGATACCTTGGATCGTTCGAGTTCGAACTGGCGCCTCAACAGGGGCAATGATCGTGAATCGTCTTGAGATGTGCTTCAGAAGATGCGCGCCCTGGGATCTAGCCGCTTGACTGAACTGCGATACATTCGAGTCCGTCTTGGATGTCTTCAAAGGATGGCCGGGGGTTGTTCCTGACGAGGATGTGGTCTCGCTATGCTCGCAGAGAGTCGATCCCCCGTGTCCCGATCGATCATTGTCCACGGGAGCTGAAGCAGGGGGCGGAGGAGGAGAAATTTGGATGGTTGAGTAGTTCCTGGCATGACCTCGGTTCCTGGAGAGAATGGGTGTTGCTGCGCTCGTAGTTGTAGTGGCGTTCGGGCTGTTTTCGCTGGAGTTAATTGTCTGTGGTGTTGTACCGGAGGGTGATGAGAAGGAGGACAGCTGAGGGTTATATTGGATAGTAGGGGAGTGATCTGATGAGGACATCACACGTCCGCCCAAGTCCGCTGCGTCGAGCAGGTACGCTGGAAGTTTGCTATTTTCTGCTTGGATAAATGCCTCTGCCTCGAGCTGGTCGAGGGCGTGCTCGATAGCCTTGAGGAGTTTTTTGCCCTGCTTGTAGTTGATATAGGCCTTTCTCCATTCTGGTACGACCTCATCCTGGAGGTATTTTGCAAATTTCATGGTTTGAAGGGCAAGGCTGGCTGGATGCTCCCAAAGAAAAAAGAATGAAAGTGTGAGGAACAAACTGCTGAAGCGGGCAAGAACAAAAAAAAAAAAAGAGAAGAAAAAGAAGAAAAGATGTCGATGATGAATGGGGGATACGGAGATGATATGAAAGAGCAGGGACAGAGAGAACTCAAGAGTGCTCGAGGGCTGCTGTGCAGTGGGCAAGGTGAGAGATAATGAGGGAGAGGTTGCTATGGGGGAGTCAAAAAGGAAAGGGTGTCGCGTGAGTAGGACATAAAAGGCATCTAAAAGTAGGGGGAGGGCGAAGGCACTCGCAGGCACAAACAAACAACGCAGCAGCAGCAGCAGCAGTTACAGCAGCAGTTACAGCAGCAACTGTCACAGCAGTTACAGCAGCAACGCAGGGGGGGGGGGGAAGTAAACCGTTGACGAAGATTTTTTTTTTTCTGCTGCTGTGTATGTTTGGTGTGCCAAGTAACGGAGCGGAGATTGTGTTCAATCCAGAGCCTCAGGGGTCAAGCGACCGGTCAGGAACCAGCCTAATAAGAAGGAGGTGGCACGAAAAATAAGGAGAGAATAGGTATGCTGACAACGACGGAATGAAGGACGATGACGAGTGAGGAAGGGGAACGAGAAAGAGAATGAGAGAGAGAGAAAGAGCTGATTTGATTAGATGCGAATCAGATCGGATCATCCTCAGTTCTCTCCATGAAGTCATGGAGTATCTTTCTTTTCGCTGACAGAGTCTAAGAGAGGTAAGGTCCAGGGCGGTGTTTTCTCCTGGCCAATCATGTCGCGCCCCTGGCGTATCTGAGCGTCTTGCGCGAGCACACGTGGAGGAAGACTTGTCTCTCTCTCGCCCGTCTTTTCTTCATTTTCGTTTTAGGATTGACACCATCGTTACAGCAGCTTTATCCGATTCGCGTAAGAAGTTCCCCACGGTGGCAGTAAGTCGACAGATGGAGTCCAGGTGGACAGAGTTTACTGCTGTGGCAAGGACAATGCATAAAAGATCAAATTTCTCAGAAAGATACGGCATACACACTGGACCCATGCAGTCATGCAGTCAGGCCCTGCGCCTCAGATCGGTGTAGATGTCGTAAATGATAAATACTTCTGCCATCTGGGAACGGTCCACACTGTGCGGTTGCTTTTCTGCTTGGAGTTGCAATGGATGATGACGACGAAAGAAGGACATCTTTCCCTTTGAGATTCTGTTATCACCCAGATTGGACCCAAACCCATCCATCTCTCCAAGGAGAACAAGAAAAGTGTTCCTGACGTGGACCAGGACCTGGCCTGAATCTTTTTCTCTCTCACCTCACTTCTCATTACATTCCTTTCTCATTCGGTATAACCTTTTGTTTTGTTACTCCTTTCCCTCCGTTCCACATACACTTCTTCTTACATTTGAACACTATGAGGCCCTGGATGGAGCGCTTCAAGCGCTGGTTCTTCCGAAGGTACAAATTCACGCGGCAAAGTGTCGGATGCACCGTGCTAGTCATCATCATCTTTGGCTTGACCTTGTACTTTATGGTAAGCATATTGTCCTGTGCACCTGTGTCACCATAGCAGCATTCATCCTGCTAATGCAGTCTATCTTTCTTTTCACATAACTCTCTAGAATGTCATGGCTAATGTCGCCTCATACCTATCCCCTGACAATACTGTCGTGCCAAAGCTAACCGACAGGCTCTTTGAGGCCATTCCGTCGATACAACTTCTCTGGCTGACAGATCTTGCGGATGCGCTCATGTTCGTCCCGACTGTCATACTTGTCCTGACCCACTACCGTCCTCTCTATCTCCTCTGCAAGGTCCTCTTGACCTGGGCACTCTGCAATCTCATGCGCATCACCACTGTCGCCATCACTTCCTTTCCAGATCCACGCAGCGGCTGCATGCACTCTACCGGCGAATTCTTCACCACCTTCCTTTTGCATCGGTGTGGCGACTGCATGTTCAGTGGACACACCGTCATCTTTGTAATTTCAGCATTGGCCTGGACAAGCCATGGCTACCATCGCTTCCCGCACCGCTATCGCTGGCTAGCCTGGATCTGCTTGGCGTTCGTATGGGCTCTCTGTATTGGATCAGCTCTCATTGTGATTGCGAACCGCGCGCACTATACCGCAGATGTGCTGGTAGCGTTCTACATCGCGGGCGGCAATTGGTTTATCTGGACCTATATTTTTGACCACTACATCGAAGAAAAAGGTCGACTCACAGACCTGACGAGGCCATGGGGTGATGGTCCGGATACAAGACCTCATATTCAGGAGCGTGAACACAGGAAGCAAGCAGCTGATCTTGAGAAGAATGCGATGGCAGCTGAACAGGCACGCGAGACGCAGATGCAACCATCCGTGACAGAGATACCAATCACCACCAGTACTACCAACAACGCCATCAATGCCCAACCTTTAAACAATGGTGTCAATGTAGCAAGTTCGGTCGGTAACACAAATAACCGGCGGTCAAACAAGGACGTCACTCTAGAAGGAGAGGCAACACGAGTCGTCCAGCCGCCATTCATGCAGGAGGAGGAAACATTGGGCGAAGCACTCAGGGACCCTAGGCTGTTGCCTGGAGAACCCTACAACGCGGTAAATACATGATAAATATAGCTATTTGTTTATCCACCAGTGTATCGAATATATGCCAATGATTATTGTGCTGAGAACCATAATAAAAGAATATCAGACTATCTATGGAGGAAGGACGACTAAGAATGCCTAAAATGTCCTCATGTCAACCACTGAGTGAAGAATCACCAGTGCCATGCCAGTGGAATACCATGTATGAAGAGACACAGCCCAATGAGAACGCTTCATATCGTCTGGTGCCCAACAGTGACAGAACAGTGTCTGCTACGCCTTCGTTGTCACATCCCTGGACCTATCCTAATCTGGGGTGAAAGTACCCTTCCATCGGAGCGGATGCAGAGAAAAAAAGGAGTCCTCAGCTTTGGGCCAGAAGGAGTGAGAAGAAGACGGTATTGCATCTTCTCTTCAACGTCGTCCATGCAATCATTGCGACATATCCCCGGGTGCACAGCAAATATAATCGGGGCAAAGGGGATGTGATTGCCCAAAACTAAGTTCAAACTAACCTTCACCTATAAAAAAAGTCTTTGTGCTATGCATTTGAACAGAATTGACATATCGCATTCCAAACGGGAGAGTTGTTAAGATCAAGCATACTAAACCACCTAATCGCCCATAATAAAAACGGCATGCAGGCTGATGTTACGTGGATGAAGTAGCTTTGATGCTATGAATGTTCTCCATCTCCATCAAAATCCCAGATGAGTATAGGCCGCTCTTGTCTCAATACTTGAAAACTCTCAGCGACGTTCGAGGGCGATTCGAACAAACATAGTGAACATGTCTACAGGGAATGAACAGTGCCATTAGATGCGTGATCAACCTGCGCATCAGCCTTGCTAAGCCTAGAGAGAATGGTTTAAGATGTCTCGTATCATCTTTGCTCCCTTCTAGGGCTGTGTCCAGCCTGATCTTCATTTCCCAAACCCAAAAGTACTGTAGTCACGCCTCTTTGGCGGCCGGGAAGAAACAGCTCAGAAATTTGCAACACTCCTTAAAGTCATTAGAGCGCTCAACAGACGGGTCTTATATATCGAGACGCCGAATGCAAATTTATGCGCAGGATCCCACTGCTTGCGCATTTTTATTTTTCCCCACTTGTGTCTTCGGTTGCCATCTATCGCCCAAACAACTCGCACCACAAACGAAAACATCATTTGTTATCGTTCAATTCTGCCACTCTCCCCCGTCATCCCATCGCACCGTCATCAACAGGACCATGGGGCGCAAGAAGATTCAAATCAAGACTATTATGGACGACCGTAACCGTCAGGTACGAGAAAACACAGAACGGAACATCTCTCTCTCTTTTATGATGACTTTAGTGCCAACACTTCTTCGCGTCGTATCAACTCTCTTTAGGTTACGTTCCAGAAGCGAAGATTCGGCCTCATGAAAAAGGCCATGGAACTTAGCGTCCTTTGCGACTGCCAGATCGGTCTTATCATCTTCAACTCCAACAACAAGCTGGTCCAGTACTCGTCCCATGATATCGACCAGATTCTACTTCGGTACACTGAGGTAAGATGACGGCCGCTCTCAGTCTCCCTAGTATTCCACAGCTTGCCTTTAACCGTGTGGGGCCAACTGAGCGATCAAATGAATGGAGTTGAGAGCAGGGAAGTACAGGGATTAACACTGGGACTCATGGTTGGTTGAATAGTACAACGACACATGCGAAACATACACCAACAAAGAGTTCCTCAACCTTGGGAACAACAAGGACGAGGACGAGGACGAGGACGGACTGTCCGTGGCGGGCGATGACAGGAGTAAGCTGTCGGTGACACCGCAGCCCCAATCAGTAACACCCCAGACCCACAACACGCCTGCTCAGGCACACATGCAAACGCCGCCCCAGCAGCAGATTCTTCAGCACACCCCATCCTCGCTCCCACCCCACATGCCCCGGAGCCCCTTCCAAGTGCCATCCAATGTCGTCGTGCACCCTCAACAATATAATGCGATGCCATATCAGCAGCAGCAACAGCAGCTGGACCCACAGTATCGTCCGCAGGGATATCCACAGCATCCCCAATACCCTACTCACCCACAATATCAGCAACAACAGCAGCAACAACAGCAGCAACAACAGCAACAACAACAGCAACAGCAACAACAACAACAGCAACTCTTCCTCCAACAGCAACAGCAACAGCAACAGCAGCAGCAGCAGCAGCAGCAACAACAGCAACAACAGCAACAACATCACTACCAGCAACAGCAGCATTATCAGCAGCAGCCGCAGGTAACGATGCAGCAGCACTCGTCGCCACAGCCTCCTCGCCAACAGATTTCATATCAGCCTCATCAGCCGCATGCGATGCAGGAGGCGATGTACCAGCAGGACCCAATGCATTCACAGAACCGTCCTCCGCAACCACAGCAGTTCCAGCAACCGGCATCTCAATTTGTCAGCCGAACGATGCCGCCTCCTCAAAATGGGCAGAGTCTCCAGCTTCCCAACAGCACGGCGATGCCGACACCGATGTCTCTTCCGATGCAACAGCCCTCGCTTTCGCAGTCGTCTTCGCCGGTGATGAGTACTCAGAATGCCATGAAGGCGGGACCGTCGCCCATGGCTGGGGATAATTCACCTATGACAGATGGATCTTCGATCATGACTTCAACGCCTCCAAGTACGGCAGCAGGAGCAACATCGCCCGTTCTTAGTCCCACTAATGGAGGAATTAAAAAACCAAAGCTGCGTGTTAAAATCCCAACTGACTCGAAGGATAATAACACCCTGGCAGGACCGATGATCAAGGAGGAGTCAAGCGAGCTCCCACCGGTAAGCTGTGTTTCACAGTGCATACAGGATAAGATGAATGATAATAGCATGTTGTTGCTAATGACGACCCCCCTTTTTTTTGTTGTTGTCACTGGTAGATCCAGAAGAGACCACTGGAATCAGCACCGATTTCCTCAACTCTTCCTTCTCAATTTGCCAAAAACCTACCCTCACCATCGACTTTTTACCCCGAATTTTATGCGTCGCAGGCGGAACTGAGTCCCATCGTTTTTGGGCAGACACCGACGAGTGCCCAACCAAGTTCAGCATTCAACTGGCCTATCCCTAGGGAACGCGAATTGTCGCGTGTCCATCAGCCAAGTCCACTGGCAAAGGGTCAGAACGTTACAATGGCGTCATCCAGCACATCGGCAGCGGGCACATCATCTGGAGACGCAACGTCTGGTACAGGGCCGAAAGGAGCACCAGGATCCAACTTGAGGATTGCATCTTCACCTTCGGAAAACTCATCCGCGGATGCGGATGCGGATGAATCATCAACCGCTGGAGCTACACGAGCCAGAGATCTGACAGGAGATGAGAAGGATGGAGCTGATAATGGTCCTGCTTCTAAAAAGGCTAAGAAGGCATAGTCTTATGACTTTTCTTTTCTTTTTTTTGTGTGTGTTTCGTCCGACGCCCTTGTCTCCACGACATGGAGACCTATATAAGTTTTGCTGAGAGGAGAAAAAAAAAAGTCTTAGTCTGTTCCTTTGTCTTTTATGTTTCTGTTGCTGCCATATATCTTTTCTCTGCTACTTGTTATGAATAGTTTTGTCCTGTACCATACATAGCCCCGAATAAAAAAATAAAAAAAACGTATCTTTGGCGAAGCGTGAGTTTTCATCCACACAATCCTGCGCTTAAACCGTTCTTGTGGAGATCTCAAAGCATTGAAGAGAACATTAAACATCGCAACCATACCCTAATAAACAGAAATATATTTTATTCCTCTCTAGCCTAATCCAGTGAGACCAGCTCAACGTCAAAGATGAGGCGTGAATTGGGAGGAATGGGGACCTTGGCGTCAGGAACACCCTTCTTGCCGTAAGCGTGCTCAGGCTCGATGGTGATCTTTGCCTTCTCACCACGGGACATGCTCAACATGGCCTCGTCCCATCCTGCGATGACACGACCAGTACCGACCCTGAAGCGCAAGGGGTTGTTCTTCTTCTTCGTATTGTCGTTCGTGTCGAAAACGGTGCCGTCCTCAAAGTATCCAGTGTAAAAGACACCGACTGAAAGGAGCAATTCGATATAAGGGAACGAAATATGTTAGAAAGTTTTGTCCGCCGGCATATCGTGCGCAATCAAATGAGACATCCAGAAGGATAAATATGGTCCAATATCATCCTCCCTTTGATCCTAAGATGTGTGTGCCATACCATTGCTGCCCTTCCTGGGGTATCCTGACTTATCTCCCTTCTTGAGAACAGTCTTGGTGAACTTTGGTGGACCGACCTCGGCAGCGACTTCTTTCTTCTCGACGACTGGAGCAGCGTTCTTGGCAGTCATGAGCTCCTCTTCTGATGGTTCATCTGCACCGCGGAATGCCTGGCGAGCAAAAAGAGAGCTGTAAGCCTCGAGGAGGGAATCCTTCTTGGCTAAAAAAAAAAAAAGAGAACGAAAAAAAAGGGTGTGAATCAATATGAGTGTGCAAAATCTGTATGGAAACTTGCGATATAGCTCCTCATGTCGCTATAAAGGCTCAATTGCTCTGCATGGGGTAGATATCCACATACCGTTCTTGACGACCGTGGGCAGTTTTCCAGTCAACTTATATTCGACCAAGAAGTCGTGGCTGGCATTGAGATGGAGAAAGGTGACGATGTCCTTTTTGCTGACAGCGTCAGAGAGCAGCTGCTCGTTGGTCCAGTCTTGCGTTGGGGTGGCCATGGTATCTTGAAGGTATGCACAGAGGTGGAGGTGAGGGGTGAACAAGTAAAGGTGTTGAAAAGAAACGAAGCGCTGTTGATTTTTATCGAATAATAGTGACTGTTCAAGGGGGGCGAAGGCGCAAGAGAAAAAAGAAAAAAAAAGTGCGCGTCGACACATATCCATATCCACTCTTCAACACAGGCAAGGATCTATACGGGCGTTGAAAGTCAGGAAGCAGCACACGTAATAGAATCTCAGGAGTCCCCATGTCTACTGTTGAGGAAAAGAAACGCGGGTCGAGTTCAAGGGACGTCAATGCGCCTGCGAACTCACCCTTTGGTGGCCGTATCCTTGTAGACGAATCTGCTGTTTTTGAACAAAACGCTTGGTAATACACAAACTGGCAGGGTTGACGAGGACCAACTCTTGTGTTGCTATTATGGGATTGCCAGCATAAATAGAAGTTATTCAATTACTCATCCTTACTTGATTGTTCATATCCGTATCGAACCGTCTATAGGGACCATGCAACATGGGGCGAGGAACAGGAGCAGCACGCACGAGACCAAATTGCACGTCAGAGTAGGGATCCAGTGCCACAGGAACTCGTGGAAACATACCATGCAGATGCGGCCGAATACTGGAACAGATTCTATGCTAAAAACGAAAACAAATTCTTCAAGGATCGACATTGGCTGCGGATCGAGTTCCCGGAGCTCTTTCAGACAATTGAGGCAGATGTAAGGGCGTCGGACTGCATTATTTTTATTTCAATATGCCATCGGTGGAATCTCTAATAACGAGCTATCTTTTGGACTGGAAATGTATTAGGCAGGAGAGAAGAATGTCATGGAGATTGGCTGTGGAGCGGGCAATACCATGTTCCCGATGCTGATCGAAAGCAAGAATCCAAAGCTATTTGTCTATGCTTGCGACTTCTCCTCGACCGCCGTAGAGGTTGTGAAGAACAATGTGGAATATGACTCTAAGAGAGCAAAGGCATTTGTTTGGGATCTGGCCAGCGACGATATACCACCGGAGGTCGAACCAGAGTCGATGGATGTTTTGGTTCTGATCTTTGTACTCTCGGCGTTGCACCCTGACAAGTGGGATCGAGCAATGAACAATCTCTACAGGGTATGTTAGATACTCTTTTCTAAAGTCCATTCCTTATGTGAAGAGGAAGCACGAATGGACCACTGACAGCACCCTCTGTTCTTGCTTCAACTAGCTGCTGAAACCAGGAGGATTGATCGTCTTCCGCGACTACGGGCGCTACGATATGGCACAACTGCGATTCAAAAAGAACCGTCTCCTCTCCGATAACTTTTACGTGCGCGGAGACGGCACACGGGTCTACTTTTTCGACTCTGACGAGATCGTGAAGCTGTTTGGTTCACGGTTCACGATCGAACAGAATGCAGTCGATCGACGATTGATCGTCAATCGTCTACGGAAGGTCAAGATGTACAGGGTATGGTTGCAGGGCAAATTTAGGAAACCATTAGCTGGTCAGCCTCCTGGAAAGCCCTCGGCCACGACCGTTACCACCAATGACGATTCTTTGGAGGGGTCTGATGCGATCGACGGACCTATTGATAGCTCGCGTTCATTAGATACCCCTTCTGAATCGCCAGCGCACTCAGGGACCGCCACACCTGTGTAGTACGTCTGTATGCTGCAGCGGAATAGGTGGAATAAAGAAAATATGAGCCCTTTATGCGGATAGAGCTTCCACGGAATGATCGGATCGAGGGCGCAGGGACGCGTTTCTATTAGAAATGCTCTGACGCGTTCCAAAAACTTTATTTTTTCAATCCTATCCCCGGTGAAACAGCCTCGTTTCTCTATTCTACCTGTGATCTGACAAATGCGGTACAGACCTACGCATGAGACACATTTCCGCACGACCAAATCTGGGAGGCGGTACAGGGATCTCTACTTTATTTGGCTCAGTTCACAAGTACCCAGGGGATCGCGCCATGAGTTACACTGCAGTTCGATCTAACTGCCATGCGCACCCTGGATTTGTCATGGCATAGTCGAATACAACGGAACGATCAATTGACACTGCATGGTGGTTGGAGGTCGCGACCTCTGGTCATTCCTCTACTATGCGGCAGATCGCTGTAGTCTATCATAACCAGCACGATCGGCTATACTTCTCTCTCACTCGTCGCGCTCGTATAAAATGGGCGATTGCTGGCCTCTGTTGTAACTTCAAACCAGAGCAAATCAAAAGCAGCAGCACATCTATCCAACTACCACCAAAAGCGTCCAACATGACTACCACCAAGCAAGTCTCCAACACCCGTGTTCTCATCTCCAAGATCCCGGAAGGTACCGCTCCTAACAAGAGTCATTTCAGAACCGTCAATACGATTGAGGAGGTGCCTCAGCTCGAGGACGGCGCCATTTATGTCAAGAATTCCATCCTTTCCTTGGATCCTTGTAAGTAAACGTGCCATTATTTTCACCTTGTTAGCACCTTGGGGCATGATGCTAATAATTACAACTACAAAACAGATATTAGATACGATTTCCCTGAGGGAACAGAGGAAACCGCCGTCGTTGGGTTCGGCATTGCCAAGGTCATTAAATCCAAGAACCCCGCCTTTCCCATGGGCTCCACGTTCTTTGGCCCTGTACGCTGGGAAACCTATAGCGTTCTGGACCAGGCTCAGCTGGGCGAGTCGGTCAACTTGGACAATGGTCTTGATAAAGATGTGCCTCTCTCGGTCTACAATGGCGTCCTAGGTCTCTCTGGATTCACCGTTTGGGACTCGCTGAACAGGATCGGAGACCTCAAGGCTGGTGAGACTATCTACATCTCCAGCGCCGCAGGGTAAGAATCCTTCGACTGGTAGATTGTGTTCAAGTTTAGCCATAAAGTACAAAGCGCCATCACGCTCACTTTAATCATTCTTCTTCTTCTGTTACAGAACTCTAGGCCAGCTCGCTGGCCAACTGGCAAGGCGCAAGGGGTTGCGTGTGATCGGCAGCGCTGGTTCGGACGAGAAGGTCGCTTTCCTTAAGAATGAACTCGGATTCGACGCGGCGTTCAATTACAAGACCCAGGACCGACGCATTGCCCTCGCAGATGCTGCAGGACCTCAGGGAGTGGATGTCTACTACGACCTGATCTTTGACGACACAATCGATATCGTGCTCGACCTTCTCAACCCTCATGGTCGAATTCTCTCTATCGGAGTACTGGCGTTGCATCAGGGACAGGAGTTGGCTGCACCCAAGAACTTGGTCAACATCCTGCTGAAGCAGTTGAGATATGAGGGCTATATGGTTTATGAGTACTTTGACCAGTGGGAGGCCTTCTGGAAGGAGGTGAAGCCGTTGGTCAAGAGCGGCGAGATCAAGTACGCGGAGACTGTGGTGAAGAGTGGGTTGGATATCGTTCCAGAGACCTATGTCCGTCTCTTGCAGGGAGAGTTCAAGGGCAAAGTCAGCGTCCAGATCGGAGATATCTGAGCTGCGAACAACCACGAATCAACGATATCCGGTATAGAGTAGTACTGCAGGTTCTTTCACATGCACAATAATACAATCGTGTTTTTGAACTCTTCGGGGAGCGAAGGATCAGAGCCATATTGAGTGTAGTTGTAAGTCATTGTATAAGACATAGTACCTTAGAGTGAATGTATGGGTAAAGTGTAACGGTCGAATGTTGGTTGTACAGTAAAGTCTCTTTTATTACACGGTGTTAAGTAAAGGCTCCGCGCGCCGTTGCTTAGAGGATCAGGCACCTGTCGCCGCTTAGCTTCTGGATCTCGCCAATCTCGTTCTTCATATGCTGTACAACCGTGGGTTGGGACCGTGGGGGCGGCTTGCACTTGGCAATGCCGATCCGATCCTCACCTAGATCAAATACACACTATAATAAAAGTTACTGTCAGCATTTAGAGGACTCTATCGCAGACTACGTTGTTAATGTTGACAAGTAGCAAGAGAAAACGTTCACCTACATAATTTTGTTTGATAAAGACATCACCCAATATCCAGACCGGCTATCGTTTTCGAGAAGCAAAAGAATATCAGCTGAGATGCCGCCCTCTAGTCTCATAATCTGGACGATAATAAGAATGTCACCTACGATATTGTCATTGCTGGCAATACCAGAGTAGACATAGCCGCGCTTTCCGTGAACGTCTTCACGCATGATATCCTTCATGATTACATCGAACTTGACGCCGTTGAGGACAAATTGTACCCCGCTAAGGTCTGCATTCTCTTTCGTTTTGGGGATGATCCAGCCCCATTTATCGTCATAAATCGCACCAGGAATCTCGGCATGGATCGTCTCGGCAACTGGCGTGGGTACAATAACAAGTGTCGTGCCTAGTTGTCGAGTGCAGATTTTGTGTCAGCTGTGTTCCTTTCCAAAGCTTCGAGTAAAGCGGCTACATAGTTCGATGGATTTTAATACATACCGGTGTCGATGATCACATCCCCTGTGTGATAAAGATTCTCGTCACCAAAGAAAAGACCATCGCATTTGATTTGCCAATATCGCTTGACAGTTACCGGAACCCATGTCAACTCGCCTTCAAACCTATCCTCATCGTAGCCTCCGAAGCGATATTCTGCGCACGCCAAGCAAATGCAGTGTGACAACGAGGTCAGTAACGAGCAATGCTCGGATCAGTCGCCGGCGTTTTCTATCTTTCTCTCTTACCTCCACCGCCGCCTTCTGTGCTTCGTCCGAGCCAGACGCTATGAAGCAAGAAGCAATCACCGTGTAGCCGAAAAGTTAGCATTTTGGTCAAGAGCGATCAAGCCTGACATGAAGAGAGCGACATGGAGACAGCTATCTCTCGCTCACCTAAAGCATGGCGACTCGATCAACTTCTGTTGGATCATATTATCCATTGGTGTCAACGTTCCAGGCACCGAACAAATGGAACTGTATGCGAGTCCCAGAATACCATCCACCACATCGTTACTAAACGAAGTCGACTCGGTTGTGGCAAGTCCAATCGTTTGATTCTCGATCACCAACCCTGCAACATTCACGCGGTCCTGGCCGAGGATTCCCTTAACCGTCGAACCATCTCCATAACTAAGTACGCAAACGTGGGGTGATGAGAACCAGCACTGGTCGTATAGACTTAAGAGGAGGCTCGAAGAGGTATCAGGTCGAGTGAGACTCACGATATCTGGAACTTGCCCTTCATGGGTTTGAATGAGGTTGAAGTCGCACGGTTAAAGGTGACGCGTCTTGTCTTGCAGGTTGAATCTGGGACCCAAAGATCACTACTTCCGGTATCAAAGTCCAACCGCAATCTCTGTTCATTAGATCCTATCTCGACTAGGATTAACGTGCTCATCGTTGGTCAATTGGTGCACAGGATCACAGCCGATAGCAATTTAGCGAGTTAATAAATGGTCGCAATTTATATATTTTTTCATCCTACCATCAGCATAGTACTGAATGTCTCGGGCCACATCCGTGAGTTTTTCGACATAGGGCGGAGTCTTGCTTGCCAACACTGTATCCATTTTAAATCGACTCAAGAATTTTGGCTTATGCGGGGATGGTGCATGCTTTGCGGCGGCACGCTTAATAGATTCTGGAGTCTTTAGCTCATATGTTGGATTATACGTCAATGGAAGACTTGAACAAGGAAAAATACGTTCAGGGTTAAGAGGCATGGTTCCAATGCGATTGGATTTATAGTGTTGAACGACCACGGCGAGCTGTTCTTACGAAAACACTTGGCCTTGCGTCATATAGACTAATATCTTCTTTGCGGGCTTCTTGGTCAAAGGGTAAAAGTTGAAGGTTTGTGGTGAAAAAGATGGAAGCGTTAACGCTGTTGGAGGAGCGTTTGAAATAAGCAACTTCAAAAGGGGTCGCGCACGCATGCACATGGTACAGATGAGTACGCCCCTAATGCACGCAGCTCACGCCTGTGCACTCGAGACAGATAGTCTTTGAGCACAGAAAACAAATAAAAAAAAAAAGGAGAAAATGCTGCACCTGACAAATTATGCGTAACGTCGACCTGCTTGCAAGCCTTCCTTTTGAGAAAACCAAACGCTCCTGTCGATTGACAGCGGTCAGTTCATTCGGTGCGCTTGTATGAATATGTGCCGCGTTTATTAGACGGATGTGACTGAAAATGCAAAAGAAAACGATCTTATTAATGCTCTGTAGCACTATGCCTCCTCCCGGTCAGACAGGTGGTCTTGAATCTTGTGAATCTTCATTTGGTTGTCCTCGCCTCCAGATAAGAGAATATCATTGTTCCAGTCAATGCTGAAGACCTTCTTAGATCCCTTTCCGTGGGACAAGGTATACAATGCACCTTTAGCACGAATATCCCAGACCTTGATCAAACCGTCGTACGATCCAGAGGCGAGCATGTACGATGAAGATGGTGACCAAGATACAGATGTGACCCAATTCTGGTGTCCGACCAAAGTCTGTTTCACAACCGATGAGTCCTCCGAACGAGGGTCCCACAGACGGACAGTGGGGTCTGCATGACCAGTGGCTAGAAGGCCAGAGTGCTGAGAGTAATCCAGAGCGTGCACGACTTTTTCACAGTTCTAAATTAATTGTCAGTAAGAAAAGAAAGAACAGGTACGTCAATGGTCATTTTTCATATACAGCACGCGTGCATGGCAAAGGTAGGACAAACTGAAGCATCCTTCAACATACCTTGGTGGTAACGTTGACATGGTTCTCCACATCCCAGACACGCACAGAGTGGTCCCATCCACCGCTGTAAAGGGTATCTGCTGATGTCGGGCTGAAGACTACAGCCGACACGGGTCCAGTATGTGCAGCTAGGGTAAGAATGGGCGCCTATATGGCACGATAAAGCAGGACAGTATTAGTGTGCATTCTTAACACAGTTTCACGATTGTCCCTTCATTAGACCATTGATTGAATATAACGTGCGCTGACTGCCTCACGAAAAAATATGAACGCACCTTTAGGATTCTATCTTCCTTGGCAGTCCTTCTCTTTTTGCGCGTCTCTGTGACCTCCTCGATGTGATCGCTAACCGTGGGAATGGTAGTTGTCCAGATCTTGATCATCGAGTCTGCGGATCCCGTGGCAAACCTGTCTCCGTTGACATTCAATGTAATGCTTTCGATCCCTGCGGTATGTCCTCTACACTCGTACAAAACCGAATGGCTGTTGTCAGAGTGGTTATATTCCCATGCCAAGATGGATCGATCCAGTGCTCCAGACAACAATGTGCCGTTGTCGCCTACAAAAACAGCAAAACGATGAAGCTTAATTTAGCGGACATGAACTGAGAACATGCATATCCGAGTCCAGAGCAAGAATGATTCTTACCATCGGATGTGAGCCATTGAACAGCTTTGATAGCTCCACTATGTCCTGACAAAATCTGTGTGCATTCTGCCTGCTTGTTCCAGAGACGCACATGATTGTCGTATGATCCAGTCAAGAATCCGCCAGAATGATGGGCCTGTACAGCACTGACCCAGTCATCGTGCTCGTACGAAGACAAGGGCGTGGGAGGGAGCATTGACTCGACGTATTCAATTGTCAGCACATTCTCAGTCGACATATTCTTCTCCTCCAGGTACTCTGCTAAAGACGTGCGAAGAAACTCGCCCTCAATCAAAAAGTCGAAAGGTCTTTGCTTCTCTGTTGTCAACGCATAAAAATAGTGTCAGTATCTATCCTCTGTCATGTCTCTAGATCCAACTGCAGGGATATCAATCATGACGACCTACCTCCTTCGTTTTGGAGGACAAGGTTGATGATTTGTGAGAGTCCATAGCGACGGAGACGGGCAGGGGTCTGGATAGATGTCTCAGGGATGGCATATTGCCTCTGCTGGGTCACAAATTTGACCTGCACCTGAGGTCCATCTGCAAGTGTGTCCATAGTGTTGAGCTGGGGTAAATGATGCTGGGGGTGCAACGATGGCGGGATGGAGGAATGAGTGAACAAGCACAGGCAAGTTCTTTCTTCTGAAGCCCAAAAAAAAAAAAAAATTGTTTATGTTTGTTCGGCAGTCACTTTATTTGATTGGCTTCAGCACGCGCTCGATCCGATCTATCACACAGGAACGGCCAAGGGTTGCTAGGGTCTCCGGCACTCCTGCACCAACCTATAACAATAAGCAATAGAAATCATAAGATTCACAAAGGATCTTTAAGTTGAGATATATAAAGATAAAACGCGTTTGTTAATTTACCTTGACGCCAGAAACAGTATATCGAAGTGCGTTCATGACCACCGGCAGCTTCAGTTTCTGTTCGTCCGCAATTGACTTCAAAACTTGTTTGGCCTCTTCCTTGTCAAGTTTAGCATCTCCAGCAGCCTTGAGGCGGTCTAGCGCTATGGGCAATACTGTACGCAAAGTCTCGTCTCCAATCTTAGTGCGATAAGCGACTGATTCGTCCGAACTGTAGCTGGGAGCCCTGAAATAGTATCCGCACAATGCTGGCACATCGTGAAGGTTCTTGATCCGTTCCTTCAGGGTGCTGATGACCTGTGCAATATAGTCATTCGAATACTCCTTGGCAAGTGGTCCTAAGTCAGCCTCAATCTTGGGCCGAAGCATGGCGGCCATTCCCTCGAGTCCTGACTGCGTTTCCGCCCTGCGTAAAAGATGCATCTTGTTGATCCAATCCAGTTTTTCACGCAGCACAACTGCATTTGATTGCTGAATGTTCTTTAATGAAAACTAGCGAAAAAGAAGATAAGATAGGATGTGTAAACTGTTGCCAATTTAAGTTCATGTTCATTCAGAATCGCTAAGATACTTACTGCTGCTGTCAAGCTGTCCATGTCGAATATCTCCTCAGTCGTTCCTGGATGCCATCCTAGAAGAGCGACAAAGTTGACAACCGCCTCTGGAAAGTATCCTTTGTCCTACGAACAGAATATAAGTACACATCAGACGCGTCATTAGATGGACTCGATCTATGACACTTGGCTTACGACAAAGACCAGTTACGATGCCGTACCCTGTAGTCTTCGACATTTACATCTCCTGAGCGCTTTGACAGTTTCGACTTGTCGGGGTTCAACAGCAGCGGAACATGAGCAAACTTGGGTACTTCCCAACCAAACATTTGGTAGAGCAGCACATGCTTAGGCGCTGATGGGAGCCATTCCTATATACCGCAGAGATAAGCGTAATTAAGGAAAAACATCAAGCCATACATCTACATTTCAGTATAGCAGTTGATCCATGTTACCTGGCCACGGATGACATGTGTAATACCCATGACGTGGTCGTCGACAACATTTGCAAGGTGATATGTTGGATAGCCATCGCTCTTCATCAATACAGAGTCGTCCACTTCTTTGTTCGAAAACTCAACTTTTCCATGGACTTCATCCGTGACAGTAGTCTTTCCATCTGGAACCTGTCAATTAGATAATTTGGATTAGTAATACATTATGCTCCACATAGCTAATCCGGGCATCAGATACAGTCCTCAGCGCTGAATGTACCTTCATCCTGACAACGAATGCCTCTCCATTGTCTACTCGTTCCTGTGATTCCTGTTTACTCAGCATCGCACACTTACGATCATAAGATGCTGTCCTTCCAGCCTTCTGTGCCTCAAGACGAACAAGCGACAATCGCTCCGGAGTGCAAAAGCATCGATAGGCATGGTCATGCTCGATAAGGGCGTCCGCATGTTTTCTGTATAGATCTAGCCGTTCCGACTAAGAGCAATCGTGGTACAAATCAAAGCCTGTAATTCATTTCCGAGCAGAATTAGAGTGCTTTAAATGGCAGCAATTGAAGCCTACCTGGTGATAGGGCTTGTGAGGTCCCCCGATGCCTGGACCCTCATCAAACTTGACACCTGCCCATTCCATTGCCCGAATCAAACTTTCTGCTGCGCCAGGCACATATCGCGTCTATGTGCGAACATAGTTGGATGATAAGCATGCAGGCGTCGCTGTTGAAAAAGGGCGAGATACTACGACCGAAAGCCAGGGGTTAATACCTGATCTGTGTCTTCGATTCGGAGGATACATTTTCCTCCGTTCTGTCGTGCTAGGAGATAGTTATAGACTGCCGTGCGGAGACCCCCAAGATGAAGATATCCTGTTGGCGAGGGAGCGAACCGTACTCGAGTTATTTGTGAGGTATCCTGCACTGTAGCCGTTCCTGAATTAGAATATGTCCTGTGAAAACGTGGTGCGAAAGAGTGAGGGCGGTTGCTTGCCACTAAGGCAACGCCTCTGTGCACATACACATGCACATGCATTGCTTGTGAGTTACATGAGAGGAGTACTCGAGACAAGAGTCGATTTGAATGACACAGCATGTCGAAGTCGACTTCGGAGGGGACAGGAAGGTTGATCGCAGCGCACGGTTTAGTCCTGCGAGCCGTTTTCATCGATCTGTGGGACTGTCGGGCAGAAATGAATTCGCCCTCTTCTTTCCTTCATCTAATGCCACGGATACCATGCAATGTTGCCGCTAGCCTACCGCGCAAGTTGGGTCCAGCTCCGGGGCCACTTCCCAGGATATTCAACCCAACTCGTGCGGATGCTCGCTCTCTCTTTCGGCAACTTTGGCGTGCGGGCAGCCTTTCAGTCATGTATACCAATCCTGGGCGCGATATGGTCCGAAAAAAAATCAGGGAAGCGTTTGAAGAGTCTAGGACGCAGCCAAAGACAGATACCAAGGCAATCAGGGAACAGTGGATACGAGGTATGATGGATATGTCCTTTTATTCTGCAATTGCAACGACTCAGCTCTGACACCCTTTGTTGCTTTATGTTATTTGGTTAGCACGGAACACCAAATTTTTCTTCGAAGTTGCCTCCACACGATTCGGTATCGAACACTCTATAATAAGCAACCTTACCAGGATAGCTGCAGAAAACAGTCGAGGGTAGGTATTTGACGTCAACTGTAACAGTTCACCGGTTCAGATCGAGGCCTCTAATTCATTCGTGCTTCCCTCTGCTTGCCTACCTTATAGAACATTTCGTGTTCAAAAAGCGAAGCTTCATAACGCGCAGAAAGAAGTGACAGAGGAGTACGACAGTGTCATACGCGCACTAAACGATTCCATGCGTCTTAGTCTGCGGTAACACTCCCACGCCGTCTACCTAGTATAGCGTATCTTTTTTTTTGTTTTTTTATTAAAGAGCTATGGAGCAATGTTGCAGGTTCAAATCCTGCTGAATGTTTGCGCTGCCGGAGTGTATTATTGTGTTTGTGGCTTCATGATCACTAGTCACAAAAAAAAAAGAGTAGAAAATAAACCTTGTAGCTTTTGATGTTGATTGCCACCACCATCACCACACCCAACACAAATACGACAATGCCGAAGCCAAAGGGGAAGCGACCAACTGCTGAAAAGAAGTTCGACGGCGGTGGTAGCCGAATTAAAGCTGTGAACACCTGGGATGAAATGGAACATGATTCAGAGGATGAATGTAAGCAAAGGTTTATTTTTTTGGTCCGCGCTAGAGACAAATATGTATTGTGTTGTGGAATTCTTTCACTAACAACTTGAAGCATTCTATAGTTCACGACAGCCGCGGCTCTATTCTTTTGGATCACGAACAGGATCTAGAGCGTCGTCAGTACGATGAGTATGAGGGCAGCGAAGAGGAAGTTTTTGGTTTAGAAGGCGATGAAGACGACGAGGAGGATCTCAGCGACCTGGATGCCGACCTTGATCGTAAAGATGATGAGGAAGAGTTGGATCTCGATAGTAAGTTAACGACTGTACTTAAGGCTTTATGGCTCATCATCGCTGTCACCATATCTGGCCATTTACCGATTATCGCAACTATTTCTTTCTTTCTTTCTTTATTTTTTTCATTAGAGACATCCTGGGGTAAAACCAAGCGCAGTTACTATAACGCCGATGAAATCGAGTCTGATGACGAAACTGCCAAGGCAGAAGAGGAGGAAGCCCTGAGGCTGCAAAAGAAGCGCCTGGCCGAAATGTCAGAGGAGGATTTCGCTCCTGAAGAGGAAGAGACTGCCTGGGGAGCTGCTGCTGGACGTGGTGCATTAGGCGACAAAGATGCAGACCGTGCACTAGTGGAGGGCTTTGAGAAGGAGTTGCAGGGGATTGATTTGTTGAAGGCCAAACAAGGAGGTGTTGTTGTCGAAAAGATTGCAAAGGCTGGCATCAGCAAACTGTCCAAACAGGAGATCTTGAAGGTGCTTCAGAACCAGAGCCCAGAATTGCTTGATTTGGTGGAGGAATTCAAGGAGAAGATCGAGATATTGCAAGCTATCGCAGAATTACTTCAGCTTACCAGCTCACTCTCTAAGCCCTACCCTGACGACAAGGCGCCGATGCCCTTCCTTCACCTGAAATACCAGACCCTGATCAGTTACCTCACCAATATCGCCTTTTATATCACACTCAAGACGACACCGGAGACAGACTCTACGGATCTCACAAATCATCCTGTCATCGATGCACTGTACGAGCTGAAGAAGGCGATTGTCAAGTTAGAGAAGATGGAAAAGAAGAAGGCGATCGCTGATAGCATGGAGGAACTCTTAGAGGTCTTGGAGAATGGTGGCGAATCAGACGCAGATACGGATGAGGAGGACGAGGAAGAGATACGGCGTTTGATGGAGAAAAAAGCCAATGCACGGAAAGTTTCCGTGAAGGGTAAGAAACTCCAGAATGAGGCTAACAGCAAGACAGCAAGGAAGACCGCTAAGTCAAAGGAATTCGAATATAACGTGGATTTCGAGGAAGAATTCGTATCACACAGCAAAAAGTCCAAGAAGGACGCCAAGTCAATATCGACTGACAAGAAGCGCCGGATGGAAAGTGATTATGGCGATCTGGATGAGTTGCTGGATGTGGATCTGGAGGACAAGGCACAAAAGAAGCGATCCCTTCGAGATTATGTCGCTAAGCTGGATCAAAACGCCAACAAGCGATCCAAAATTCTTAAAGGCTCCGGTGACACCGATATCCCATACCGCGAGAAGTTCAAGGATCGTCAAGAGCAAATGAAGAGACAGGCAGTCAAGAGTGCACCCGCACCCGAGAACACAGAGCTGGACGACCTGGAGTGGGACGCCAAGGATATGGCCGACGCACGTCGTGTGGGCAGCGGAGACAATGATGATATCTTTAGCGACGGTGAAATGCCTGGGCGTGGTGGACGTGGTGGACGTGGCCAGGAGGAGCGGGAGGGTGTGGACTATTACCAGGAGGTGATTAATGCCAAGGAGGCCAAGAAGGCTGCCCGCAAGGCTTTGAACGAAAGTTTGGAGAAGAGGTACTATTGTACTTGCAACTATTCCTGTACTGCGCTGTTCTTGTGTGAAATCTGGTCTAACCTATTACTTGACTTTTTTACATACAGCACGTCATTCGAAGATACCAGCATCGATCCCAGCGACAAGCGCTCGATTTCATGGCAAATCCTCAAGAACAAGGGTCTCACTCCTCATCGGAAGAAAGAGCAGCGCAACCCAAGAGTCAAGCACAGGAACAAGTACGAGGCGGCCAAGAAGAAGATCAAGTCCGTCAAGCGTGTCTTCACCAGACTGGAGGGTGCGTACGGAGGAGAGAAGACTGGTATCAAGACCGGTCTCGCACGCAGTGTCAAGTTCTCTTGAAAGAGCAATTTCGCGTTCCATTCATAATAAACCGCATAGACAGCATCGTATTATCATCATCGATATCATTGATTAGACTCTCTCTCCCCAGCTCGCTGATCCAGGGGTAGACAATCACGTGAACCTGCACGTACATACGATAAGCAGGTACAGGAGACATACTGGGGATGGTTCTTTTCAGTTTTTCCTTCCGCTTCTTCTTCTCTTCTACCTCCACCTGCTTGTCCATTCCACCAGCTGCAGCACTTTGCTGATCTTACCGTCGGTCCTTACCCTTGTCCATATTGTTACGCATTCGAACAACTTTAGTTTGATTCTTGTTATTTATTTGGTGAGTAGATGCAAGGGGAAGATTAATATGGTCCCTGTAAAACTTGCTTTGGACCATGGCATGCCACGCGCGTGTTTATTTTTTTCTATAATTTGGATCACCGGGGCGAAATCTCCTTCCTGCAGTCGGTGCTGCTTTTCTCTCTCCTACGTCTGCAACACAGCCTCAACTCACTCTCAACCGTTTTTCTGACTCACAGGCACAAGGAATCTACTCTGGACCAGACCCTTTTTGTACAATCGCTTGATTCTTGCACTCAACCCTTTTCACGGCCCGACTCGATTGTATAACTCAACAAAATGAATGACTTGATTCCGCTCGTTAACAAGCTTCAGGATGTCTTCAACACCATCGGAAGCGACCAGATCGACTTGCCCCAGATTGTCGTTGTCGGATCCCAGTCGTCTGGAAAATCGTCTGTCCTAGAGACCATTGTCCAGAAGGACTTTTTGCCAAGAGGCAATGGCGTTGTCACTCGTCGTCCTTTGGTCCTGCAGCTTGTCAACACGCACATTAGAAATATGCCACCTACGTCAGGTTCCTCGGAAAGCACACTGAACGATGCCCCTGACCGTGCAGAGTTCCTGCATTTGCCCAACAAGCAGTTCTTCGACTTTGAAGAGGTCCGGAAGGAGATTGAAGTCGAGACAGCCCGTGTTGCTGGGCAGAACAAGGCTATTTCAAGGACGCCTATCCACCTCAAGATCTTTTCCAAGAACGTCTTGAACCTGACCCTTGTCGACTTGCCAGGAGTGACGAAGGTACGAATTTTTGTTCTCGGCATTATCATATTCCTCTGCTTGGCTGTGTAGCCCTGTGTCTTTTAAGAGTCATTCTGCTCAACTTATTGCGTTCTCTTTCATCATATCAATCTAATCATGCTAGATTCCTGTTGGTATGTGCCTTCATCAACATGGGCATAGATTGCCCTTATGCCTTTGGTAGTTACGGCTGGGCGGTTTACTATTTTATTTCCTTTTCCGTTTTCCCTGATTGGTGTTTCTGTTTCCAAATTTCGTCTCCGACTCGACAATCAATTAGGTGACCAACCCACCGATATTGAGAAGCAGACCCGCAATCTGATCCTAGACTACATTCTCAAGCCCAACAGGTGAGTGTAGGAATGCAAATTTTTACTGTCCATGCTCCTACTATATTTGTCTGGAGGCAATGATGGAATTGCGACGACAGTAATACTGACGTTTCCTTGCTGTCTTATGTTTGTGTTCTAGTGTCATTCTTGCTGTGTCACCTGCCAATGTCGACCTTGCCAACTCGGACAGTCTCAAGCTTGCGCGTCAGGTGGATCCTGAAGCAAAGCGCACGATCGGTGTCTTGACGAAGCTGGATCTCATGGATGCAGGAACCAACTCGCTCGACATCCTCTCTGGACGAGCGTATCCCATTAAGCTGGGTTTCATCGGCGTCGTCAATAGAAGTCAGGCGGATATCCAGAACAACAAGCCCATGGCTGATGCCTTTAAGAGCGAAACTGAGTTCTTTCAAAATCACCCAGCCTATCGTGCAATTGCTCATCGCTGCGGTACAACCTTTTTGGCTAAGACGCTCAATACGGTATGTCTATCATAATGATGCTATCAGCATATCAGTATAGCGATTTGATGAACAACTCAACAAGGCGTCACTCACACTCGTCTTCATGCTCTCTAGATTTTGATGAACCACATTCGTGACAAACTGCCAGATATCAAAGCCAAGCTGAACTCATTGATTGGACAGACCCAGCAAGAACTGACCTCATACGGAGATCCATCATTTACCGGCACGGCCCACAGAGTAAGGCTACGTTATTGATCGATCACCCCCGCGTTTTTTGACACTGAATGCGAACCGGACACCTAACCTCCGTTGCTTTATTTTCTAATATAGGGCACATTGATCCTGCAATTGCTAACTAAATTTGCGAGCGACTTTGTTGCTGCCATTGACGGAACTTCTGCGGACATTTCGACAAAGGAGTTGTGCGGAGGCGCAAGAATTTATTACATCTTCAATAACGTCTTTGGCGCTGCCCTCGACTCTGTGAACCCATGCGAGAACTTGTCCGTGCAGGACATTCGCACCGCGATTCGCAACTCTACAGGACCCCGTCCTTCTCTGTTCGTACCAGAAATTGCATTCGATCTTTTGGTCAAGCCCCAGATCAAGCTCCTCGAGTCTCCAAGTTTGAGATGTGTTGAGCTCGCGTATGAAGAGCTGGTCAAGATTTGCCATAACTGTGGCGGAAAGGTAATTAATATCACTATGTTTTCTGATCTATAAATGGCGTTTGAGATCTATCCTGGACAATCTGATGCCAATATAGCTACAATCTTTTTAGAACCTCGTACGTTTCCCTAGATTTCACGCCAAGTTGATCGAGGTTGTGTCGGATCTTCTTCGCGAACGTTTGGGACCTACCTCGGAATATGTTGAGAGTTTGATCAGCATCCAGCGCTCGTATATCAATACCAATCACCCTGACTTCATTGGTGGTGGCGGGGCTATGTCTGCGCTCGAGAGGGCTTCTCAGAAGAAGAAGAAGAAGGAGATTGAACGGACAAGGAGGTTGAGCACCGTCAACATGGTCCTCACTGGCAGCAGCGGCGACTCGCCCAGCACCCGGGAAGAGAATGGCGAAAAATCGGTTACCAGCGCTATGAACAACTTGACCGTCCAGGCTGCTGAAAGGGGTGACCGTGAGCGGGAGCGCGAGAGATCGGGCCACGTTTCGCAGCATGGTGGACCCAACAGCGGCTCGATCTCGTCTTTGAACGGATCGCCCCAGGGAGCGAACGCGGGAGGCAAAGACACTTTCTTGAACTACTTCTTCGGCGGGCCCCAACAGCGCATGGATCGCCCTGTTCTGGAAGAGAACGTCCATCGATCGAGCAACGTCCACAATGTTGCAAAGGAAATGGTTATGCCCAAGACTGTCCTCGATGGCGAGCCCCTTGACTTTGACAAGAAGCTGGACCATATGACGGACACAGAGGAGTTTTTAAACCTGAATGAGCGTGAGGACATGGAAACCCAGCTCATCCGTAAGTTTCATGTTAACGGCTAGTTTCTTCATCCCGATGCTCTGGAGCAAGTTGACTAATTCATCATGCTGCTGATATGCCTTTTATCTCTTTCTAGGCTCCTTGATCGTATCGTACTTCAACATCACTCGTAAATCGATCCAGGATTTGGTTCCCAAGGCTGTCATGCACCTGCTTGTCAATTACTCGCGTGAGTCCGTGCAGAACCGCCTGGTTGCAACGCTGTACAAGGAAGAGCTGTTCAATGAATTGCTCCAGGAGGACGACAACCTGTGTGCGGAGCGTGCAAAGTGCAAGGCTATGCTCGACGTCTTTAAGAATGCTTTCACAATCATTAATGAGGCCATGTAGAGAAAATCATCCCCGCTCCTTTTTCTTCTTTGTTTCCGTTTGTCATCATAAATCATACATAAAGTCATTTTCTGCACGATTGTTGTACCAAACTGTCAGAACAATAATGGCTCATGTTGATGAGGGCGCGGCTGGCATATGCCTCACGGCTTTATTAGAGAATTACCATTGATGTTGAACAGCTCCAGCGATTTATCGCTTCTAATCCAATGCCGAAAGATATTACTGAATAGGCGCTCCTTGCTAGCAACATGATCCTTGGCAAGAGTCTTCCATTCGCCATAGGAAATACTATCGGCCTTCAAAGATACCCTCATACTGCAAACAAGGTCGCGTTTCTCCATTCGCCTTGACGCTGACTCTGGAAGGCAGTTCCAAAGATCGGCGCTGCTTTTAAACATGTTGATTTTGCAGACCCTACTCCGGGACTTTGGCTGCAAAGGTTGCTTGGCCGAGGCCCCAGCTTTGCACCCATTGACAAGGACTTCTGCAGTCGATGGTTCAGAAGCAATCCATGAAATACCTATTTGAGCAGATTCAGCAACTTAGACACAGTAACAAGGGGCTGTCAAACTTCAGGAATTCATTTAACAACGTACTTGTGGAGCAGGCAACGGGAGGGACCGTAATGCCTTCTTTTTCGCTTCGTGCTGATACCGCTTCCTTGCCAAATTCAAACGAGGCGGGGCTCTGGTAGACTTGAACCCGATGGAAATGATATGATCCGCTATCAGGATCAGATACAGCTGGGCCGGCTGTGCACTCGCAGCTCTTAATTCTCTCGTTTAGTGCCCTGTCCAGAGCAGTAGCATCAAATAGTTCACGAGCAATGACGGACTGTAGGTAGATCGACCCTAGAAACGGCGCCACCAATGCGGAAGTCAGTCCAAGGACATTCCAGCGCGCAATCTTGTCTGAGCAGGACATGGATGCTGTTGGTTCAGAGTCGACTCTTCCTGGTTTCGTCCGCAGCACGCCCACGGAATCATAGTCAATGCGCCCGCGTCGAAATCCAAGGGCGTGGTGGCATGTTTGTTGAGACTGTGTTGACCCGACTGAAGGCATATCCAGCTTTGTTTGTTTTGGAGGAGGAGGAGATGATAGATCTATAGCCTCAATCTCTGTCGAATCAAGTGGACGTTTCGTTCGTAAAGACTGGGCACCCTGATCATGCCCCTGCCTGTCTTCGATTCCAGCTGGCGGTGCCTGTGCCTGTTGTGTCTTAACCCGTGCTTGCTGGCCGTTCATGAACGCGTTCCTGGACTCCTCTGTTTGGGTCTGAGCGAGACTGGATGTTGTAGCATCACCACCTGTCCATACATCGAACAAAGTAAAGACGCCAGTCAGCATATATATTAACACGAATATGGAACCTTTATCCCTCAGGATGAGATAGGTTGAGCTCCGCAAATAAATGATGCTTGGCTATTATACATACAGGGGGCTTGACTGACATAAAGATGAAACTGGGTCCTCGGATCCGCGAGCTGGAAAAGAGGTCCTTTGTTTAATGGAGTATCCTGATTCCCAAGGTATCGAAATCTGTTGGCCATGTTTTCGGGATAACTAATACAGGCTTGCATTTCCGAGAGGCACCACCTAATGTCAGAGAAGATGGCATCGAGATTAGCGATACCGCCGATAATAGTAGGAGATATCAAGGAACGAAGGTTTCATCTACACGTACTTGTTGAATCCTCGACGTGCTAGAACTTCCGCATGACAATCATTTACTAAATCACCCCGAGGACTCAGCTTGCCCTGAGGCAAACATCTACTTCCCGTACTATAGTTATTTCATAAAGATCTTTGTGCGTCAATTCCGTTGATCTGTTCCCCAGGATCATGCGGCATTATGGCGCTCCTTGAGTACAACTGCAAGTGTTAATTACGCCAGTGATATACATTCGACCTCCCAGGATTCATCTGGCTCATCTGTGTTGTCCAGACATGTGCCGCCATTGATATCTGAGATCTTGCTCAAAGCCGGTGCGGTAGGAGTGGCAAGAACTATTCCCGCAAGTATAGTCCATTCTGCCTGGCCATTGCTCTTTCTGGATGGTTTTCCGTGCTTTGGCAGTCTATTGAACTGGTCATGGCACTCCCGTGCTATCCCATGAATCAATTCCTGCGATGGATACCGAGGCATTTCTTGGGTAAAAGTTCGGTGGAGAAAGAACGAGAAAGATACCGTGGCGATGTTCAAATGTTGGTTGTTGCACGTGACTTTACTAGGAAAACTGAAGAAAAGGAAAGAAAGCAGATCAGGCCAAAGAACACGGCATCAACCATCCAGCACCTCCCTCAACGATTGTTGTCCAGGAATCATGGCCGATTCGCAACCAAAAAGCCCGTGGGTCGAGTACACGCATCAGGATGGACGCAAATACTACTACCACCCTGTGACAAAGCAGACTGTTTGGCAGAAGCCTGATGAGCTCAAGACGCCCAAGGAGGTACGTCGCAACAACAAACATCATGAGCTCCTGCGCATTTTGCACTATACACTATTCAGTGAACTGGTAGGCTAATAATTCAGGTATTACAATTACAACTGTTCAATATGTTAGCTGGCTCTGGAGGCAAGTCCCTGGAAAGAATATACAACTCCCGAAGGAAAAAAATATTATCATAATGCAGCCACCAAAGAAACCGTCTGGACCGTGCCGGAGGAATACAAGGCCTTGCTGGATCAGCTGAAAGAAGAAACAAAGGCGAAGGAGACAGCAGCACCAGTACAACCGCCAGTCAAACCCCAGACACCAACCTCGTCCTCCGTGGTTTCGACGCCCTCGCCCCTGCGACATCAGGCCATCCCACCAGGAACGCAACCAGCCTCCTCTCAACTTCATCACAACCCGCAGCTTCCACCACAACAACAAATCGCACCTATCCTAACGAGAGATCACCCCGGATCAGATCCCATGCGTAGCAATGGTCCGCCATTTTTAACCCCACAGAATCCGGGAGCAAGGCCACCTTTCGCACATCAACAGGGAGCCCGGCCACCACGCTTCCAGCAGTCGTTTGTTCCATCCGAGGGCGGTAGTGGTCGTGGTCGTGACAGGAACATGGATGAGATACCTGAATTCTCGACTAAAGAGCAAGCTGAGGATGCATTCAAGAATATGCTGAAGGAAACTGTAAGTTGCATGGTCGATCTGACTCACAAGTATACAGTATGGGAGCGTCTGAAAACTTATTACGAGCTCACCTCAAAAACAAATAGGGAGTTACCTCAACGTGGACCTGGGAGCAAACAATGCGTGCAGTGGTCACCAACCCTATGTATCGGGCACTCAAAACTACAGCGGAGCGAAAGACTGCCTTCCAGGAGTACGTGGACGATCGTCGTATCCAGGAGAAGCTGGAGGAGAAGGCACGTCAACAAAAACAAAAACAAGACTTCTTGGATCTGCTCAAGAGTAGCGACAAGGTCACGCATGCGAGCCGATACACAACGATCTCGAGACTTTTTGCAGAGGAGCCAGCTTTTAAGTCCATCGAGGGTGATCATTATCGGCAGTCGATTTTTGATAGCTACGTGGGAGAATTGATCCGACAGGAGAGAGAGGATGCACGGCAGAGACGAAAGTTCGGTACTGCTGCCCTCACAGCACTGTTGCAGTCCATGGATGAGATCACGTTGACGACGCGTTGGTCCGAGGCGAGAGAGCTGCTGCAGGAGAAGAAGGAGTACAAAGAGTCTGAGACGATACAAGTGTTGCACAAGATGGAGCAGCTTACGATTTTTGAGGACCATATTAAGCAATTGGAGAAGGATTATGATCAGAAGCGTGCTCGCGAACGCGTATTACGCAAGCGAACGGAGCGAAAGCGGCGCGAGGCACACAAGGAGCTGCTGGTAGAGTTAAGGAGTAAAGGGCAGTTGAATGCCAAAACCTGCTGGATGCAGATTCACCCGCAGATCAAGGACGATTCACGGTACCAAGACATGCTCGGGCAGCCTGGCTCGACTCCCATGGAACTGTTTTGGGATATGATTGAGGATCTGGATGAGAAATTGTACCAGGACCGCAAGATGATTCAGGATCTAATGAAGGTATGATATACAATATTTTTTCGTGTTCAATCTACGCATGGAGGCGCATGTTACTGAGGCTCTTGGCTTTCGATAAATAGAGCATTGACTACGAGGTTCAACCGGAGACGACATTAGACGAATTTTGCGCAGCAATCACAAAGCAGGAGAAGGCCGTCCATGTGCCGGCTGAGGATCTTAAGCTGATTTTTGAGCAGCTTTTGGGCAAAGCAGTTCATCATGCCAAGGAAGAGAAGCGACGTCAGGAAAGGTTGGCGCGCAAGAAGGCAGAGTCCTTCAGATTTATGCTCAAGTCCTTGAGCCCACCGGTCACTGTTGAATCGAAATGGGACGATGTCAAAGCGAAAGCAGAGTTAACGCCCGAGTTCGCTTCTCTTGAAACGGACGACAAGCGGAAAGAGGTTTTCGACCGGTACATTGAGCGACTCAAGGTACCAAGATGTCTCTCAAGACAACCGTCATTGGATTTACAAGGCTATATCGTTGCCTATGTTCAATGTACTGATACTCGCGTGCATTCATTCCTTTGTCGCTGTAGGAGAGGATCGCCAAGAACCACGACAGTGACGAAGAAGACGGCTCAATTTTGGAGGACGATGCTGATTACTATAGCAAGCGCTCATCGTCAGATCGCAAGAGGCATGCACCGAGTAGCAGCAGTAGCTATAGCAAACACCACAGCAGTAGTCATCATCACCACCACAGTAGCCACCACTCAAGCGATGATCATCATCGACGGAGCACTAGTGGACTCGACCATTCGCCCTTGGCGCCCCCAAGGAGCTCACAGCAAAATGGAAAGCATACCAGAGGCGGTACTGCCAGCGCTGATTCAGGAGCTGAGGATGAGCACGGACATCCAGCAAAGGTGAATAATACTTGTAAAAATGAAATCTCTTTGCATGTTCTTTTTCTTTCTTTTTTATGCTGTGTGCTGACGCCTGTTCTCTTCACACTTTCGTGTATAAACGTGGGTAGAAATCGAGAACTGCAGGAGATGGTACTCATGCTGAGGCCATGAAATCTAAAGCAGAGACAGCGCCGGCTGTCGGGGAAGAAGAAGGCGAGGTCATAGAAACGCCTGCTCATTAATAAAGCATCTTGGGCTTTTGCTGCCTATGCCCGCCATACCTTCTAACAATCATGCTTTTGACGAAGTGAACACTCCGTCCGATTTCGCCTTGTAAACATCAATCAAGGCAGTATGAAGAATGCTTCTAAAGGTATTTTTAATTTTCGTTAAAAATAAAGGATTTGAACAACTGAGATGGAGGAGAGTGTTTTTATGATAGTAAAAGAGGAGGGAAGACGTGCGATGGGGGAGAAGAAAAAGAAACGAGAAAGAAGCGTAGGTACATCCTTCAAGTTTCATCTCGTCATGCACATAAGGGAAGACTGGGACAAAAAATATGACAGAAGATCATATTTAGGCCTTGGCAGAGGAGGCGATCTTCTCGACCTGGCTGATGGACTCGTCCAAAATCTTGGACTGGAGCTTGGGGTCCTGGAGATCGGCCTTGATCTTCTCGATCATGTAAGCAGCCAACTTGCTCTGCTCGCGCTCGCGAACAGAGGTCTCGTAGCGGACCCAGGAGTCGAGGACAGACTTAACCTCGCTGGTGAAGGCGGTCTTCTGCTTGAGCTCAAAGGCCTCAGCCTCGAGCTGGGCGGTCTCCTTGGAGAGGGCGTAGAGGGCCTTGGTGACATCAACGACGTCCTTCATCTGGCCGACCTGGTCAATGCGCTCCTCGACAGCGAGCTTGTGGTCAACGCGGGCCTTCTGAAGAACACTGCGGATCTTGTTGATGTGGCCATCAGCCCACTCGTTGAAGGGCTCACGAGCAGCCTTGACGATACCGCCAAAGGTGGCAGCGAAGGCAAAGAGGACCAAGGACTCCTCGTTGAAGACATAGATCTCCTTGGAGATCAAGTAGGTAGCAGCGCCGGTGAGGGCGGTGACATAGGCAGTCTTGGAGAGCAAAGAGTTGCCGGGAAGCGAGTCGATAATGCTCTGAGCCTTGTTCTCGGGAGATACCTGCTTCTCTGTTGACAACAACGCATAAATGAAGCTAGAAGGTCAGTTTTCCATGCTCAGAGTGATTTTTCCTGGTCAATTGATCCGTCTGGCTGGTGTAGCTGTAGCATCCATGCTATTGGCATTTGCGACGCGTTGAAAGATATCCAGGCTATGGTGACTAATGTCGATTATTTCAACTGCTCCAAATATATTCCTGGCAAGTCCTGTCCTAAAAATTATAATATGCATCGTCGAATCGATAGTCCTTGCGCGGATTCCTGTAGTAGCGTGACGAGGTTCAAGATCAACGCAACGGTCGTGATGCTAACCTTCGGTGGAGGTCGCCATGTGACGGATGCTGTATTGATCAGGGAGAAAAGAGGAACCGATTAGGGTCTATTTGACGTCACAATCCATAGCGACTCAACGCGAAGTTAGCCGATCTCATTAACCGGGATCAAGCAATACGTACGCAACAGAAGCGGTGGAGCGCTGGGCAGCGAGCATGGGGCGCACGGCGGCGACTATTTCGTGGGAAGGAAAAGGATCGGGGCGAGATGCATTAGTCGAAGCGCGAAAGAGGCGACATAGATTCGAGTGGGCGTTTGTCGCGGTTATGGATCAGAATGGATTGACGGAGGTGAGAAAAAGTGCCGATGAGGTAGGGAAATTTAGAGAAAGGAGAAGAGATCCGAGGAAATTGATGGTGTAGTGTGTTTGAATGCAAGTGCAGAATAGATCAGAATCGAAAGAACCGAATCAACCCGGTCGCTGCGAATGTGTGCTTGTGGGTGATGGGATGAAGCGTATTGGAGGTGTGTCGGCTGTGTGTGCGTGTCGATATGAAGGATGACCTGGGGATGTGCGATGGAGTTCGATGATGTGTGTCATACCCGAGGAGCTCTTGGTCAAAAGTCGAAGGGCCATGGTGGGAGCGAGCGATGAGATGAAAGTGATGGAGAGTGGGGAGAGAGGAGAGAGAGGGGAAAAGAATATTATTTCAGGGCGGGCAGTACAGCACTCTAGCACGGACGACATAGGATACGGAACGACCACACAGACCCAAACAAAGCAAACGTCATCCGTATCTGCTCTTATCGTACTTCCTACCGCTGCCTCCATCTACAATTGGGATTCGGAGCAGTCACTTCCTCCCCTCACTGTAAACAATTTCTCGGACGAGCTCGAGCTTGAACCTGCTGTCTTGACCTGCCCTGAAAAGGTGGACACTCACGAAAGAACACTCCACGACCGACTCCTTCTTATTCGAATTCGCCAAGCCGTCCACTTTCATTACATCCATTATTGCTCCACTCCGTCTACCGGTCAATACTTAGTCATGGCACACAGATTATTAACCTCGACTCCGCTGTTGTCCAGGACTCAGCAGACCCTTGCCGCGCGTGTAAGGGCTGCCGTGCCTGCTCAGTACGCCAACTATGTCACTGCTTCAACCGTCGTTATGGCAGGTGGAAAGGCCAAGAAGGGTACCGTTGACACTCAAGTACCGCTGCAAGAAACGGCGGCGTGAGATATATCAATGAAATTATACTTACGATGGTCCTTTTCTGATCTGATCCGGTCGATATAGCCTCTGCGCCTGTCCGCGCCAAGGGGCAGGCCAATTCCTTCCGCAGGAAGAAGGTCGACGATGAGGGTAAAAATGAGGTAATTCAGGCACATCATGGAATAGCAACGGATGTAACCAGGGCGACACATTTGATATCATACATCGGAAATAAAACTAACTCGGGATGGAATCTCTGATCCGGACGACAACCTATTGTTCATGCATATCTAGGGCGCAATCGGAGGAGCCGGACGCTTGAACGAGAAGTACTATAAGCCCGCGACACCTGTCAAGGTCGATGAATTCCTTCCCGTAAGTCAGATATGCTTCTGTAGAGTCCGTGCAGATCAGATCGAGATACCGTAATATCATGCATGTTCAAGCCTAATGCTATATGAATAATATATTACAGTCAACTGCCACCAAGGAGCACATCGGTCAAGTTCTCGGCTTTCCCTCGGCGGTTCTCCCAGCATTGAGCCAGACCTCATATCCTACTCTATTGAGCGAACAGGTACTGCAATGGACGAGCGAGAGATAGTCAGCCTTGAACAAGCGTCAGGAACAAAGTCAGAAATCGGCAATCTAACCTTTTCTTTTGTCGAATTACAACTTTCTAGTTTGCTCTGATCAAGCCTGCGGCATTGGTTGTCCGTGAACCGACTGTCGCTTTGCTTGAGAGAGTCGATAAGGCTATGAAGACCCCTTCGTCCCAGAGCAGGATTGTTCTTACTGGGGATTCAGGATCAGGAAAGAGTGCATTGTTGCTTCAAACTGTCAGCCACTGTCTCTCGGCTGGATGGGTCGTCGTTTATGTCCCCAAGGGTACGACGCTGAGTGCTTAACGGGATGGGATGCCATGGATGATTTTTATTTGTCGCAGTAACTGATCGACACCTTGTCGTATATTTCTTTCACGTGCTATAGCTAGTACTTGGATGAACAGCTCTTTCGCATACAGTAAGGCGGCCAACTCAACCTCTTTCGTCCAGCCCTTGCTTGCTTCTAATCTCGTTGGCCAGATTAACAGTGTCAACAAGTCTGTGCTGAGCAAGATCGTCACCTCTGAGAAGGTCAGGGTTGGTCGTCACGAGATTGAGAAGGGAACGACATTATCAGCTCTTCTCGAAACTGGTGTCAAGGACCAGTTCGCTGCTCAGGATATCATGGAGGTGTTCATGAAGGAGATGAGTGCCCAGAAGGAGTATGTTTTGCTTAAATGTTTATTTCTGAAATCATGCCCTATTGCCGTGTGGAGATGCATATGTCTTTTGAAATTCTATAGACTAATTCTGGCACATACTATACTCATATTTTCTATAGGATTCCTACTCTGATTGCAGTGGACGAGGTTAACGCTTTCTTCCGCTCCACACAATACTTGAGCCAGGATGGTGAGGAGCTCGACCCTGAGCACTTGAAGTTGCCCAAGCTGTTCTTGAACTACATTTCAGGAAAGAGCTCGTTCGAGCACGGTGCTATTGTCGCCGCCATAAGCGATACTCTTCTGGCTAACAAGAGCGAGCTCCTTGAAATTGCGCTGGGCATTAAGGAGGTCTCACCCTATAAGAAGCTTTCGCCGACGATCATGCCCTGGACCGAGGGACTGGCTAGGATGGACGTACCGAACTACACGAGGACAGAGGCCAAGGGAGTCTTTGACTATTACAGAAAGGGCAATATCTTTTACGATGGTGAGTGACGATCTGTCCAGGCTCAAACATAATTATGATCTACGATCGAGCGGCGATCGAGCTACCTTTAAGGAACGGAACCACTAATCATGTATTTGGTTCTTTTATGGTCATGATAGCTGCATCAGAATCCCTGTTCCTGAACAAATTTATCGCATCGGCCGGCAACCCCCGCAAATTCTTCACAGCTTGCGCAAAAGGAGTCTAAGATGGAAGATCATAGAACATGAGCATAGGATGGAAGGCATGGAAGGAGGAATGTGTAATCATAGAGGTTATTAACGTGTGGATTAGGGTGCACAATAAACAATCGCATACAACTAAATAGCTCAGTACATTTGCATTATACTTATTCCTGCTCATTCGCGCAAAAGATACCATCATTATCACCATCCAGATCAATTTGCACATTTATAAGGTTACCGCCAAAAGACCAGCCAGATCGATCGGTCCACTCGGTGCACGCGTGTATGCTGCATACTGGTTTCACAGCCATTTAAGGTTTAAGCACTCGATCGTAGATCGATTCCATTGTACTGGGCAAGTATGACCATGAATGCGTATTCTTTGTCTTGGCAAAACACTTCACGCCTTGGCTATTTTTCACCATAGCGTCATCTTTCAACACGGAGATGAGGCGAGGTAGGATGGAAAAAGAGTCGAAAGACAGCAGCGTGGCGTGTTTAGTGTGTATTTTGTTTTGTGTAATGGTCGTATACTCGGTAAGTTTTGTACATGATACAATTCTTCATGCAAGCAACCGTGCATCCATTGATTTGTAATAAGGACAGGACGCCCACTGCTCTTGGCAGAGGAAAAGAACAAAAATGACGCGTCCGGTCCTGATCAGAGCTCAGACGGGCGCAACGCCATTGGGGCCACAGCTATCAAACCAAGCCAAGCAGAACAAACAACGCAGCAGCGCGCCGCCCTTGCTGCAATCAGAAGGGTAATGGTGTGCGAGCTTGCAAGCTCTTAGTTCTCCAAGTCTTCAGTTGCCATAGGTATTGAAGATTACAAGATCTATCCTAGACCTTTACCGAACAATCGCGTATAAAAAGGAACGGACGATCCTCCCTTAGCTCTCCTCATCTTCAAGTCTTTCAACTCAAGCACAACTACCCAGCAAACAATAGAAACCAACTCAAACCAGCAAAAACATATTCACCATGACCCACGACAACAAGGTTATCTCCAACACCCGTGTCCTGATCTCCAAGATCCCCGAGGGCATCGCACCCAACAAGAGCCACTTCCGATCTGTCACCATCACCGAACCTGCGCCTGTTCTCAAGGAGAACGAGATCTTGGTCCAGAACCTGGTTTTCTCTTTAGATCCTTGTATGACTTTACCTGACTATGCCATGATGACCAGATCCCTGCTTATCCATTAATCCCTAGTTCACCATTCGCCGTTTATTGTTTTGATCCAGACATCCGATACGAGTTCCCCGAAGGCGCAACTGAATCACCAGTGCTCGGATTCTGTATCGCCCAAGTGATCGACTCCAAGAACCCAGCGTTCCCTGTGGGTGCAAAGGTCAGCTCACCCTCGCACTGGGAGCAGTACACCCATATTCGCGACCCTTATTACCTGAGTGAGGTTCAAGCTTTGGGTGACATTGTCGATCCCAAGATCCCGCTATCGGCCTACAATGGCGTCCTAGGTGCGCCTGGATTTACCGTATGGGACTCGCTCAACTCGATTGGAAATCTCAAGAAAGGAGAAACTATTTACATCTCCAGTGCTGCAGGGTATGAGCTCTTCGGAGAGGATGTTTATTTCAGCGCAACCCTTTGGATCTAAAGTACGGTGAACTCATCTCTCTATCTCTTCTTCTTTTTTTTTTACCAGAACTCTAGGCCAGCTTGCCGGTCAGCTTGCCAAGCGCAAGGGTCTCCGTGTCATCGGTTCGGCGGGTACGGACGAAAAAGTCGCCTTCCTCAAGAACGAACTTGGATTCGATGCCGCTTTCAATTACAAAACCCTAGACAAGCGTGTCGCCTTGACCGAGGCCGTTGGCAAAGCCGGCCTCGACATCTACTATGATCTGGTCGGTGATGACACCGTCGAGATTGCGCTCGATCTCCTCAACCAACGCGGCCGCATTCTTGCCGTCGGTATTCTGGCGGCCCATCAGAACAAGGAGCCCTATGGGCCCAAGAACTTGGCCCAGATTGTGTTCAAGCAGCTGCGTTACGAAGGCTATGTGGTCTTTGGTCAGTATGAGAACCTGGGCAAGTTTTATGAGGAGGTGACGCCCTTGGTCGCAAGTGGGGAGATCAAGTATAAGGAGACCGTGCTGAACCAGGGAGTCGAGACGATTGGAGAGGTATATGCCAATTTCTTGAGTGGCGCGTATGTCGGCAAGGTCAATGTTCAGATCGCCGAGCTTTAAAGAGCATATGACCAGCAGAGTCAACGCATTGATCATTGATGCATTGGCTGGATACGGTATTGTTGAATAAAGTAAAGATACACTATTGGCGGCAAAATACCTACAGGAATTATTTAATGAGGATGGCAAATATGGCAATGATGGCGCGGATATTTCGTTCACTTAGGATTATGTGTGCATGGAGCGTACGCATGCTTGTATAATGTAGAATCCCAGTCAGAATGGTTGCGCTTTTAGGATTGGTACGACATTCCTTTGGACGCTATTCAAAAAGTTAGCTCGTTGGCAACTCTAGAAGGATGAAATATGAAATGAGGGATATTCTATGGTATAATGCTCTGAACGACATTTATTGGCAAGAGACACTCATAACTACTCGACAATGCATTCAACCCCTGGTCGCATCTTCCTGAGATAGTCTTGGACCGTTTGGGCTTGACCGCGCCTGTCCGTACGCTGAGAAATTACAAAGCGCTCCAGTAATGGCCAACGGATACGACTATTCATTGCTGATACTTTGCTTCCATCCCTTCCACCATGACTGCTGCTACTAGAGCTACCGGAGCTGCTGCGTCGATGATGCCGTGGTTTCGCTGAGAAATCCGCTCTAACCAGGAGCCCCAACTTCTGCAGTTTGCTCTTATCCATGGCTCTACAATCATCATACCCAAGCCATTCATACCGTGACCGAAGACTTCTCTGCAGCCTCGAATCATTTGAGGACATCCTGTTCATGATCCTCTGGATTATTGTCGGCTCATTGTTCATCCAACTGAAATCCCATAAATGCAAGGCCTCCAGCGACGTCGTTTTGATCTCTAACATCTTTAATCCCTCCAGCTCCCCCAGCAGACAAAGTCCGCCGTCGATTGAACAGTCGATGTAGTGTCGGAAGATACTCAAGTTCTCGAGCTGCGGGCAAACCTGAGAGATATAGCCATAGAGAACTCGCGAGCACCCGCTTATGCTGCCGTTGGGTTCGCCTAGGGCAAAGTCGAATGAAATCCTTAGCGATAATAAGTTTCGACAGGCCCAAATTTGCTCGGAGTCAAGGTTACTATAGTTGTTCCCAAGATTTAGCAGACGGTCGTTGAATCCTATGTCAGGCGCGTCCAGATGTTTCAGTTGAGGGGATGCGCACAAGTACCGGTGAAGGGACTGGGACAGCTCTACTGGGTTTGCGGCTACCCCCTCGATCGTGAGGGACGTGAGCGAATTGGAGTAGTTCCGAATGATGGAAACCGTCTGTAAACAGACTGTCTGAGCTGACACTCCAAGTGAGTCGAGGTTGCGAAAATTTGTTAACGACGCAATCATGTCGCGGTGGCCCTGAGTCGCAGAATAATGCAGGTGATGCAGTCTCGGGCACAAGCCGGCGATGTGCGCAAGCAGCGTCCTATTATCGACCCGAACTCTTTGCAAAGGGCGTGTGGATGTGCCGCTGTCATTTGGCGGTAGTTGTGGCTCCGTAATCTTGGTCAATACGAGGCTGCGAAGGTTGGGACAACTAGCCACAACTAACACCAAAGCGTCTTGTGCGATGCAGGTCAGGATCAATTCCAAAGATCGTAATCCATATGACTCTCCGAGATCTCCAGCTTGCACCACCGGAGTTCGTACAGCGCGCAAAGGAGGTCTCGAATGAATAGACAGCTTCCGTAGCTGAGGACAACCTTTCAGAAACATGGCGATGGTGTAGTCCTCAGGGTTGACAAATTGTAGCTTCAACGTTGACAAGGAGACCATGAACGGAAGCAGAGGCTGGATCCTTTCGTACGCGTTAACGGGCCCATTGAGCTCCAGCGTTCGCAACTGGATGGCCTTTCCACACTGCACCTGGTCTCGCAAGCGATTCCAGGCGATGCGAACGTTGGGCGTATCATCGTAATCCCTCCACTCCACGGTATAGGCCAGAGCGTCAATGTTGGCGAGACATTGTAAGACGTAATGTTGTTCTTGAGGCACAGGATTCTCTTGCCAGACGGTGTGGATACAGAAGAACGGACGACTGACGGCGTACCATTGCTTGCAGACGAGGCGTGTATTCTTACGAGTGCTCGAGTCAAGAAAGGAGATGATGCTCTCTAGAATTTCGGGGATCTCTAGGAGAGGGGTGTGCTTGTGGACTTGAGCTCTTTTGGGCTGCGATGGACGTGACAGCTGCTCTTGTTTTTGGGCGGAGGCCTTCAGAGAAAAGTGTGATTTTTTAATGGCGCGAATAAAAAAGACCATTGCGAAAGCAAAACGAATGAGAGTCGCGAGAAGGGAGGGTTGATGAAGAATGGAGTGAGGAATGAAGACGTGAATGAGGAAGGTGCAAAGCGACGAAACGCTTCGCCAACGGGTAGCAATAGGAGAGTGATAGCTGGTAACAGCCAACTAATGGACTAAAACCGTGCCAAAGACTAAGCCCTACCAGGTCTTGGGCTCTCAAGAGAAACGATTGCCGCCCTCAAGAACACCAGGAACAGACGTGGAAAGGCTTAGGACAAATGCTGCCGTCCTGGCGAATCGGCCTAGTGTGCTGGGTCGGAGACAACACTTGGGTACATATGGCTGGTGCTGTCCCCGAACCTTTTGTTCAAACTGGTTCTTTTTGTTGGGATTGTCCAATTCGTGGATCTTTGATACGGTATATGAAGTGCGGGCTAAGCATGAGTTTCGGTGTGGATCACGTTGTCCATCCAATCATATACGGAGCATAGTAAAAGTACACATGCGCGCAGCATTTTTGATAAGAAAGCGACCAAATGGGCGCACGCTGACCTAGCATAATGCGGTTTGTAAGCACGAATAAATTCTTTGCGCTTGCATGGCAGACTAACCATATCAAAGTTCTTCTCAGGAAGTCGCTTACTCTAATGAGTGAGCGACTGACATTTATTCACTTACACTGATTGTCTTCGGAACTTTTGTTGAGAACGCCTCTGACGCGCTGTGCCGGTTTTCCCAGCTGAGACGCCAAGCTCGATCCACTGAAGTTGTTATGATGCCACCCCTGCGAATTCTCTGGGCGAGAATAATGTCATCCTTGACCGTAATTATCACGCTGTCCGTCATCTTCTCAAGAAACCATTGATCCCGCTTGGTGTGGACCAAGCTTCTTCGAAAATTCGGAGCTAGTCCCGATGAAAGCATCAAAGGATCCACGACTTGATTGCGCACAGCCCGAGTCTGATCCCAAATACGGCAGCTGGATATTTTTCTACCGGTAAATCGAAAGGCTGGCTCCGGTACCTTAGCGATAGCTCGATTTATTTTCTGTCGAACATGACCTTTTAGGAGTCATATCTGTGCCCTTGTCCTCCAGCTGCAGCCGTATCGAGTGTTTTTGTAACAATGCGAGTTTGGAGTGGTTACTATGTTTCGCGTTCTCTGATTCCGCTCCCAGTACTACATTTCGTAGTTGGAAGTCGCTTGTCTCCACGAGCTTGCTACAGTTATCACAGGAGGTCCTCAATAGTAGTTCGCGATTTTTGCCTTTAAAAAATGGAAATTATTCTTGAGTGTATCGATGGGTGTCGCCACGAAGCGGAGGTTGTTAAATATCATTACCTTGCAGAAGTGCGGCTACTCAATGGTTGCAAAGGGAAGGAGCTGAGAGATAAGAATGAGTGCGATACATAGTCGGTTTGATTCATGCCAGGATTCAGGCAAGAATTTAAAAGCTTGAAAGGAATCAATCAACGACATTTGGGTAGCGGTGCTACATTTTCGGCACTCTCTTTGGCGGGTTTGGAGCCATTATCGGCGCATCATACATGTCGTTGTGATCAGTTGCGAGGCGGTTGTTCATGCTTAGAGCACTAAAGTCGTAGGAGTGCTCGTTTGAGGCATAGCCAATCTAATGCTGCGGTGAAGAGACTGAGTGACAACGCGCAGCCAAATAGCCTTTATGTGGGATTTAGGTGCGCGGGGAAACAAGATGGATGAACGACAGTCAGAAGCCAAGTACCTTTAGTCCGTCCACTGCTAAGCAAAAGCTGGAGCTTGCTTACTTAGTAAGTAGGAGCTGGTTTGGGTCCCTCGTCGGAGGCGCTCAGCAGCAAATAGTGCACAGACCCAGCTGACGACCGTACGTGTTCGAAAGACATGATCATACGTCTCAGATGCCATATAGTATGGCTATGTTTTGCGAGCACAAGAAAAGGGACGCCTTGGGCCAATGGTCGTTTGCAGCTTAAAACGAACACTGTGGCACTACAATGACAATGCGATACACAAATTCAGGTGGAAAATGTAGACTGTGTTTCGCCAAATAGCCTACTGACAACAACCATGTTAATGCTGGCGGTGGATAGAGTAAGGCTGATAACGTTGCACAGGCTGGGTAAAATATTTATTGCAAGGTGTTTGTGAGCAGACGAGTACGGCGAAGGATTTTGATTCTTTGGAATGCCTTTACGCAATTGTCGCACACAGGCACATAGTCCACAAACACAAGCGCTTTTGCAACACACGGTGCACAAACAAATCACACATGAAGAGACGGCACTTGGGCCAGACAGAAGAATGAATATCGAAGCGGAAAAGTGAAAAGTTGGCAATCGGGACATAAGAGACCGCTGTTGCGATTCAGGTGCCCACTGTTCATGCAGTATCACTATTTATTTTCATGTGGGGCTCTACGTAGGGTTTCCTGTCTGTTCCGGCTCGCAGGGTACCTGTTGAAAACCAAATCGGCACCATGTCAACTGATTGTATTACAAGCAGGTATGCAGAGAAAAAAGAAAAAGTGAGAGCCAGACTGGGCGCTGAGTGCTGAAGGGCACTTGAGAAAGAAGAAAAGCATTATAAGGTTGTCTCTACAAATAACTGCATTAGCTCTAGTATACAACTGGCAATACAAATGGAAGGAGAGCCAAGTGGGCCGCCAGAAGTGTGAAGGAGTAAAAAAGAGAGCTGCTCAACATGCCAAACAATAAGAGGAAAAGGCATTATCATTACTCCCCTTTGTCGATTCTCTTCGTCCTCTGCAGCAGAGCAAAAGAACGTCGTACTGCTTTGTTTGTTGTAGTTGCTGCTGCTGTTGCTGCTGCTATCCCTCCGTTACGTCTTTGTTTCTTTTCCCTTCCCCACAGACGCACACCGCAAAGTAAACCACTACCTCCTTCTCCTCGCCCTTCGCCCCCTCCTCCTCCTCCCTTCCTCCTTCCCCACCGCCCTCCTACCCCCTTCAACTCATACTCTTCTCACCTCTCTCGACCATCCTCCCGCCTCACTCTTCCTCATCAACCTCATTCCTTGTCAAACCTCATTCTCGCTTTCGTCTCCCGAGTCTGATTCCCAAGAAGAGGGAACAGGAAACTAATATCTCATGACACCTGCACCTTCTTCCAGGAACAGGAGGTCTGCGACCCTTGGTAATATCCCACCACCCTCTGGACCACCACCTCCACCACCGCAGCTCGGCTATTCCAACAGCGCCAACCACGGTTATGGTTACGGCCACGGCCAGAACAGTCCCAATCCCTCGCCACACTCCTCGTATTCGTCGCAGTCAGGGCAGCTCAACGTCAACGCAGCAGGGCAACTAGTCTATCCAGGAGGAGCAATCTATGATCCCCCTCGGGCTTCGTTCTCTTCGTCATCGCGCGCCAGTCCAGTGGGCCGCTCACGGTCGGGTCGGGACCGAGAACAGGAGCTCTGGTCGGACGGCAACTGGAGGAGTATCTTTGATGCTGCCCTGGTGAAGGCACAGCAAGCAGTCCAGTTGGACGAACTCCAGGAGACCACCCTCGCAGCGAATCTGTATGCTCAAGCAGCTAATGACCTCGGACGCGTCATTCCCATGTGTTCCAGTGAAAAGAAGAAACAATCGATGCTTGCTATTGTAAGTAAGCCAGTAAGGCATTCGAAAGATAGAGAGAGAGCGAAATCTGCATTCTAAAAAACTAAGCGTGAGGCTGAAACCGCAATGCTCCAGTCAGAAACCTGCCCTGATTCACTGGTGCATTTGCTCAGGCACGACCCTCCAAATGACTGGATTTGGGTTTGCCACCAAAACGATGGACACTGACCACATACAAACATACAAACATACAAACATATGCACATATAGCAAGCAATCTATCTCGACAGAGTCTCACAGCTCAAAGAGTCTGCATTGAATAGGAATGGTGGGATCCCACCGACACCATCAGCCTCGCACTCCCCAGCAACCAGTGAGAGCCATGACGGCGGTTACGGTCATCATTACTCTGTTTCCAGCAACCGAGGTGCTGGCTATGGCGATGAATCACAGCAATATCCATATCAGCCTCCAATGTACAACCAGCCGCAGCAGCAACGCTATCAGTACCAGCCCCCACCGCCACATTCCCAGCTGCAGCAACCGTATCAGTTCCGGCAGGCACAACAGCCGCAGATCCAGCAGCCCGAGTTCCAGCAGCTAGAGTTCCAGCAGCCAGAGCTCCAGCAGCCCGAGCCCCAGAGCCAGCCAGAAAAGAGCTTTCGACTGTTCAGCAAGAAACGCTCCAAAACACAGCCCTCAGCTCCTCAGCCTCCTGAGCTCGGTCAGTTTCTTCATGCTCAGGATTATTCTGGGAATTACAACCCTACTGACAACAATGGGCACCTTCCATATGACGGACGTGGCGTCGGGGGCAATGATGCATATTCCACGTCCTATGTGGACCCACCAAGGACACCCAGTCCGACACCAGTAGTATCGCCAATATTCATGAGTCATCCTCCTGTACAGAGTCAAGGTTCCGGAAAAAAACAGGAGAGTGATTCGAAAAAGAATCAAGATGTGTCCAGCAAGTCGTCCAAGTGGAGGCCGTTTGGAAAAAAGAAATCAAAGTCCTTTTCAAACAATGAGACTTCGACAGCCTTCAATCTACAGCAAGAGAGCGCGCAGATCGTTCCGGTATTGCCATTGAACACTGAACAAGAGCAGATGCAGCAGTCGATGCAATATTTAGTGGATTCTGTAAATCATGCGGATGTTTACCCACAACGGAACCAGGCGGATTGGTATGTAGAGGACGGCCCTGAGGATAGTTTCGACGATGAGGACCAAGATCAGTACTACGATAACGAGGACGAGGATATCGATCCTTTCTACATCGCGGACACTAAGGGTCGCGCCCAAGCGTTCGAGGGCATGGTAAGGCGCATATGAAACGATTTTATGCTATGAAGAAGCTCAGTTGCTTGTTGGGACTGTTGTACTAACGTTTTTTGTACCTTCTTACTATCTTACTAGGATTCTGGAAAGGCGGGCCCGAAGTCAGCGATATCCCAAGAAGAACCGCAATCTATGTCTCGCAAGCCTTTGAACCACAGCGCCTCATCATATTCTCAGGAGCAGAGTTTCACGCCGAATTTCAATTATTCGCAGCCAGATCCTCCTGGACTCTCAGCTCAGCACGATTCCCAGGATCAGGATTCCAGCCCTCTTGCTAACGAGCATGCTTATATCTCGAACTACACGGATGATATGGAGGACGAGGATGACTACCATAATGTTCCCGGTTCCTCTTTCCAACAGCAATACCAAGCTGAGGACCCCTCATCTCCGTTAGAGCAATTTGTGGATGCAGAGGAGATGTTTGAAGAAGAAATATCTGCGAAGGAAACAGAAGAGGAGGTTTCGAAGGAAGAGGAGGGGCGGCCGTTGTTTCTGAGGAGCCCAAGGTACGCCCTCCTGCAAGGACGTTCACCAGTGCCTTCATTGAATCTACGCATGAAATTGGGGCGGATGATAAGGACGAGCCCAAGCTGGAGAAGTCGAAATCGAAGCGTACGTGGTTTGGCAAGAAGAAGAAGGACAAGGAAAAGGACACGGACAAGGAGATGGAGAAAGAAAAGGACTCCGACCGACTCGGCAACGTCGCCAAGCTTATGGACGAGGCTATGTTTGGTGGCGGGAGCTTTCACAAACCCAGTAAGGACAAGCTAAAGGACAACAATAACATCGCCTCCTTGACTAAGGTCGATCCTCAAACCTCAGAGCAGCAGCATCAGCCGCCTCAAGCGCAACTTCGACCGCAACCTCCAGCTCAAGCGGAAGAGGATTCAGAGATGCCAGCAACTTCAGTAACTCCGATTGCCCCCAATGTTCAGGATCCGTCTTCGGTTCAGGATGCATCGGCCGTGAATACATCTGAAACTACAGTCAACGAACAGCAGCAGTTGGCCAACGATGCATCTCCACAATTCGACACTGAGCTCCCAGACTTGCAGACCGAAGACGTTGTGGCTGAAGCAGGTGCTTCGCCGACGAGTCAGGATGCCAAGTCCATTGTGTCTGACACTCAGAAGCGTATCAAATCACGGCACTTTAGCATTTTCAAAAGCAAGAAGAACAAGGATTCGAAGGAGACTGAACAGCCAGAGGAGGGCTCGACTTTGATCCGAACCGTGACCAATGACGACGACAAGTCCATGCACAGTCAACAGACCCACCAGAGCTCTCAAAGCGCTGACAGGAAGCTAGCTGATGTTAAGGCAGTCGATCCCAAGACGGTTGAGCAAAAAAGCGCTGATCGCAAGGCCGCTGAAATGGCGGTTGCTCTGGCAGTGCGACCAAAGGAGAAGGAGAAGAAGAGGGACAGCGATGAATATGTCCCATACGAGTACCAGGAGGACGTGGAAGGGCCGCTGATGGAGAGAGTCGAGGTCGATGAAGACCGCGAGGTCATCGGCTTCGTCCTGGTAAGTAGCTAATCGATATGCTGACTTCGCATCAGTACATTCTATTTTGCTGCCATCGTACTTGTATGCTAATTCATTTTCCTTTTTCTTTTTTCTTTAATTTTTCATGCTATGTAGCCTGTGGAAGAAATCATGGACTACACTCTGGAAGGAAACGAGGAAGCGGCGCTCGAAAACTGGGACTCATGGGTTAACCAGCTGGAGTCTTTTGAGAAGGTTCTCGCGGACAAGGGTCTCAAGAAGGAGAAGGTTAAGAAGGCCAAGAAAGTCAAAGAGCTGAAGCCTACCCAGGAGGACAATCTTTATCCACTGGGATCGCTCAAGGCCAACCGCTCGAGCATTTTTGGTATCGGACGCTCCGACAACCTCAAGTCGCGCACCAGCACCACCTTAGATCTGAACTCGACCCTTAGAGACAGTCGTCCATTGAGCATGAGCACTACTTTATTGGATGACGCTTCGATTGCCCCTCGCCCTTCTTTCCAGTCCTCCAGATCTGGAGAGTCCGAGGCGCCCTCGCAACTTGTCGCTACTCCGTCCACCAGAAAGCGCTGGTGGAATCCCAAGCGCAAGGAGACACCATCGATTTATCGCGCCTCCAACGCATTTTCGTTTACTGATCTCGATCAAGATCGGCATTTATCAACATTGCTGCAGTCTCCTGGCCAAGTTCGGTCCAACGAAGACTTGACGTTGAGCACTCAACTGCTATCGCTGCCCATCACGCTCAGCGAGCCTTCAACGCCTGCTCCAGACACCATCAAAGAGGCCTCGACAGCCATGGAAACTGTGTCAAAACAGATAGAAGCCAATAAGGAGGAACCAGAGGAGGAGCTCAAGGAGAAACCTAAGGAAGAACCCAAAGAGAAAACCAACGAGAAATCCAGGGAGGAGCCCAGGGAAGAACCCAAGGAGGAGGTGGATGAAACACCGGTTGCGCCAATGCCTAAGGTCAAGACCAAGAGCAGCAAGCCCAAGCTGCTTCCAATTTCAACTCCCCTGCCTCAGCTGCTCAAGATGGACAGCGCGGAGGAGCTATGGTTGTATGTTCAGCAGGCCAAGACGTACGCGACTAGTCGGATGAACAAGGGGGACAAGCGATCGGCAGCCATTGCCTTGAAGCGAGCACAGGCCCTTGAGACTCGATGGCAGGAGGTCCTACTGGAGATGGCCTCGAGCGATGAGGA